TGTTGAAAATGAGCTGAAGTTCTTGGCCCTTGTGAGAAGATGATGAATCAGGCAAATAAATTATTAGGTCTTATAAGAAGGTCATTCAGATATCTAGACGGTCCGTCCCTCGTAATGAACTTCAAGATTGAGGTGCTTCCCCATCTGGAGTACTGTCACCCCATCTGGTCCCCGAGATATGCTAGGGACTGTCAGTTGGTTGAAAATGTCCAAAGGAGGGCCACCAGCGCTTCGGCACCTCAGCTACATAGAGAAATATAACTCCAGGCTTATACTACAGATGGGCAAGGGGTGACCTGATTGACAAGCATTATCATATCAGAGGGCACTACTCGGTTGAGTGTCCATACCTGGAGCTGGAGCCAGTGCATGCCCAGAACTTGCCTGCATTGCGTAACAGAGACGTGACCAGCTAACGAGCCGGTCAGTGGTGAAGAGGATAAAGGTAAAAAAAAAAGTAAAAGTAAGTAAAATATTGTAGTATCTTCCTCTGAGCAGGTCTAGAGAGACTAGAAAAACTTAGGGTGTAACAAGATGTGTGGATGAATTACACCACAAATGTGTATACAAGCACCATTAATCCTTTAAATTCAGTATTAATTGTTGTTCATTACTTGGATGGAACTCTTGACAAAAAATCTTGACATAGTCGCCTAAAATAGTCACAAGAATCATATAAATTAACCCCATTTTCCTGTAATTTGGCTTAAGAGTGAAATTGTCATATGTGATTTTTCCTTAATATTTTTTACCAATTCTCAGAGAATGAATCACACCTATTATAATCTTTCGAGTATTAATTCACAGATATTTAAGAAAAAGCAGAAAACGTCATAGAGGATTGATGAAGAGAACCAAGGGACCAGTCAAACAGTATAACATGGCGGACAGGAGGAGGCGGAGGAAGCTGGGTACTGACGATGATTCTGATGACTCTGACGACGAACAACCTGCCCCACGGAAGACTGTTAATGTAAGTAAGGTAAAATAACTGTTGGGGAGGGGGGATATGTAGTTAATACTGGGATAAGTTGGATTGAAGAGAGGTGGTGATGAAGGCGGGGCCGGGGTAGACACATTAACGTCTAATTTAAGACTAAGGCTTCTTGACACCCTCCATAAGTCTCTATTAACTTCTATACATTTGTCGTTTCTTTTAATATACTTAAAATCATCAAAACAAAATGAGTAGAGCAAAAATAAAGTAAAAACAACTAACAGCTTCTGGTGGTAACACTTTCATAAACTTTTACCACAATTTCACTGTATTTTATAGTGGAGACTTGTAGTTTTGGCCAATGTGTTAAAAAGTGGTTACTTCTAAATTAAATCTAACCTAACCTAATCTAACCTAACCTAGCCTAACCTAACCTAACCTTAGTTGACAAGAAAAACAAGCAGCAGGAGCGTTGTTAGAAGACCTCACCAAACTAACCCTCCGGACCCCCAGACATATTAAACAGAAAGAACTTACTATTATATGATGTATTTTATGTTTTTGGTGGACATGAGAGCAGCAACCTGATCCGTGTGACGTATAACATATACAGGCGTCGATCGGGTCATTGGAAGTGATTGGCTATGTACCTCCACATCACTCCGAGGAAGACGAAGTAATGTGTGCCTAGTCACCTAATTATCAACCAAACAAACCAATTTCCATACAAATTATTATTATATCAGAACTCACTCATGAAATTATAGTAAGAAGTTTTCTCTCTCTCTCTCTCTCTATATATATATATATATATATATATATCTTCTTAATTACAAAATTGTCCAGTTTGTACATGATGTTTCTAGTCTCATTAAACATACTGAAGCATTCAACATGAATTTGAGTAATGGCATGTACAAACTGGACAAATTTGTAATTAAGAAGATTTGTAACCAGGTGAGAAGGTTGGGTCACCTTACCCTCTGACCTGACTACCAACCGTTGCGGTGCTATTTAAAGAATAGTAGGGTCATTACCTAATCATTGTGGACCTAGTCTCACCCTCCTCTGTATATATACACCTTGTTTTGTATTTCTCTTTAGTCTGTACTCACCCCTGAAGATGTGAATTACACGAAAGCGCTTGGGAACTTCGTGTTTTCTTCTTTCCTTGTGGTTATCAGCTTATCAGCATATATGATATATATATATATATATATATATATATATATATATATATATATATATATATATATATATATATATATATATATATATATATATATATATATATATATATATATATATATATATATATATTATACACAATTTATGTGTGTGTGTGTGTCTACACACACACATACACATACTGTACATACATACATATATACAAAACAGGGGGTTCATATACCCCTGTACGTATACAATCAGAAAAAAATATTAAATTGTGACTCTACCCTTAGGTCTGTGCTTTATTAATAAATTAATAAAGCACAGACTTAAGGGAAGACTCACATTTTTAATAAGTATGTTTCTGATTATTCGTTACAGTATTTTCCCATTATTATTTATTTATTTGTGTGTGTGCGCACGTGCGTCTGTCTGTTTACACACGCACATATATATGATGCAGGTAAAAGAAATAATTGTCCTAAGGGCAAACACATTTTTTGTACACAGGTAAAAATTTACCCCCTACTCGGCCAGCAAATGTTATTCGCGGATTTGGCGATTCACTGCCATTTTGAGAACCTAACCCCCGCGAATTTAGGGGGCCCCCTGAATAAGCGATTCATTCATCCTAACCTGGAGTACTGCTCTCATATCTGGGGTGGCTCTTCTTCTGTCCAACTGTTAGATACATGGAGTGGAATCAAAGGCATTTCATCTTATTAACTCTCCTCCTTCCCTTTCTCTTTGCCACAATGTTGCTTCACACTCTCTCTTTTACAGGTACATACTGTACTTTAACAGGCAATGTTCGGTGGATTTGGCATCCTGTGTATTGCCAGCAAGGCCGTGGGCTCGTAACACTAGTCTTGCCCGCTGTGCCCACCGTTTCTCTGTGGATGTCGGTCACACTAGAATAACCCAATATAGTACATCCTTCTTCCCTCACACTGCCTCCTATGTTTCCATACTCATACAATCTCTCACTTCAAAAAGCTGGTTTTCTGGCATCTTCGTGGTGTAGATTAATGTAATATTTTTCTTTTCTGTTTTTAATTTCATTTTGCTCTTATTTTTTCTCCCCCTAGGCCTCGTTGTTGGTCAATGACCTGTGCTCGGGTGGGCTATTCCCCGTAAAAAATAAATAAATATATTCATTCTTTGGGATTCGTCATTGCACTGTTGACACAGTCAGCATCTTTACCAGATTTTGTTAATGCCTTTCCCTCTCATTTGTTGCGATTTGCAGAAGCCTTTGTTTTCCAATATTTGGACAGGAGTTCCTGATACAGTAGTTGTTGAATTTCCACTTCTGACATTGGCTTTTTTATGTTCCTTTTGATTTTTATTTCATAGTTATTTCTCCATTGTTGCTTTGTGATTGTCTTGTTCAATTCCTTTATTGATTTACAGGGTGTATTTTTGACTTTGTTTGAAGTTGCATGTTGCGCTAATCACTCCATTGTTCATGTAGGCCTGGTGCTGGTAGCATTTAATGGTTGAGAGAGGGTGGTGCAGGTGTGCCAGGGGTTGTTCCAACAAACTTCCCCAGTAGCAGTGGAATTGCCTAAAATTTGCCTGGGTGGCAAGTCTGGATGCTGGCAGGAGGAAGTTCAAGGCAGTCAGAGTACCATGGAGGGACCATCTCTTGCAGTTGATAAACCTTTTTTAATTTTTTTCCTTGAGTGCAGACCTTTGTTGCATGGAGGTGCATATGTGGGCTACATTACCCCAGTGTTGACACTTGCAACGTCCTCATCTGGGGAGATTGGTGGGTCATAGGTGTCTACTTACTTGATGGCTGAGGTGGTGGTTGTCTGCTATTTCATCGTTGAATTTATGTAGAATATATACAGTACTGTACTGTAATTGGATTGTTGTATTTGAAAAAGATAATTTAATTTTATTTGTATTATTTTAGAGAGTTTTGTGTATTAGTGCTTTAGATTAATATGTTAGTTTGGGTAGTTTAATACAAAGAGAACTACTGGAGTAAAGGTAATTAATGTAGTATTACTGGAACCATTTTGGGCGTGGCAAAAACTGGTGGGGTGTAACCCTACCGGTATGTGGGTCAAGGTAAGACAAGTGTCGCTCCTGGGAAGGTTGCTAAGTACTGTACTACCCCTCAACTATATTTAATGCTTTGTTCAGCTTTTACCATCCCTGTGTCTGAGTTGGAAAATTGCATGCTTGAAAAACTTGGGAAGAAAATCTTTAATACAGTATTAATTACAGTACAGTATTTTGTTTACTTGATTTTGCAATGTGCTGTCTTAGTTTAACAGCTCAGAAGCAACATGATTATTGCCTGCAGCTACAGTATAAAAAATACCAAACTTTTGAGTGAGGCATTCTCTAACATATTATGAGTGTAAATTGCTTAAGCTTATTGGAGACTTATTGTTTTGTTATTGGTGTTCTGCATTTTGCTTACCGTACTTTACATTATATTTATATACAGTGTTGGTCCAAACTTCATGTTGGCAAAATCTGATTGGGATTTTCATCTTAGCTGTTACTGTACAGTATTTTATATCAATGAAATAAATTGGGTAAATTAAACAATGTCGGGTGTTTTGGTACATTATATCTGTGTGAAGGAAAATGAAGAATAGTGAGAGTGGCTGAGGAAGTTCAGGTGAAAGTAGATCACTAGTGGCTCACAGTGCTGTTGCCGGTTGAAGTTGTTTTTGTCAAATATGCATTCATTTATCTTTTTCTTTTATAAATCCTCATGTAGACTGATGTGAAAGATACCTGATAAATAAATATTAAGTTTATTCCTGAGTATACTAAACTCCATTTAAACTAGTAAATTCAATTGAAATAGCAATACGTATGTTGCATCTGATTAGAGAGTGGCCCTGGATGGGGGGACCTTGCTCCTTCTAGCAGTGTGAGTGTGAAGGTACCAGCGTGTGGACTGGTGTGTTGGTTCCTCTTGGCAAGTAATTGGTTTAGTGTTTTGAGAGTTGAAAATGGTGGTAGAAGCCATTCCAGAGCTTCTCCAACAGCCTACAGTAAGCCCCCTGCAATCCAGCCACCATGAGATTTCACACCTCCAGGTAGTCTTACCTTTATAATATGATGTTATTTCTCCAGTCTGTTAACCATCTGAAAGTGTAGGATTCATAGTACAGTACTCTTGCTGTTCATCTGTCAGTCTCTCATCAGTATATTTTGTGTAGCATTGCTTATACTGTAGTGGTTTCAGTACTGGTATGTCGGCCATATAAGTTTGCACTATTTTAAAACTTTTATTTCTGCATCATGATTTTTATTCATGCCATCGCTACCTTTACCAAATCTTACTTGGAAGTTGACTTTATGGCTACAAAGAAGCTTGTTGATAATGGGATAAAGCGGTTTGAATGTACTGTATTATACTGTATATATATATATATGCCCTATGTGTAGTGCAGCTATACTGTATTACTCTTGTCAAAAACATAATTATGTTTCAGTGCACAATGTTCCTTATTAGTATCATTATGTCAACCTCTTGAAAGATCTGCCTTTGTGCCCACATTACTCATAATGGTACCAATATATGAAAAGTCAGAAGGTATATAACTCCACAGATTTTTTTTTTCTCCTACCATATGATAGTCTCACCCAAAAGTTTGTTAACTCTCCCAGCCAGCTATTGCTGCACTGCCTGCTTCAGATGTTTGAAACTGTCTCAGTACCAACCAGAACATGAAACCGATACGAATGAATCTAAAGGTTCGAAGTAACAGACTGAAGTCCATACATCTGAAGCAGGCAGTGCAGCAATAGCTGGCTGGGAGAGTTAAACTTTTGGGTGAGACTGTTCTATACTTCTAAGATGTCGATCTTGACAAAATCTGCCACTTTACCATTAATATGTCAGGGTTTATTCTTGTACAGGGGGTAATGTGTTTACACCTACTGTAGCTATTATGAATAAGAAAGTGAAAGAGAATGGTGTAAAGTAGGAATTTATTTTTTGTAGTTGGAATATCATAAAACATTTGTTAAGTGGTAGAATATAAAGTGTATTCAAGATATAATGTAACACTTTCTTGGTAATATATAGACATTAAGGATTATTTTTAGATGATAAGTTCTAAATCTGCATTTTTGGGAAGTTAGTAATGTACACTTAAAAAGAAAATAAGGAATGAATGATGTGAAACTTTCCACATTTAATAGCATGACACTAAGAATAGGGAAGTAACATAAGCCTTTGGTGTTGGGTTGAGGGGGTGAAGGTGTTGTTGAACCAAGGTGGACAGCTTGAGGCAAGGCAAGGTTGGGATGTAACCTTGGTTGCTTCAGCCTTGGTGGAGGACACCACTTTCTGTTTCATCTGTGAAAACTATACTCTTGCTTTTAACTTTTTCTCTTGATGAGAAACATCTGTTTATGTTGTTATAAGGATACATTACAGTTCAGTACTGTATGATGCTCAAGCTTTCTATATATTTGTCAGATTTTTTTTTTTGGGGGTAATTGCTAAAGTTTCTCTTGAAAAACTGATTTTATTCTTAGCAGGGTTTGTCTGAACAGCTTATAAAATTTGCCTCAGTAGTCAGTATTTTCCTCATCCATTAGTTACCTTTTACCTGTAAAAGAAAATTGAAGCCTTGGTGTGTCATTAGGCTTCCAGGGAGAAGTATGTCACGTTGGTTTCACTTTCTACTCTGAAACTTTCTACTTGTTGCCTCGGATCTTCAGGTACAGGGCAGTTACATATTTCTAGTGTGTGTGTGTGTGACTTGTATTTTTTTTTTTTTTTAATAATTTCACTAGCTCTTTAAATTTAATATGAGACAAACATACATACCTTTTTTTTTCTTTTTTACAATGTTTTTACTAACTGTTCTGTTGTAGCTTACTGCCTCCCGTAATGGTAAACCTTTACCTCATTGTTAGACCACTTTTAATCCACTAGGCAACCATCATGCCCTACTGACCCTACAGGAAATGGAATCATGAGCTGCACTTTTCCAACCTTCAACAGTTTCAGTCAAGTACTGTACAGTATTTCAAAATTAGTTTTAAAATTCTCTGGTAAATCTGATACTGTACTGTACACTTCTACATCTGGCAAGGTCACAGGTCGAAAGATTTAATGGCATCACACGCCAGCACTGTAGCTGAAGCCAGCGGCGATAACAATAATAATATTCATAGATAAAATTTTTAATAAAAATTACACCAAAATAAAATAATAATGATAACAATAATAATAATAAAATATAATAATAAAATTAATAATAACAATAATACTGTAATAATAACATAATAATAATAATAATAATAATAAAGAAATACAAGAATGAAAAGAAAGATCAAAAGTGAGAAACATGACCTAGACCTATAAATTATTATTATTATTATAATTTGTATTATATTTTCGCCCCCCAGGCCCCAATGTGGGTCAGTGACTTGTCCCTGAGTGGGCTAATACACACACACAAAAAAAAATAAATAAAAAAAACCCTAACCATTCTGAAAACCGAAAAATTCCGAAATCCGAAATGCCTCTGGCCCCAAGGATTTCGGATAAGGGATTGTCAACCTGTACTTAACTCGTCATCATTGTCTACAGCATGCCCTTAAAATTTGCAGGTTTTTCCTGTCACTTCTCAATCCATTATCAATTTTGACAAATTTGATGCTTGTTTTCAGCTCATGATTAATAAATCCTTCTTGTGTATTTTCAGGGAAGTGATGGAGGTGACAGTGAATATGAAAGTGCTGATGAGGAAGAGCTTGGGGAAGAGGAGGAGGAGGAAGAAGATGAGCTTATTATTATGCCAGATGGGGTAGTCTTAGGGGAGGTAAGTTGGCATCAACATTTCCAAGATATGGTCTGAATACGTACAGTAATGTGATGATGAAATAATACTGTACAGTCATAACTCCGTTAGCCGGAATTCTCCAATAACCAAAATTGAAATTTGCTCGGAATTTTTCCAGAAAATTCTGGGTTTGGGAAAATTTTTTGTGGGGCGCATTTTCTGGAAGATTCCGAGAAAATTTTCCTGGTGCCCGGAAAAATTCCAGGGATGAGGGATTTTATTCTCCTGGTTTGAGAGACAAAAATCAGGCGCATTTTCCAGAAATTCTGAGAACATTTTCCCAGTACCCGGAAAAATTACGGGGATGGAGAATTTTTCTCGGGTTTGAGAGTTGTCTCACTACCCATAAATCTCTCAATCCTGGAAGTGCTCTGCACCCTTTGATCTGGCTAATAGAGATATCACTGCACAGTACAGTATATAGGCAGTCTGCGACTTACGACGGGGTTAGGGACCCAAATCCAGGTCGTAAGTCGAAAATGCTTAAATAATACATAGAAATCTAAAATGGGCGTCTCTTTTTCTTCTCAGCACCACAAAACTCTCATTTTTAAGCTTGCCAGCCATTTTAAAGTGAATTACAAAAAAAAGATTTTCAGTACACAGCGCAATCACTAATGTCGGGACTCGAAAATACGTAATTTGAAAAAAAAAATTGGTACGACTGGGGCGGTCGTATGTCCGGGTGGTCGTAAGTCGAGGAGTACCTGTACTGTACAGCTACTCCTTGACTTAAGACATACTCGACCTATGACCACCCGGACATGCGACCGCCCCCAGTCGTTCCAAAATTTTGTAAAATTACGAATTTTCGAGTCCCAACTTCAGTGATTGCGCTGTGTACTGACAAAATTTTCGTTTGTAATTCACTTTAATATGGCTGGCAAGCTTAAAAGTGAGAGTTTTGTGGTGCTGAGAAGAAAAAAGAGACGCCCATTTTAGATTTCTATGTATTATTTAAGCATTTTCGACTTACGACCTGGATTTGGGTCCCTAACCCCGTCGTAGGTAGGGGAGCAGCTATACCGCACTTGTTGGGAAGCTCAGCTGTTCTTATGGTTTCAAAAAGCAGAAAATAAATGGTTATCAAGTATTACTTACACTGCCTTTGGCTATATTATTAAAAATTTTCTTCTTACAGGACAATAAACAATTAGATGATGATGAAGATCGAAAAAACCCTCAGTATATCCCGAAAAAAGGGACATTTTATGAGCATGATGACCGTACTGCTGCCGAGGACGATGTAGAAAAACCGTAAGTTTTAGATTAAAAGTGAATAAAAATACTCTAAACTATTTCTTATTTATACTGTTTAGTACTGTAAGTCATCCCTTATTACCTATGTACAATGAATGAATATTATCTCACATTTTAGCAGCTTAACACCCTTGTCTGATTGCCCATGTTAATGTGCAAACCATTTTGAGGATTTTGGACATAATATTATTCTCCAGGTGGCACCTGGCAGTGGCTTTTAGGGTCACCCATCTCTCTGTCACAGTTATTGCTCTACAAAGAGAGATTAGATCTCAGTGATATCTCTGTTAGCCAGAAAAATTGGTGCAGAGCTGTTCCGGGATTGAGAGATTTCCGGGTATGGAGACGAATTTTCTCATCCCCAGAAAAAATTGCACATCTCTATAGTCTTTTGGGGTACAGTATGCAAACACCACTGTACACATACAATATGTTGTAAATAAACAAAATACTCGTATACTATTGTACTGTATACATTATACTGTACTCATCAGCAGGTACTGTCATCTTAAGGTTGTGGTGCAGGCAGACCAAATGATGATATGATACAGGTGTTGCTAACTGTCACTCTCCTCTCCTGCCATGAAGAAGGGATTGTACGCACACTGTATACTGTACATACACCCTAGGGTATACACACTAGCCTACAAAGTCCACTCTGCTATGTACAGTACAGGTATACCCCGATAATTGATGCATATGCGGAATGTGAAAAGTCAACGGATAGTGAATCAATGGTTTTTGAAGCAATTAATCCCATATGGATATAAAAAATCGGGAGGTTAGGGACCAGCCACTCCTCCCCTCCTTTACCGACGGAGTGGTTAGTGAGCCTCTACCCTTGTTATTTTGCTTGTCTTTTATTTTGAAGTCAGATTATATATTGTACCATATTTTGTTCTATTTAATAATGTATGTTATATTAATTATGATGAAACGTGCACCATAATAGGTTGATCATACAAGAATACTGTACTGTACAGTACAGTGGGGTATGCTATCACGAATCTAATTGGTTCTAGAACCTTGTTCGTTATAGGATTAATCCGTTCCAGGCCCCCAAATGCAACCACTTAACACTGAAAAATATAGGGTTGCCATATCTGAACATTCAAAAAAGTGGACGCTCCCGAAGACATTCCCCCCCGGCCCGGCACACACAGGCTAATATACAACATACATGGTATAGAAATCTTAAAAAAAAATTACCTTTGCTTAAGGCTGAACATCTTCATTCCCTTAGCTGCAGTCTTCTTCCCCCACTGTGTGTGAGACTTGATGTGCCCATGCATACTTTTCTGTAGATCGGATCTTTTTCAGTATTGGCTGATTGCTCTTTAGAAAGGTATAGAAGTCACTGCAAGGTGTTTCTCGGAAGTTGTACTGTACGGTCAGAATGCCTTTCATTGTTTCAACACTCAATTTGTTCCTTTCCTTTGTCCATTGACTTTGCATCAGTGAAAAAACTTTCTACATTTGCATTGTGACATGATATAGCAAAGAAGAATTGTGCAATTCTTAGCAATTCTGAGTGGGAAGTCAGCAACATCCTACAGTTTGCCATTTACTCCACTGTACCTCTTTTGTACACACACTCAGCACATTATTTGATTATTTGCCAAAATAAAATTTTTTTTAGCTACTTAATCTTTTGTGCATTTTAATTTATTGATTTTTTATTATTATTATAGTGCAGAAGAACCAGTAATTAAAAAGGAAGTTGGGAAGAAGAAAGTGTGGAAGGAAGATGATAAATGGAACCATGATAAGTTCGATGAGTTTGAACAAGCTCCCAAGTCCCGTGAAGAATTGATTTCAATATATGGTTATGATATTCGTAATGAAGAAGGTCCGCCAAGGGCTCGGCGTAGAAGACGATATGGGTAAGTTGGAAAATTTTTATTATTGTCCAAGGCATTTTCAAGGTGGGAAAAGTGCAAGTTGTGTTACCTATGTCTGTTCATCTGCATACTTTGTGTCCTGTAATTGGTCTCTGTACAGTAGGCAAATCTCAACTGAATTTTGCATGAAACTCGATATTCCTAAAAGCTTGGATGATTGTGATATTGGAAGTTTTTACCTACAAAGAGCATTACTAGTCACAATGGATCACTTTTTCAAAGATCTCACATTGTCTTCAACGATGCTTTTCTTAGTTTCTGGGTTACTCCATTCCAATATTGCATCACGATATCTCCGAATATTACGAGTTATTGCACAACATTTTTACATATCAGTGACAATGCAGGTTAAGTATTTGGATAGCGACTATCATAAAACTGATCTTTAGCCATCGCATTGTGGTAAATGGTAAAAATAATAGAGCGCATATTGATCCATTGTATAATTGTCATTACCGTACCTGTGTTATTTTATGGGAGTTTTTGGCCCACCATATTTATTTTTTCAATTACTTTATACATAAAATCCCACCCAATACTTAGATTTTCAACTTCCGATTCATCATTCCACAGCACACAAGTACAGTATCCATATTAAAATCTCATAAGTACTAAAAATATGTGTAAATGAATATTTAATACAATTACATAACAGATACTGTACAATAATTTCATGAAAACCGTTTTGAACCTGGTATGCCTTTAGAAGTCATAGATCAATGTCTAAACTTCACTGGTATTAAGATATCTTATGTTAAAGTTACCTTAAGACAAGATAATAGATATAAACTAAATTTGCTCAACAGATAACAGTGTCACGAGTTGTAGAACTGACTAGGTTTTGGAGTGTCAAAAGGTAACTGTACTAAAATTTCAAGTAGCTTTTTTTTTCCCCACATGTTTGGTTTTGACATTAGATGCAAGTTTGTTCACAGGATTAAGTAAAATGTCCTCAATATGGAGACAAAAGTTTTTAGGCTTCACTAACAGTTCATTAATGGGGCATATGTATTTTACAAACAATTTTGGGTTTCTGTAACTTCCCTTTTTTAGAATTTTCCTTTGAATGTATTGTACTCTGAAAATGAAATGCTGTACGACATAATTTGTGACTTACTTGAATGTAAGTAATGGTGGGATTGAATGTATCTTTGCTTACAGACGTGGTCCTAATAAGTACACACGCAATTGGGAGGATTTAGATGCCTACGCCAAACCTGTCCGTGGGGCTGTCCGTGGAGGTCCTGGAAGAGGTGGTTCTAGATCTTTGACTGGCAGCAGGAAAACTCTAGATAATGATGAAGAATTCCCTGCACTCAATTCTCCTCAGCAATATAAAAACCATGATGTCGACAAATATAATGAAGATCACAGCAAGTTTGAATCTCATTCACCTAGACATGAACCACCTGGAACAACTGTCGACAATCTGCATATTGGTTAGATTTTTTACAATTTGTTCTTGTGCCTTATATTTGGGCTGTCTTTTATAGTGTTTTTGTTTCCAGTTTGGGGAAGGAATAAATTGTGAGCACTATCTATATTTTGTCATAATTTAGGGCATCAGAAGAAGTATCAAGAATGTTGTTTTTAATACTGATAGGACTATTTTTATTTCCTTTTCTTAATTTGCATCACAGTAATATTCAGTAGTCTGCCAAACATTTTTGAGTTTAGCACCTTCTATCATGGGTTCTTTACTTATTCATTGGAATGTTTTACATACTGTTATTTCGGTAGTCATGCTATTTTTTTCTCAAATTTCTTGCTTTTGCATATTTGCTGAGGCAATTTATTCTTTTCACTTACTGTAAATTAGTTGAAGCAAATGGTACGGTAACTCACACATATTAAGAGATGGCTTTGCATATAGAATTCTGATAATGTTTTAATTATTTTTGATGGGTAACCCTGTCTTGCCAGCTGTCCTCACCCTGTGAGTTGGCATTAGGAAGGGCACTTTCTGGTCTGGCACCTTGGGTTTGTGGAGGGGGATCCCATTCTGGTGTTACCCAACAGCTGCCATAAGGTAATGGCGGCTGGGAAATTACTATAAAATGTCGACGATGATTTGAGTCTGAGAATTTTAAGATGGGGGCGTGATCAGGGAACGTTGTTTGTGTACCATCACACAATGATGGTAGGAAAAGGTATACAAAGTGATGAGGATTAGAAAATGGTAAATTCATCTTGTTTTTTTTATTCTATATCAAGGGAATGGATTAGGCAAGTAGATGCAAAGTCTTGTATAGTTTTTGGAGATTTGAATATAAAGGAGTATCATGTATGTGAGGAATGGAGTGCTGCGGATGGCAGTGTTTGCTTAGAGAAGGAACGTGGTATGAATGACATGAAAATCATAATTTTTGTAAAGAGAGAAAGAGAGAGATGAATGGTTAAAACTGGATTGCTTAAAAGAGTTTGTTTGAATCAGGCATACTGTACAGTTCAGAAAGGGGTGAGTGCATGGACCTTTAGATTCTTTATTGGACACACAGTGTTGTCCCACTTTCATGGCCTGACTTATTCACCAGTTCAACACACTATATTTTATGTCCATTCTATAAATCTCCCTATTCACTGAAGTGAAGTTGAGAATTGATATAAGGTCTCAGAACTAAGTAGCAGATGGTCGTGGTTTGATGACTCGAGGTTGTCTAGTGTGATAGGTTAAGATAATATGATAAAATCTTACCATAAAGATGACTATAGATATCACTTGATGTAGAAATATTGATTTATGTATATCAAACAAGTTATTTGATTTAATTTTCTAGGTGACAATGAAAATCATAAACAGCAGCAAGTACCGCTGCTTCCACAGCAGCAGCAGCAGCAACAACAGCAACAACAGCAGCAGCAGCAGCAACCTCCACCGCACCATCAACATCAGCAACAACAACAACAGCTGCACAAGAATTCTGGCATGAGTCCCCAACCCCAAGATGTACGTGCTGATGGTTATGGTGGACGTGGCAGAGGTGGCAGAGGACGTGGAAGAGGTATTGGCCGAGGCCATAATAGAGAACGAGATCAACATAGGTAAGGTTGTTATCGTAATTATTTGAGGATGCTTTTATAATTTAGTGTTACAATAATCATTCCTTATAAAGGAATTCCTTTTGGCTGATGTTCGATTTAGTGAAACAAATTTGTGCCAGTATTTGCTTCTTTATCTAGTGGAGCCTCCCGCTAAATGAAGGGAGTTCCGGTAACTCTCACATGGGCTTTCATCATTGTTTTGGAACGATCAGTCAGTTTCCACCACATCTTGCTGCACATTGTTGTGGCCTCCCTGGCTTTTCATATTTTTCCAGCATGTGTGCACATATATATTTGTCACCATGTCTAAGGTGAGTGCTAAACCTAGAGAAGAGAAGGATGAGAGAGTGCATCTCTCATTTTTAGAGAAATTAGAAATTTTTATAAAATATTTTATTAGTTTTCTCGAATATGCTCTTTGCAAGGATTCCAGTAATGCAAGTTATATATTTCTGAAATATTTATCACTTCTAGCCCAAAATATTATGACAAATGTTAATCTTGGTAGCCATAGTTCCATACCTTTTTTACAGATGGTATTAAATTCACTACAGTATTTTCATAGTCATGATTTACAGCGATTCCAAGAACACAACCCTCGCGAGTATTGGGATAAGCGTATAGCGAATTTTGGTGTACTGTACAGTATATAGACGTTCGGTATAGAGAAGTAATACTATACTTGACGAAATAGGATAAGGTTTATCTGTTCCCTCCTCACTCCAGTATCTTAAGATTTTGTTTCAGCTTTGGCATAGATTTTTTAAACCATATAGTTTTATTTATTTTGCTTGTAATTGGTATGTTTTGCTTTGATCTTTCATATACAAGTGTTGTAATATACTTTTATTAACAGATATAACGATGAACGAGTAGGCCACAACTATCAAGACAATCGATCAATTGGGCGTGGTAACCGAGGACACCAACAAAGGATACCTCAGCAACATACTACTCATGCCCCCAGAGACGTAGAAGAGATAACGGCAGAGTTGAAGAATGTTACTCTCAGTTTGCACAGCCGAGAAGAGAGCTACTGGGGGAGAAATCGTAAGTGTATTTCCTTGTGCCTTCTGTCGTTTGATGAATGTTTCTATCTTCTTTCTCAAATTACTGAATGTAGTAAAATCATGAAAATCTGGAGTAATTTTGGGCCCAGGATTTTTATTTATTTATATTTTTTGTGACTGACAGCTGAAAAGGAATATGATGTAATATAGGGTTACCTTCCAGATATGATGTAATATAGGGTTACCTTCCAGATATGATGTAATATAGGGTTACCTTCCAGGACTATAAAACTCATTTTCTCACAAATAGGAACTTGCATGACAATATGTTTAAACTTGTGTTTATTGCGAAGTGGCATAGACAATAAAAGTACCAACAGGGTGACTGAGGGTGTCTTGTAAGGTGTACACTAGGAAAATTACTATTCTCTTTTTTTTTCATTTTATATTTGAGGAAATCATAACATATCAACAAAGATTGGACATCATGGACCAATCAAATGGCCTTTGAGATCTCTGGACCTTACACCTTTTGATTTCTTCCTCTGGAGTCACCTAAAATCTGTCATCTGCCAAATTCATTCAGGAATCATCGAGGCAACTCCATCGAGAGTTGTAAGGTCTGCTGTCATCAGTGGCTATTCATTTTGTCCTTGTTACTTAATCTTTGATGATTTGTTGTAATGTAATCCCAAACAAGTTAATTAACAAGATAACCCCTTAACCCCTACCACCCGGGCCGTACCCCCCACGTGGGGTAAATCGAGAAAAATCAACTTTTCCAAAAATAATTTTCAACCCTTTTAAATGATAAAACAATCTAGAAACTTCCCTGCAGTGGTGGGAAAATGGCAGCTCGGAGCAAGGGAGATAAGGGGACAGCGTTGTTTTGACACGAGCACTCGTGGTCACGTACGCACTTAGCGGCTATTTTCTGCTTGCTTTTGTGTCCGGGATGGCCAGTAATGCATATATTTACTGATCATAATACTTATATCCTATAGATAAATCATTTAGAATTGATGTGTGTTTGGGAGAACAAGTAATGCATAGAAATAATTTTCGGAATAATAATTCCACAAAAATACATTTATAACAAAATCATAGCATTATTTTCAAGTAATACTACACTACAGTACAATACAACTACACTACTTTTAGAAATATTACATTGATACAACATGATAAAATGGACAAACACTGAAAATGAAACAAACAAAAGTAGGTAATTACGTTCAGGAAGCTTCCCTGTGGCCGAGTGTGTGGTGTGGCAGGCAAATAGTCACACTGGAACCTGATAACCCGCACTGGGCATTCAAACATTGCAGCGAAATGGCACGTGTACCGGAACGTTAATCGTGGCACCCTAGATGATCATTCCGGAACGTCAACTGGGGTAGGGGTTAACGTAATTTAAAGTTACCGATAACAAATAAAAAAAGAAAAATTAAGTGACATGGGACTGAATTTCAACCCCAGGCTACAGGTCACTTTTTTCTTACTTTTTTATGGGCGATTAACCCACCCGGGCATAGGTCACTGACCCTTATCAGGGCCTGGGGGAGGGGGGATGTAATAATAATAACAATACAGTAGTACCCCGATTTGCGCGGTCAATTGAACCCACAGGGTACCGCGGAAAGTGAAATCCGCGTAAAGTGAACAACAGAACATATGGGATTAATTCCAATAGAGACTGGCCCGACCCCCAAACTCCACTTATTGACGACACACAACTATGTTGTAGTAAAAATATTATCTTAACTTTATGATGGTATGCACACACAATTAATATAGAAGAGGTTAGGTTAGGAAAAATAAAGGTTAAGTTTGGAAAAATAAAGGTTTGGTTAGGAAAACTAAAGGTTTGCGTGTAACACTTACGTTAGTAGAAGAGATGGGTCGGCATACGGGGATGGAGGCTGGTTCCGAGGCAGAGGGCAGATTACTGGCCCTCGGGTGAATCACCATGACTAGGTGAATCACCATCACTATCAGTCATAGTTGTCAGGGTCTCCCTGACAAATCCCTCAAAGTCACTTTCACTGGCTCTGGCTGGCTGTGGTGGGTTGCGGGCGAAGAACTCGGTAATGCTTTTTTGACGGCTAGTGTTGATGTTGTCTTGATACACCTTGATGTACGGCTCCATAGCCTGTACCAGCCGGGTATGGAAGACTTCATAGCGGTTATCGTCAGGGTCGTTGGAAAGGAAGAGCTTTAATTTTTCTGCACACTCGATGGCACCCTTAATATTACTATGCGTTAATTTGTGTTCTTCTGGGATTCACGCACCATCTTCCTCTTCACTGACGTTATCATCTTCCAACATCTCGTCGGCAGTCATTTCAGGATCTCTGATCACCTCCAGGATGTCTTCGTTGGTGGTCTCGGAGAAGCCTTCAGCTGTAATACTGTGCGCAGCTTCTCTTGCAAGGTCCAATGCCACTGTCACAGACTGAACCTCACCAGTCACAGGTTGACTCCGCCTCTCACCTGGTATACCATGCAACACATGCCTCCATGCGTGACGAATCGTAGCTATAGACAGCTGATCCCATGCCTCCACCAAGAAGTCTACAGCTTGTTTGATTATATAATTCATGAGTTTATCCAATAATTTTGTCTTCATCAGGTGGCGGAAGTGGAAACGTGGATAACAGGCGGAACATAGTGCCTCCTAGGCTACAAGATACGGCAGCTGCTGCAGCTAATATGCAAGGTCGAGGCAATCGTGGTGGTAATGCATCCCCAGGAGGAGATGGCTCTTCTTCTCGACCTAAAAGATACTCATCTCAGAGACAACGCTCCATCCCAGAACAGCAGGTTCCTCCCTTCCCACAGCAGCATGGCTTTATGGATCCATCTGTAGAGACAGGTGAGAATTTAGCTACTATGACACAATTAGTTTAAAGTCTTCATGATTTGAATCTGTTATGAAGAGATTTATTTTAAGATCACTGGCTGTGAATGGAGAAAATTGTCATCTACTCATGCGTGCTTAGGGTTGTTCTGACCCTTATCAACAACCTCTCGTAAAATATTCATTGAAAATAAACTCAAAAAGATAACTTCTATTTTCTCTGGTGCTATCTGGCATCTTTGTGTAATGCTACTGTGATGTGGAGAGAGGGAGGGAGGACGGAAGAGGTACTGGGCTAGCTGTAGAAGTCAGTGCTCTCTTGTCTGTGCAATCGGTCAGACATACGATTCATTGCTCGCCGCAGTCCCCTCTCCAGCTCACTTATTCAAAATAGGTTTACAAAGCAATTTCAGATATTTCTCCACTATTTATGTGCCGATCTTCAAAAATAAGGTCTCATTTTAAAGGGAAAAGAAATAAGAATTTGTTGGTCGTACTTTTTGTTTATTAAAAAAAATAGCTGAGGAGGTTGAATAATAAAAATAATAATGATTTGCTAAATATAAAAAATATATTAAAAATAATTCCAACAATTTGTTAATGATGTTGATAACTATTACATAAATAATATGCAACAAAATTCTTCATGGGATAGCAGAGAAATGTCAAATGAAATTTCTTGAAATTTCAGAATACAGCATGCCCTTCGAATTCACTGGGGTTAGGTTCTCAAAATGGCCGCTAATAGCCAAAACATTTGTTTCTTATTATTTGTGAGAGAATTTTTCCATTGTTGTTTACAGGGTATTTGTATCTGTTTTGTGTGTGTCTACACACACACACACATTATATATATATATATATATATATATATATATATATATATATATATATATATATATATATATATATATATATATATATATATATATATATATATATATATATATATATATATATATATATTAAAGATAGGATGTGTGGAGGGGGGTGATGGGTTGGGTAGATGATGAACCTTTATTGTGAAAGTGGATGGTATGGGGGAAAAAATATGTATTTTCCTTATTATATTCAATCACTTGATTAATATTTAACTTTCAGGTTATGAGGCAGGAGTTAATGATGGAGGGATTGTAACACCAACAAGCCATACAGTGACAGCTCCTCACACTCAGCATCCCTTAGCTGCGGGTGCTCCTCCATCCTTTGTTCCTCCTGCCTTCACTTCCCCTCCAACTTACCCGCCGGAGCCTTTCTTAGGAAGACCTCCTGCGCCTCGCATGTTCCCACCGGTCACACAGTCACCGCACATCTTCGGTCCCCCAGTTGCGCCACCTGTTCCTGGACCGCCTGTAGCCGGTCCCCCTCCAGTGGCAGGCCCTCTAGGTGCTCCTCCGGTGGGTGCACCCCCAGTCCCTGGTCCTCCAGTTACTGGTCCACCATTCTTACCCCCTGAGAACATGATTAATTATGGAGCTCATCCTGGTCCTCACCCTGGGCCCCTCCCAGGAGCTGCTCCTCACCCACCTCAGTTTCCACCATTCCAGGGTTACACTCCTGGCCCTGTGGTAAGTTACTTACAACATTAGTCTTCACTACATTTCAATACAGACACATTATAGAGAAAAATAGAAAGGATAGTACTGTAATCCCTTACCATATTTGGAATTCTCCCACATTTGGTAAAATGCAGTACACTGGGCAGATATTGAGAATTTTGATAGAGAACAGAGTAATTGAGCACTCCCATTCCCCGACGCCTGGCCTCACACACTCCCTAGCAATGCATAGAGCAAATATGTATACTGTATTAAGTATTTATACTTTGCAAGGTTTTTCTTTTTGTTTATGTATTTCTTGTGTATACAGTATTATTATTGAATATTATTTTACTTAGGGTCTAGCATTGAAGATGTTGGAACATCAATAATCACATGTTGTGCTTGGTCTTTGCAGCCAATTATTGTATTTAAACCTTGTAATTTATAATTTAACTACTTAAGGGTCAAGAGATGCTGGAGTCTGTAAGTGGAGGGGAGGAGAGGCAAGGGAAAGCCGAGAATGACAAAGGGAGAGATTGTAAGAAATGACATTAGAGTCAAGAATCTGACAAAAGAGATTGCAAGAGACTGCTCTTCATGGAGACCTGCCATCAGATAATTGCTGCTGTATATTGAGGGATACCTGTATATTTAAGGTCAATGTTAAACTCAAGTTTGATGTTGTTTGGCATTTATACAACTTTGTTGGATCTTCTGAGTATTTATGTAGTTATGTATTTATCAAAATGTAGGTCGAAGTTATGGTACTGTACACACACACACACACACACACACACACACACACACACACACACACACACATTAGAAAGTCTTTATAGGTACCTGTATTTACTAAAAGTTTTGGAAGGCTAAGTGTTGCACTTGAAATGTCATGCTTCATTTTGTTAACTAAACTTCTGTCATCACTACTTATCAATTTTTGACTCCTTCATGTTTAATTATCTACTTTTGCTTGCATATCCATATTTATCCCAACTATTTTTGCTTTAAATGCATGAACTTTGAAATTAATAGAGGATTGTCAGAACCTCCAGAAAAATGCTCTACTGAGTTTTACCATTTATGTTCATAGTATCTCATAAAGTACAAGGCAACTAATAAGGAAGTAGGTACCTTCTCTTTGGTAATTAATATAGTGTAGCGGTGTTATATGTGTACTGTGTGGGCCCCACAGAAAAAAAGACATAGCAATAATTTGTTCTTTTCGTACACTATAGTTGTGTTTCTCGTGTGGATTTGCCAGATGACCCAACCATCCAATTGTTAAGCAGCTATGACTTCCTGCTATCCCTACAGGAGTTAAAAAAAAAGGTGGTGGGGGTATTTTCAATAAAAATTTGTGTACGGTAAACCCTTGCTATTCGTGAGGGTTACGTTCTAAGGAGTGGCGTGAATTGGCAAAACCTCGAATAGCAACTTACCCCGTATGTAATACCTTAGTGCACTAATGTATACCTATACTGTGTGTGAGAAACTTAGTCACCAATACCACTTACATTTATATGTGGAAGCTTGGAGCTTCATGAAGTGGTGTACTGTACATAGGGAGACATCTGGTTACTGAAGCATAGGTGGATCATCAGGATCACTGTTGGAAGAGGGTGATGCAGTGGTGGTTTGTGGAGAGGCGGGTGGCTGGGAGGAGGAGGGTGGAGCGGCGGCGGTAGCAGCTGAGTGAGTGAGGGAGGGCGACTTATCAACTGGGCAATTAGCTGGTTCTTTCTTGAAAAACATCGTGATTGGTAGTTTTCTTCTTGGCTTTAAGGTATTTAAACATTTCCTGGTAGGGAAACAATACCTGGTTGATTTCTCGGACCCTCTTAAGGCTCCATTCCACGGAAGGGTCGTGGTCAACATTGAAATCAGTTACCATCTTCACGTGTTGAAAAAGTTCACCCAAATTGTACAAGCCCTAACCTTCTTATTGCAATTCCACAATTTCTTTATCTTCCTCAGCACTTTTTACAAACTCTTCCAAATCTTCTTCTGTCAGTTCCTCTTCATGCCCATCAATCAGCTCTTTCACGTCTTCATCAGCCATGTCCACAAACCTCTCACCACCCAATTGATATGCAACACTCACACTGTCATTCACATCCTTTATTATGGACAAAAATCCCTCAAAGTTATTCACACACACACACACACAGGCCATAAGGTTTGCCAGCAAGCATTCACTGTCTGGTTTGATTTATTGAATGATTCGCTGATGTTGGTAATGCAGTCCGCAATGCTGTACTCCTTCCAACACTTGCTAATATCAAGGTCAGGGTCTGCATCCATGGCACTATGGATACGACCAAAAGGGAGTCGGGGGTGCAATATGCCTTGAAGGTGTGTATTACACACTGATTGAGAGACTGGTTAAGAGCAGTTGTGTTAGGGGGTAGGAACACCACCTCAACACCTGGATGATTAAACTGCAAACTTTCTGGGTGGCCTGGTGTATTAATTTTCTATCAATAATAGCACCTAGAATTCCATCTTCTTGGAAGCAAGGTACTTTTCCACTTCTGGGACAAAGCATTTATGGAACCAGTCCAGGAATGCTTGCACAGTTACCTATGCCTTTTTGTTTGACTGCCAAAAACCTGGCAAAGGGTTATTGTTTTTATCCTTTAAAGCCCTAAGGTTTACTAATCGGTAAAGCAAGCCAGGTTTGACCATGTGGCCAGCTGCACTGCCACTCTGTCCTTGGCTGCCTTGAACCCAGGGGCATGCCTCTCCTGCTTGTTTATGTATTTCTACCAGGCATCTTTTTCCAGTATAGACCGGATTCATCGGCATTAAGCACTTCTATTATTTTCTTTAACTTAGCAGGAAATGCAGCTGCGGCTGTGTGGTCAACTGATGCAGCCTCCCCAGTCAGCTTCACATTATGGAGAGAGAATCTTTCCTTAAAATTCTTGAACCTAGTAGGTTAGGTTAGGTTGCTTCAGTAGCCGCACTAGCCACTTCACCACCTGTTGACTCGTAAAAATGGGCATAAAGACTCTTAGCCTTCTCACGAGCCTTGTTGCTGTTGATTGGAACATTTTTGCAGTGCTGGTGGCAGATACCATAAGCTATTTGACAAATTTTGCACTGTCAGGTGAGAATAGTATTGATTGTGATCTGGCTCTTTTAACTTAAAATGAATCACAATCAAGGGGATCTGTGCACTTTTCGGACAACCTGAGGACTCAGGATAAAAGAAAGAATTGTTTTTTCAGCACAAACAGTTCGCAACTCTTTGTGACTAACTGTTTAATAATAATAATAATAATAATTAACGGTTTATTGAAAGAGCATGGCAGCCGGAAGACTGAAAATATACAATTACATAATTGGGGAATGGGTCTCTTGATTTACAAATGATGTACAAGTAACATAAGTGATACAAATATGACATATAATAATTAGGTGTTGATAATTTTTACAATGGTTGGGACTGGGCTGTTCTTGTAGCAATCAGTTCGTGCTCGTATGGGCTGGATGCGGTTGGGCAGGTGTGTGGCCAGGACAGTAGCTTGGGGCAATGCAGGTGTGCTCCATCCTTCAGGTTAGGTCAGGTGAAGCCGTGAGGTCAGGTCAGGTTAGGTCAGATCCAGCCACAATCAGTATTGCTGTGTTTTTGAGCTTTTCCTTCGAGTTGAAATTGCCACTTTTGTATATCACTTGTGGGTTAATCGTCAATCTTTGCACTGTACTGTTGGTGTGAGGTTGTTGATAACTCCAGATGGGAAGGAGGAGATGGGGAAGGGGAGAGCCCGACAGACCGGGCTGGCAGCTGTCTCCATGGTCAAGAGACCACGGCCGCGTTAGCGGGCAGCGCCGACTACACACGTCCTTACCCTATGAAGGCCGAGGGAAGTGTTTGAGAACCACTGCATGTATAGTAATTGCTGAGCCACTAGTCCATTGCATTAAAAGTGGTAACTCTCTGGTGGTAATCATTTCAAATTTGGACCTCTTCCATATTCAACACTGAAGAATGTCTAATTTGAAATATTTAATGATTAAGAAAATTAAAAAAATTTTACTTTCTGTAATTCTATTAAGTGAACCAGAATATTATTCTAATAATATATGATTGCATCTTGGAACAAGAATGGCCAGCCCAAAGGACACATTAGGCTTTGTGTATAAGGTATAGGAGCTATTGCTAAATGCAACAACCACACCTTTATTGAGTGAGCTTTGTAACAGATGACAAGGAAGACTACAGGAAGTCAAACAACTAGCCAGCCTCTTATGTGCTAATCACTTTACATCAAGATCCATTATTGCTGGTTAGGCAGGGGCTATTAGTGTAAAGAAACTTGTCATACTTTACACTGCTTGAGATTTAAGCTCAAAATTATTTACTTGCGAGACAACCAGGCTAATTATTACACTTCGGGTTGCTAAACCATAATGTATGATTTTCCTAATAGACTGTTTTAACCAAAACTTTGCATAAACTGTGATATCAGGAGAGCATAACAATAATATTGATATACCGGTACTATATTGAAGAAATCATATAGGACACAATATTGGAAACTTATTTAATGAGGTTTGATCAGTGTCTTTGCTTGGTCAGTACACAAATAATGAGTATTGTATATCCCTTGAGAATTCCTGAAGGTGTTTTTAACATAATTTGATATTGCAGTCACAGCCCGGGGAGATCTACAGCAATGGTGTGACGTATTACAACACAGAGAGTCAGCAGCACTTACCAAGAAGTAATCCACGACTACAGAAAAGGCCAAAGGCAGCAATTCCGATAGTGCCTCCTCCTGAGCGGGAGAATAAGAGGGAAGAAGGAACTATTACCCAAGAGGAAGCTTCAGAGGAAGTTATAGTAGAGTGTGAGATGCAAGATTACGAACACTTACCTTCTAGTAATGTTGAATCTTCTCTTCAGTGTGATCCCAATGAAGGACAGCTCCAATCTGAAGATTCTTTCAGTAATGACATTGTAAATCAATCCCAACAGCCTTTGCAACAAGATACACAAGAACAGGAATGCAAGGATTTATTGCAGAAGGATATCACTCCCTGTGACTCTCATCCACAGCAGGACACTAATAATGAGACCACCACAAGCACTATATCTGACCATATATCTGACCAAGTAATTTCATCTGACAATAATGATGAATCACCCAAGGAGCCATCAGTTGAATCTTTACCACCTGAGCAAAATAAACAAAATAAAGAAGTAGTAGAATCAGATCAGGTTTCTGACACAGCAGTAGCAGCTTCATAATATTCTCTCTTTATAAAAGTTCCCTTTATAGGACTGGAAGGTATTTATTACTATTTTAACTATTTTACCAATATGAAAGGGTCTCTCCAGTCATTATAAATTATTATATATTTCCGTATTCCATAATTGTAGACAAATTGCTTCTCACAGTGCATTTTATATCTTATAGCTTTATGAAATGTTCTAGTTTAATTTTGGTAATTGTTGCATTTGATGTATCGGGTATGCATAATCTGTGTACTGTAAGTAAAGATAGAGTCTCGGGTAGCCGAGTCTCATTTACTATAAAAACATTTAAAAGATTAGAGTTTCTGCTTTTGGAGATATACTTTGTGCATCCCTCTGTTTCATTTTATGAATTATATAAATGAATATTGGTATAATTATTATATGTTAGGAGACCAGAATCTGTATATTTACTGGAAGAAGAAATCCTAAATCCTTTCACTGTTGTGTTCATGGAAGTTTAAAATGCCTGGGCTACTATGGAATATGGTAAACATTTAAATGTACTCATGAATACTCCAGCTATACCATATCAAGGTTTAAATTATCTAAAAATTCTGATGCGACAGATAACGTACCATAAAAAATTAAGTACAATAATTGCTACTTGAATGTCATGTAGAAAACTTGAATCACATTTGGCTTGTTTATGAGTATAATTGTGTATTGTTTATCAAGACTGAAAGGTCATATGTGAATGCATTTATATAAAACCTTTTGTAATGGGAGTGGGAGAATACACTTTGGGTATTTTATTTTTATTTTTTTTTTTTTTATTGTAGGGACAATTGGTTTAGAATTGCCTTGTATCTTATTTTAAGCTGGAGTCAACAATGACATTACCCCTTTTGTATGATTGAAACAAGGAAGTTTTCAATCTTAATGTTTGTTATTAATTGGTTTATATTTTATTTGTTCAGAAACCTGTAATATACATATTTGAATGACAAATTTGTTTTTTTCTTGTGAATTGTTTCTCTTGGGCTTGCTGTCCTTTGGTGAAGGTATCATAACTAAATGACTCAATTTTTGTGGAATTCTGTTAAGGAAATGTTATAAGCAGTCAACATATACTACTACTACTTTGCTGTCACTCGAGATCGAGTATGATAATAATCCAGCTATGATACAATGTGGGATCAGCAGGACGGTCCACAGATGTTGCACGTGTGGAGGGCTACATCTAGTGCGGGAGGGGCGGCAGCAGCTTCTTTCTAGCACTGGCGCTTGTCTGCCTCGGTATGCAGTCAGGCTAACTCAAAAGTATTGACACCTTCTTGTGTGGTGCTCCTCCAAGCGTTACGATGTGAAGTGATCGTCTCCCAGGTGAGGGGATCGATTTGGCACTTTTTCAGGTTTGTCTTGAAGATCCTTATACCTTTTCTGTTTTCCGCCAGTATTAGGTTCACCATTCGTTAGGTGATTTTAAAGTAGCTGCTTTGGCAGTCTACTGTCGTCCATGCGGGTAACATAGCCAGTCCAATGTAATTGTTCATGGATAGTGGGAGTGTCGGTGCGCCTTCACTTTGTGTCCGTGAGAATACAGCTAGACCCCGACTTACGACTGCTTCGACTTACGACCGCCGCAGTTGTGACCATATTTTTTTTTATTTATTTATTTTTTTCAAATGACGCACGCATTTTCTATACCGAAACGTTTCCAGTTAATGTAGTCTCCATGTATAATTAGAGAATTATGAGGGCCCCATGTGCATTCAGCTGACTACATTAAAGGTAAGTGCTCAGTCACACTGTATCCATTCCCCCAAGGCACCAAGATGGGACCACTCTGCTTCCTTATGCTCATCAATGATGCCCTAAGAGAAACCCCTGCTCGCTGGAAATATGTCGACGACTCCACCATTGGGATCAGCGTCAACAATTCTGCTCCCAACTATACCGCCCTTCAGGATTTATTGAACAGTCTCCAAAACTGGGCCACCAACAACCATGTCACCATCAACCATACCAAGACCATAGTTATGCACATCAACCTCTCCTCCGACATTGTCCTACCTCCTTCCATTACTCTAGGTCCGAACACACTCCAGGTTGTAGATTCCACGAAGCTCCTCGGCGTCACCATAGACAACAAACTAAATTGGAAACCACACGTCAGTGAAGTTGTCAAATCCTCCAGTTTCTGTCTCCACCTCCTCCGCCGACTCAAGTCCCTCGGAGTTCCTGCACACGAGCTCCTCAGTGTTTACACAACATTCATACTTCCCAAGCTCACCTATGCCTCCCCACCTGGTCTTCCTCCCTAAATGCCACACAACGTAAACACCTAGAAAAAGTGCAAAAGAGGGCATGCAAGATTATTCTCTCCCCTTCCTACTCCACATATCAAGAAGCGCTCAACACACTGACCCTTTCGACTCTCACTGACCATCACCACGACCTCATCTGCAAATTTGGTAAGAAGCTTCTACACCATCCTGTCACTATGTTGAAATGAACTGTAGTTTGAGCTTTTCCCCACCTAGTTATTATATGTCTTATTTGTGTCACTTATGTTACTTGTATATTATTTGTAATTCGAAACCCATTCCCCAAATATGTAACTGTATATTTTCAGCCTTCTGGCTGCCAAGCTCTTTCAATAAACCGTTAATTATTATTATTATTATTATTATTATTTATTACTTTCACTGTACTGTGAAAGAGACTTAGGGGTACTTGTAAGCCCGGATCTACGGCCTAGAAAACAGTGCGTTAATGTTCGAAATAAGGCAAACAGAGTATTAGGTTTCATATCTAGAAGTGTAAGTAATAAATGTGCAGAGGTCTCATTGCAACAATATCTTACGCTAGTCAGGCTGCACCTCGATTATGCGGTTCAGTTCTGGTGCCCTTATTTTAGAATGGATGTCAATTCACTGGAGTCGGTGCAGCGAAGAATGACGAAAATTATTCCGGGACTTAGAAACCTTCCATGTCAAGATAGGTTAAAGAAACTAAACTTGCATTCCCTAGAAAGACGAAGAGTGCAGGGAGATATGATAGAAGTATTTAAGTGGGTGAAAGGAATCAATAAAGGGGATATAGATAAAGTTCTTATAATATCCGAGCAGGATAGGACTCGTAGCAACGGATTTAAGTTGGATAAGTTTAGGTTTAGGAGGGAGATAGGAAGGAAGTGATTCACAAATAGGGTGGTGGACGAGTGGAACAAGCTTAGCAACTTTATAGTAAGTGCTGAAACGCTGGAAAGTTTTAAAAGGAGGCTAGATAGATTCATGGATGATAAAGAGTGGTAGTAACTCTCGACAGGAGCTACCATGCACAGGGCAAAGTTGTATGAATTTTACTAACTTTATAATTAAATTTAACACCCAAAACTAAACATTTACCCCGGAAGGTTCGTCTGAGAATACAATGTGTGGGTCAGATATGTCAACCCGTCTCCTCAAATGCAGGAAGATAATATACTTTTTTTACTTCCATTAATCTTCACCAGTGATGGGAGCTCTGAGGGGTACAAGAAGGGTCCTACAGTACAAGGTAAAGTTCAGTAGTGGGAAATATAGGTTTTCGTCTTTATTTATTGTGTAGGCATTATTTAGTTTACTCTCCACTGTCTCCAGGTATATCTTTTTGTTTAAGAAAAATAATATAAATTTGAATTACGTCCCCGCTATTCCCGCCATTACTGCACACGACGCGTTGTGGCTTCGTCAATTGATGGTTGCTCTTGATCCCCTTATGTCCACACAGTAAATACAGGTGAGAATCTTATTATGAACATTAAACTCAGTGTACTATGTCGTAATAATCATTATTTAACCAGTGAAGGAAGGTGTGTGTTCATCTCGTCCCCAAAGGTCTCCATGGTGTAGTTCTTATACTCGTGGCCATTTTGGTAGCGAGATTTATAACAATATTCTATGAGGGGCCATCAGGTTACACATCTCCTCTCACTAATAAAACTTTACCCTATTGTTCCCTAGTTAGTTGGTTAATGTGGAAGCAGTCTTTATAGTTCCCCATAACCTTATACAGTACAGTACAATTAACACAGACTTCACATTAGGTATATTCATATTTATCTAACTCTACTAACACATTAAGAGACTAAAAATGTTAAACAAAACACTATGATAGTTGTGTAAGGTGTGGTGAGGTAGAATATTCATTTATTTTACTTCTATAACAAATAAATGGTTTAAAAATATACCTTTAGTACAGTCTGTAATGTTAATGGTAAGTTATATTGTATTTTTAATGTAGTAAATATAAGGGTAAGAATACAATGATCATGCTTGTCATTATATTTACTATGTGATTAAGTAGAAAGGAAAATTATAATGTTAGGAGACCTTCACTTTTATTAACAACAGGATATATTATAATAAATGATTGAGTTAAAAGAAAAGTCATCCAAATATGTCACGGACAAATGTATTAATATGTAATATTTATTTCTTTATTATTGTTTTTGTGTGTGAAATCGGTTAGTTTGCAAAATTACCTGTATGCATATTGGTAATTTTACAAAATAACTTACAAACAGGTTAATCAAAGTAAAAAAATAAAAGAACAGGGCCACTTAACTGTGTATCAATCTACACGGCCATCCAAACCTAACCTAGTCTAACCTCACCTAACCTAACCTAACCTAATCTAGTCTAACCTAATCTAGTCTAACCTAATCTAGTCTAACCTAACCTAACCTAATCTAGTCTAACCTAATCTAATCTAGTCTAACCTAATCTAGTCTAACCTAATCTAATCTAGTCTAACCTAATCTAGTCTAACCTAATCTAGTCTAACCTAATCTAGTCTAACCTAATCTAGTCTAACCTAACCTAACCTAATCTAGTCTAACCTAATCTAATCTAGTCTAACCTAATCTAGTCTAACCTAATCTAATCTAGTCTAACCTAATCTAGTCTAACCTAATCTAGTCTAACCTCACCTCTCACTTAACCTGACCATACTTTTACTTGTATCCTCTTCACCACTGATCGGTTCGTTAGCTGTTAACTATAAGGTTAGTGTTAGTTTAGGTTGTCTGTTTGTAAGTTCAGTAAATATATAGGACCACCTGCGAGCGAAATTGATTGAAAACAATTATAAAAACACCAGATTTTCATTGTTATATTATAGTGTACACTTGTAGTTTGTGGAGGTACTGTTTATATATGCTGTACATGTATATGTAAATTGTAAAATTTCAAATAAAAGAAAAAAAAATAAGGGATTGCTGGGAATGATTTTTAATTCATTGGTGAAATTTCAATCATGCACCAGTCTTTCGCTCACTGTTATTAATATGTTTTTCGTAATGTTTAGACAATTCTAAGACCCCTTTCTTCTGTGATATTCCCACTTGAAATTAAGGATAACCTTGCCTAGCTTATACTACAGACAGGCAAGGGGCGACCTAATTGAGGTGTATAAGCATCTCGAGGGGCACTACTCAGTCGAGTGTCCTTACCTGGGGCTGGTGGATGCTCGCCCCACAAGGGGTCACAGCTCAAGATTGAAGAAGACGCAGGTCTGTAAAACTGTGAAGGCAAACTTTTTCGGAGTGAAAGTTGTGAACTCTTGGAACAATCTGCCAGAAAGTGTTGTGACGGCACCGAGTGTGAGCTCTTTCAAGACCAGACTTGACAAACACTGGAGCAGGTTTAGGTACATTCAGGAGCCGGTGCATGCCCAGTACTGTACTTGCCAACAGTGCGTAACAGAGACGTGACCGATCGCCCAAGCGGCTAACAAGCCGATGAGTGGTGAAGAGGATAAAAGTAAAGTAAGGTAAAAGTATTAGGTTTGGTCAGTCACAAGTGTCGCCATTTGTTGTTTACGTCTCACAGAGAAGGCCTGACCACCCATCACGCAGTGCTCCTTACCTACGTGTTGGCTTCTTAAGCGTCTACAGCGTATGCGAGGGGGTGGTGTGGGATTTTCTTATTGGCTATAGCGATAGGAGACTTATAATTGGGCAAAAGTTTGTTGTCTTAGCCAATGAACAATGCGTGGGAGGGTCGAGAGCGGAGATTTGATTTTTCAGTACCAGAATAACCAGCTATGGCTGAGCACGTGGAAAGAGCTGTGTGGACATTGTGATAGAGATTATTTTACGTCAATTGCAGAGTTTCGTCAGAAAAATAGTGTTAGGTTTGGTTTTGTTGGTTTGTTGGTTTTTTATTTATGTGATTTACTAGAAAACAAAACAAAATTTCGTTTAGATTAATGGGTAGGGAGGGCACCTCAGTTACCCAGAGAGATTAGAATGCCTGCAACTGCCTAGGTTATACTATAGACAGACAAGGGGTGACCTAATTGAAGTTTCTAAACATCCTAAAGGTATTCAGTCCATTGTCCATACCTGGAGCTGGCAGATGCCTCCCTCTCACTAGAGATTACAGCTCAAGGTTGAAGAAGCCACAGTCCAGAAAACTGGGGGCAAAGTATTTCAGGGTGAGAATTGTGAACTCTTGGAACAATCTGCCAGAGTGTAAGGTAGTGGCACTGAGTGTGAGCTCTTTCAAGACCAGACTTGACCAACACTGGAGAAGGTACAGCTACATTCAGGAACCAGTGCATGCCCACTTACTTGCCAACAGTGCGTAACAGAGACCTGACGAACTGCCCAAATGGCTAATGAGCCGATCAGTGGCGAAAAGGATAAAAGTAAAAGTAGATGTTAAGTAAAATTTTATGGTAAAGAGGAGTTTTCGTTCATGTACTGAAGCATTGGAACAAATTTTTTTTTATGTGTTAGCAAAGTTTCTTTAACCAAGGTTTTGTCAATCAGAGTGCTCCTGTATATACAGTACAATAGTCCAAAATATGTAAAGAAATTTTTTTTTTTTAGAAGCCACTATATTTTATTTAAGTGATATAAGTGGGCCTCATAAGTCCTAACTCTCACAAGACTGTGGTTTACAACCATATTATCTACCTTCTTGTGTTGTTATATACACTGGGTACAGTCTTTTGGAGATCCTGCAAGCATGCTTCAGCTTCAGTTGCTTCACTATCTCCACACTTAACATGATTGCAGGACTTTGTGACCAATATGATCTCTTATTTTCATGTCTATAATGAACGTCACTATCATGTTTTGAATAATAGGTGGATTGGATTTTAGGTAAAGTACAATGCAGTACCGTATAGGTAATCCAAGTGACATTGTATGAGTGCCCAGGAAAGATCCCTATGGGCATTGGCTGAGAGGCATTTAGCATTATCTTGGCATTTACATGTATTCACTATATTATCTACAAATAATTCACCAGATACAGAATACGTATAAGAAAGAGTTGAGAGATACCCCAAGGGTTTTCACTGAGGCTGCAGCCACTATAGATTCATTCCCACATAGTACAGGTTATTGCAATTTTTAAAAATTTTAACAGCTCATGGTGATACTCCCAAGATTTCCTGTTGGTTTTTGCCAGCAGGATAAATGGCATGGTTATGTGCTTGCTTAGAAATAATCATTAAGATATGGTTTTCCCTTTTATCTTTATTATCTCTAGGCTTGGCTGTAAAGAATAGAGGCTGATGTCAATGTTATTTCATAAGATTTTTGTTTATTTGTTCAAGAATTTTTCTATAATATAATGTTATACTGTATTTCAGATAAATATGTCAAATTCTTTAAGCTCCTTCTTGGTGCAAGGATCAAGCCAAACAGCAGTACCATTTGAAGGGGAGGCAGGAGGATCATCATTATCAGTGGGAGCTTTCCTAACAGGGTTGACTACAGCCAACCCACACTGTTCCACCTCCTTCCTTACCCCATCTTCTCAAACTTCTGATGCAGCATTTCTAACAAGTCAGGCAGGAACATCAGAGACATTTCTCAGCCTTTCTGAATCCTCAGAAACAGCTGAAACATTTCTGTCTGGTACTGAGGGAGATGTTAGCAATGCTGAAGAAGTTTTACTTGGTGGAAATGAGGGAGAAAGTGAGGAGTTGGCCGAGGGTCCATTGTTGTACCTGGACCCTGCTACTGGTCTTCATGTATTGGTTCATCATCTACCTCACTCTGCACAAGAAACTCCAGGCTCACAGGTATAACATATTTAAAACTTTTTATTTATTTATTTTACTATTATTTTTTTTATGGTGGGCTAAATGGCCTTTTGGATAGGAAAATGGTAGGCCAGTGTTCAGAATAATTAAAATTTCAATGGCTACTTTCATATTAATATTACTGTACTTGATTTAACTTAATGGAATGGTGTATAACTCACTCTTTCCATGTGCTTGTCATTAATTCTTATCTTTTCTCAGTATCATACAGTGGAATGTACTATAAGCCCCATTAAAGAAGTTAATCTAAAAAATCATAAGTTAGAGTAATGGTATAAATAACAAGAGTTGTCAGAAAACTACAAAGCTGAGGTGCAGGTGAATTTGGAAATAAAACTTACCAGTGTTTACAATGAATGACATAAGAGTGCAATATACATGCAATAAGTTTTTAAGCTTCTGTGACCACAACATGGGACCTGTCATTACCACTAACGTGTAGTCTGGGCATCTTTGTTCTGTGGCCAATTTTATCCTACAATTATTATTTTTTCTCCCATAATTTATGCATCACTGGCTTTGTTATTGTTTTAGATTTAACATAAGTCATAAAATAAATAATAAGATGAAAAAAATACTACAGTATATTTTTTCACTCCGAATAAAGATCCCCCCCCCCCTCCCATCTTCTTATCTTGAATATTTTTTCACAAACCTACCAATTGCATCATAGTTCTAGAAGCATAATTTTATGAGATTTTCAATGGTGGCTTTAAAATGTTCATGTATCTAATATCTTGGGTGAAAATTGCAAAAAATTAAAAACATACTGTACCAAAAAATCACCAAAATCTTTATATCTTTTTTATTTTTTCGTGGCCATGAGGTTTATTGAATTAAATTTTAGTGCATTGTATAACTTATAATGTTAGGTAGGAAGAGAACAGTAGTCTTAAATATCCAGGTGCACATATGATTATCATGTAATCAATTTTTTAATTTGGTGGGCTGGCGTTTTTCCAAGAGTCATGCTCCTAGCCACTCTCTCTCTCCACATTTTGTATGCATGTTATGTATACCTGTATAATCATATTCTATGAATTACCCTGTACACATAAATTCAGTTACATACATCAATTTAAAAATATATTTATTTGTACCTTATATATAAACATACTGTATAGGCCATATATTTTGAGCTGTACTGTATATGGTGGAGGCAGTGGTAGGAAGCAGTTTCCTCATCTCCCAGATATTTCCCATGATAATGAACCTTGTGAGGCATCTTCTGTTATTGTTTGAATGAATTTGAAATTTTCAAATATTTTCTCTGTGAATATAAGAAAAAAAAACATTCAAGACACTTGAAATCACTTGAAAAACTTTTTCACTATAAAACTTCACTGTATTCCAATTGTGTATAGCAAGTGTAATGGGGAGGTTTTGAGAGGAGTTATAACTACAAGGTATTTCAATACACATCACTTTATAAGAATAAATATCGAGGTTGTAAGTAATTCAAATGTGGAGATAATGTCCACTTGGTCACATGACCATTTCACCAATGTCTCACAAATTCAAAAATATTTCTATATTTCATTATAACTATTTATCACTTTTATAAGAATAAATATTGAGTTTGTAAGTAATTAATATTTGGAGATTGGTGCAAATGCCAAGGTAGCTATTTTTAAATCGCGCCCAGGACACACACCTCTCACTTACTGAGCCAGATGCAAAAGTAGCATGTTTGTCTAGAGGCTGTGTGGTCCACTGCACGTATACGGGTTGCCACCTATCCTTAAAACTCTGTTCCATGCGGGAGAGTGGTATGAAGAAAGTGGCATTAAAATTTGAAGTAATTCAACTAGGAACTGTTGGAGATAATGAACTACAATTATAATCCAAGGTGGCGTGTGTGATTGTGAGGCAAAAGTTTCATTTACATTAAATCAAAACACCACTTATGAGTGAATGATCCTGGGTGTTTCAAGTCCTTAAACAGAGTTTGAAATCTATCCTAGCTTTAATTGGAAGCCAATGTAATTTGATCAAGAATAGAGAAGTGGGAGAACAAAACTAAACCTGGCAACCCTGTTCAACACTGTTTGAACTTTCTTCAGTAGATAATTAGGTAGGCAGACCCATAAAGAGTTACAATAGTCAACCTGAGACAAAATAAGTGAATGTACAGTAATGGTGTCACAAGACACTGTCTATCCTAAAACTGTTTAACAGCATATAGATTTTGAATATGATAGTTACAACTGTTAACTACTGAATTTACATGCTCTTTAAAATTAATGTTTTGAGTCGAAAGTACACTCCAAGATTACGAATGGAATTGACAGGACTGAGTTATACTTTTCCAAAGTTTAAAGAGCCAAAATCATGTGTGCTGTTTCCCCTTCTATTTCCTTGGATGACAATATTCTAGGTTTTGCCGTTACTCAGCGTAAGTTTTCAACTAGCCATCCAAATCTTAAAATCAGATCAAGGATTTCACTATCTACTCAATATCCTTGACTTTTATTATTTTCACATAAAGCTGTGTATCATTCGCATAGAAATGGTAGGTAACACCATGAGCATCCAGCAAAGATGCAAGACTAATGGTATAGATTCTAAACAGAAGTGGTCCCAAAACTGATCCTTGTGGGACTCCGTATTGCAAGGGGACCAGGTCTGAAATGGTCCCGCCAAATATCACACATTGAGATCGCTCTGACAAATAAGACTTAAGCAGTGAGTGTGTATACTCTTACACTAAACGACCAAAGATCCAGAAACAACAGGATCTTTGAGTCAAAAGCTGCAGAAAGATCCCGCAAGACCAGGAGTGTTTATTAACAAATCGTTAGGAATTTTACATAAGGCAGTTTTAGTTGAATTATGCTTCTTATAGGGTGACTGGACCAGAGGGATCACTCAGTTTCTCTCTAACAGAGGAAGTTACTGATAATAATGAGAGATTGGAGACCAGACGATACTTGACATATTTTCAGTACGTACTATCAAGACCGGGTTTCTTAAAAAGTGGGCGCAATAAAGCCTGTTTCCCAGATCGCACAAAATTGCCCTGTACAAAGCATTTATGATTCTACAAATAAAGTGCAGCATATTTATAAGCGAGTGGTACCTTCGATACATTTACAAGATTAAGACAATAAATTCTTCTTTGAGTTCTTGATTTAGCGAGGAATGCTTTTCACCCCTATAAGACAAAACAATGAAAGATTAGAAGAAGGCATAGTAGTTCCGGACTTCCGGCCCAACAATCTATTCATAACTGCATAAAAAAAATTCTGATCACTGTCACAAAAGGCTACTTGACTTCTGTAGTACAGTATTCAACTTTGTGTGCCCTCACTGAGCAAACAACAACCCTACGCACAGTCTACACTACTCTCGTTCAGCACTAATACAACCTCTACGAAGAGAACTTATAGAGGAGTCATACCATGGAGAGTTGTCTTTTGCTGTAATTCTCTTTGTGACCTCTGGATAATAACAGTGTGAAATGGACTGGAAGACATAATATGTAATTTAACTATCTCATCAGTGTAGTTGACTCAGTTCAAAGATGATCGACCTTCTGATCAATCATGGTCTGATCAATGTTTCTATTGTTCCTGAAAGTAATTGTTTTACTGTAAGAAGGGAGTCTTGGGACTTTAAAACCAAAAGTAACCAAAGCATGGTCAGACACTGCTGGATTAATCAGGTCAACTGCAATATCTAAAACATGATCACAGTCAGCAGGAGACAAAACTAGGTCTAGAGTGTATCCAGAAAGATGTGTTGGCCACAACACATGATTAAAAAAAAAAATTTTGATCAAGAATTTCCAAGAACTCGGAGGAAAAAGGTTTCAGCGATGGGTTGTTAGCCCGATAATTAAAGTCACACAGATCAACCATTGCCTGGTCTTTCGTGCGAAAGTCTCAAGAAACAAACCAAATTGATCCATGAACTCCCTATCTGTACCTGGGTGACTATGACATTAAACAATAGCAAGTACTCTCAAAACAAATGATGACATGCAGCAAGGTTGCTAGCTGAAAGAGATACAAGTGAAGGTGGCCCATGGTAATTTTGGCCCAGTGACTTTGGCACATACGAGTGATTTCCTTCCAATCATAATATGGGCTGAGAGCCCTAGATCTGTATCAATAATACATGGGCATAGCCATGAATTTACTTTGGGAAAGGATTGTGGTGATGTGCTCTGTGTGTTAGTGTTAGAGAGGTCATGAATTTTAATACTGTTGTTACATTTCTAACCTAATAAATTGTAATGATTGCAAATAAACTCATATGTAATATGAAAAGTAATACAAATTATATATTACCAAAGAAAGTTATTGTTGGTGTTCTCAGACCATATTATGATTGGGCTGAGGTAGTGATGCAAAAAAAAAATCTTGGTTCATTTTTTTACCTTTTTTTAAATTTAATTTTGTTTTCAGTCTCATTTAAAAGGGTAATTGATTTGTTCTGCACCATTTTCTGTGCTGGATTTTTTTTTTTTTTTTTTGTTAGCCATTGTAGCTAGTCTCACTCCTCAAAGGGGTCAAAATAGCCATTTCCTTGCACACACTAGCTGAGATGGATTGACAGGTAGTTTAGGCATTACGAGAAATTAACCACAGGTTTATCTGAGCTCGGGTATTTCTTCTTTATATCATATGTACACTTAAAACAGTTTTCAGTATGCTTCATCATTCTTGTTCCATTCTTGCTCAGAACAGTACAACAAAATACTGTACAGTATATATTTCACCCTGGATGTCTTCAAACCTTCACCCTCTACATCTTTAAAAATAGTAATAACTGCTGTTTTCTTTCTCTGAGTCATGTAATATATGATCTGAAGCCTCAGAGGATTCACGTTGTTCGAAAACATATATACTTATTCATGCTAAAAGTTTGTGGATGTAGAACTACCAACTGTTCAGAAACAGGTTGAATAACATTGCTCAGAAAGCCTCAAATTACATCGACCCCATGGCTAACAATACTTTTTGGGGGGACAGTACATTGTCTTTTTGTCATTCTTAAGCAAAATATACCCCTGAATATGTATTGCTCAATCTCTGTTGGTAAAGAGCTTTTACAGTGATGCTCCATCATATACCTCAGCTGTGTTGCCATCAGCTTCTTCAATCTATCATTCATCAAGACCATTTATATTTAGCATAGTAAGTAGTGTATATGTATTACAGTACATCATTATTTTCTTGGATTCACATGATTGTGTACACATGTATGCAATTACAGTACAGTACTGTATATCTAATATTGCACAATACTTAATACAGGTTGAACCTCTGTAATCCAGTAACCTTGGGACCTGAGCAGAGCCGGATCATAGAATTTTCCAGTTCATGGGAGTTATCATATAAGCTATAAGGTAAAAATTACTTAGAGAACCGTAATACAGTACTCATTAATAGTTTATCTTTCTTTCATTCATTAACTACTGTACTGCATTTAGCACTTTATGTAATACAGTGGTCCCTCGGTTAACGAACGGTTCAATTAACGAAATTTCGGTTAACAAATTATCTCCCATAAGGATCTTCAATTCGGTTAACGAACAAAACTTCGATTAACGAAATCCTTACGAAAAACACGTTTTGTGTTGAGTATCAGCTGATCAACTGATGGGCTAGTCTGCTAATTCAGTAATCTGTTTTATGTTTACATTCGTTTCCAGTGGAGAAAATATCAAGAAAGTTGTGCTCTTTAATATTTTTGCATTTTTTATATTAAAATTATTAGTTATTTTAAAATTTAGTTAACATATCGATAATATATGCAGTACAGGTACGTACAGGGAACTAGTTTTTTGTGTGCCCATCAGCCGCTTGAATATTTTTGCATTTTTACATTGAAATTATTGGTCTTTCTGAAATTTAGTTAACATATTGATAATATATAGCGCAGTGCAGTGTTGATTTTAATAAAATAATCTTCAATTATACCTAGTGAACTTAAAATTTTATTGGTGAAATTACTGCATCAAGCATGGGTCCACTGAATGGTGATTTCTCCTCCATCCCCATTTTTTTTCTCTTCTCCCTTCTCCTCCACCCCCACTTCTAATTCCCATCATCATCAACCAGGAACCTTCTACATACACACCTCAAAGTAAGTGTACTTTACTGCATTTTTTGTTCAAGCTGAATGCGACGTCAGCAATTCTTCCTAGGTATGTTAATTCCTAGCCAATTCGCCAGGCCAACATACAGGCAATTAAAACATCTAATAATTACTTAGTGAGTAATATTAGGAGGACACGTCGCTACCTGGCATTTAATTGCAATTCTCAAACCCCCCTCGTTCACCCCCCACTATGCGCATCATGAACCTTCATCTCTTGCCTGGCGATTCAGCTATAATACACACAAAGGGAAGCTCCGCGCATTTGTGTTCTAATTGCTGAAATACTCACCTCCGCAAGGATATTATACAGTATACGGTATTTGTACTTAATAGCACAGTGATGAAGTAGAGTGACTTTTATTTTGTTATGTCTCTCATTTATTGTATTTGGGACATTTTCTTATACGACTTTGGGTCAGCATGGCGACCAAAACACATTTTCTTTGCGAGTCGTTTAGATCGTTGTGACTATCCCTTGCCTTTAAGTCACTCAGTGAATGTCGAGTAAATTAACATTTTACCTTCTGGTTAATGTTCCTAATTTTGGAAATGTTCAAAACGGTTTATAATATAATTGGGACCTCAGTCAGCGGAGCCTTGTATGCAAAGTCACCTCCCTCTCCACCTCCTGCTCGGGTATTCTTGCTGACGTCGCATTCAGCTTGAACAAAAAGCCGTTTTTTTTTCTTCTAAAAACCAGTTTTTATGATATAGCGTCGCGTCCATAACCCACCCATCTCCACCCCTTGAGAGTTGACTTTTAATTACTGCTCTCTCTGAGGCAAGAGATGAGATTCGTGATGCGCATAGTGGGGGGGTGAACGTGGGGGGTTTGAGAATTGCAATTAAATGCCTGGTAGCGACGTGTCCTAATATTACTCATTAAGTAATTAGTAGATGTTTTAATTGCCTGTATGTTGGCCTGGCAAATTGGCTAGGAATTAACATACCTAGGAAGCATTGCTGACGTCGCATTCGTGCTATATCACAAAAACTGGTTTTTAGAAAAAAGTTCTTTTTTTTATTTATTTATTTTTATTTTTTTTATTTTTTTATTTATTTATTTATTTATTTATTTTTTTTGTATGTACTTTTCTGTGAGCTGGAACCAATTACTCAATATCCCAGTGAAACAATGGATTCGGTTAACGAAATTTTCGGTTAACGAACGACTGTGGAACGAATTGTGTTCGTTAACTGAGGGACCACTGTAGTATTCTAAAAGTTGTTTGTTACTCTATTAAAATGAATGGGTTAAAGATTTCTCAAATGAAGTTGTTACAGTGCCATTAAGTGTCACCATTGTTTTGTTCTAACATCATAAAAACCTCACACAGATAAGGTATAATTATGTATATATTTTTTTTATTTAGAATCGACTTTCAGATATTGATTATGCAGTTTATTCAGATGCCTAATTTGCATGCCTAAGTTTCTGGCACAACTAGCGTACAATTTTTAAGCATTGTTTCTTAATACAGTACAGTAGTATCTAGACCAAGGGAGGTTTCATTCCTTGGAAATCTGGAAATCTAGATTAGGGAGGTTCAACCTGTAGTGAACAATGATAAAGAAGCATCAGACAGCAAAACTGAATGAAAATTATCAAATGAGGGTTATTATTATTATTATTATTATTATTATTATTATTATTATTATTATTATTATTATTATTGAGGGAAGGGGAGGCTATGGGCATTAAAGGGAAAGAACAGAATGATAGTGTGGTTTACACAAGACCATGGTTCAGACATTATCATAACAATGTCACATGCATAACATAGAGTTCAGTAGCAAACAAGGTTATACAATACATGTATTGCTTATTAGTGTTTTTATTTACAAATATTTTATAATGGTACACAGGGTTCATAATTTTTTTTGTCAAACATGCAATGAATTTTGTATACCCTGTATATTCTAAAGTTTTATGCAAATTTGTGTTTACAGTAAAACCTCCATTAATGGACTTATCTCTCCTTATAATCCATTAGATGGGGGTTTCACATTAACGAACCCTTGATATAACAGACTTTGTTCTCTATGGAGGATTCACATATGACAGACCCTCGACATAATGGACTTTCTTCTCCATGTAGTGTAATCCGTTAAATACCGTAGAGGTTTCACTGTACTATTTCTTTTTTTAAATGAATAAACTAATTGAATTATGATTGTGTTATAGTTGCAAGGGGATGACAGTTCACATGAACAGTTTGTGGTTGTGGGTGCACTCCAGTCTGAAGAAGAGCAAGTTGTAGTAGAGAGGCCACTTGGTGAACAGCCCTCAAGAAACAGCTGCCATGTTTCAGTTGGTAAGTTTTTGTTGAGCTCACCTTTTTAGGACATATTGATTTGATTGTGTTAATATCATTAATTTTCTAGACATATTTTGTATATCCCACCTGCATCATGAAACCTTCACACAAAATACTCGTTTCTTCTCTATTAGTCAACTTCAGAATGTTTTACTATTTGTTGCTAATGGGCTAAGCCTTAAAACAATAATAATAATCATGTCTGGGTCACAGATCATTGGATTGTGTTTAAATTCAATAAACAGATACATGGTGTCATTCATTACATTCAACTTAACATGGCATATCTGACCCAATTCATACTATCCTCATAAGGTGGCATTCTTTATAGATTTTATTTATTTCAGTTAAATTATTATACCTTATTGTTTGAGAATCCCCAAGAAATAATTTTAGGCTCATATTGTAGTACATAAAGCAGTTATCAAAAAAAATAACTAAAATAAAAAATAGTTGCCTGCACAACTATCCACTTAAGTATCTTTAATTGTAGGTACACGAATTGTAGGTACAGTAATTTCCTCGTTAGCTTAAATAATTGATGCAGAGCGGTTCCTGGTTTGAGAGATTTCTGGGTACGGAGACAAATTTTCTCATCCCAGGAAAAAATTGCACATCCTCGGATTTTTTCTGAGTACTATGTAGTATTGGCAAAAGTTATCCGAGTGTCTCTTATTGGAAACGTCTCGTAGAGAAATTATTCAGGATTATTATGATGTAAAATTCATCTCTCTAACACGATTAGAACAGGAGGTGATGGCACAACCCTTGCAGGGAGGAGGCAAACTGACCACATGGTCAGTTTGCCTCCTCCCTCCACAAGGATCATGTCTCCTTCCCACTTACTGCACCTTACCACCTCTCACTCATTCTTCTATGACTGTCATTCATATAAAATATTGTACAGTACATTATTTGTTGTTCATTAATTAGTAAAGATGTAATAATCTGAGTTTATTAATACCTCTGCCCTTCATATACAGTAAAATATTGTTTATATCTCATAGGTAAAATATAACGTCATCAGGAACACATCTCCATATATATACACTGGTACCAAATTCATTTCTCTAACACAATTAGAATAGATGTTGTGAATAAAAGTTTATACACTTTTTGCAAGCAGCCTCGTACCTTAAAAAATACCTTAGCTTTCCTCTTTATTCAGAACATCTTGATGTCATGAGACCAACTAATCCCCCACCCAACAATGGGTGACCTGACATCACATCTGAAGGTCAGTAATATGAGACTATTACAGTCTGAGCTTACAAATTCGTGGTAATTGGTATCCCATCATGCCCGAATTTCCGAAAGGCACGGATTTGTGGAATAAGCATTAAAAACATGGGAGAACTTGCAAATCATTTGCTAAAAGCTAAATCTAATTGTACAACATAAATCTTTATTGTTTCAAACTGACACTCCAATGCCATATTTGTTGGGCAGTTCTTTAACACTATTTCCACTATATAAACGATGTGGTACAGAGTTTAACGATTTAGTGAGCACATGGTTAACATAATTTCAACAGATTTCAGTTGACATATCTAAAAAATAAAAAAAAATAGCTATGATAACTACATAATTGATACATATCATATCGTAAAATATAAAAGCACATATTTTATGTAAAAACAGAGCATTTTCTTGTGAAATGGTTAGCTTGTAGAATGAAAGACAGTGCAAGTGTTAGCGGCCCTCAGATACGGAACAATCACCACACCAAGCACCTCAAAAACTCCCCCAAGCTAGGAGTTATATTACTCAAACTCTTTATTTTGATGATTGAATAGCAATTCTTTTTATTTCAGTGAACAAAAAGTGTTAGGAGGGCTTCTAAGGTGAAAAACAGGGTGAAATTCTTGGGGCGGCGGCGCCAATAAACCCTTTTTACATGTATTTTAATGTTACACAAATAACGTTTTCGCTAATATCAGCGTTTTTCAGGCACCTATTAAGCGTTATTGGTGAGAGCCTACTGTAAGCCTTAATTATAGGGCGGGATATAGCCCGATAGGACACTGACCTGAGGTGACGGTAGAACGGAGGGCACTGAGTGCAGTGCCCCGCCGCTCGTCACCGCGTAGGCCTACAGTTTCCAATCATTAATTTTTACTTTTATTTTTTACGGTTCTCACCTGAACACTTTTCGGCATATTGTCACTCATGCCTTATAAACACATATTTTAACCCTAAAGTACAAACTAAGGTAAGGTTCTGGTTTGCTAATTCGTGGGTAAATTCATTGGGTTATAATATCAACACGGCACACTCGAGGCGGGTACAGGACGCGCCTTAAAACAAAGGCCGAATGTTCATGGCGGGGGTGTATCCACTTCACTTAAAACTGTAATTAGGAATCCTCCTCTCACACATTGCACTATTTGAACACAGACATAAGATTCTCTGATCACTGTACCTGTCGTGGGTATATGTCACGTGAGGATACGAGGTGTATTAAGTTAATACCGACGCATACAAGATATTTCCTTTCAAGTATAGTTTCTGGGTCACTTCAAACACCTCACATAGTTCTGATACATTTATCCTTTTTCCAGATCATTGTTCTCATGTATTTTCATATGATATCTGTGGAAGTTATGTTCGCTACACGTTCACAGACGTAAATAGTATGACCTTCAAACCATGATCCACACTTAGTCCTACAGTACACTAGTCCGGCTCAACTGGACTTTGACATTCATCTTATGGATACCCTGAGTTCTCCTTAATGTTATGAATATATACAATTAATATTATATATCTGTACCTGGGTACAATACAACACATGGTCTAGGAACATTGAGTAGGTGAGTTATCCTTTATCAATGTTTCCCGTTTTCTGAGATTCTACAAGCGCGGTGGATTTGAATGTTATATAGCGTAATATGAATTAAATGGGGTTTTTAGGAATGCCAATGATGTGCGCAGTACAGTACTATCATAGAGTATTGCCAAGAAAATTTCATGGCTCATAACTTGTATATTTATTTCTTATTTCCAGAAAATATGTTAACGTCTCACATAGTGGCACCAGTGAATACTCCTACATCTGAACTTAGTGCTAACCAGATTTATGATTCTCAACTAGAATCATCACTTTGTCTTAATGCTGGAGTTGGTCCTTCAGAGTCTTCTGGCCAAAATCATCATGTCAGCAGGAATGAAAATTCTCTCCTAAGTTTCCACACCACTGGTGGTACTGTGGAAGATCAAGGAGAACAGTCCTCATTAATGGATTGTTCTGAAAGTCCTATGCTTACTCTTCAAGTGCCAGATGAAAGTGGAGAAGTTACCACAAGTGAGATCAGAAGGGATCTTCTTGGCATTGAATCTGTGCCTCATATCAACCTTGAGGAGATCATTGAGAAATTTACTGGTAGTAGTAACCACCATCAAGTCATTGATAATACAAGTTCTGTTACTGTAACCACTCATGTTGGGGCTGCTCCTTCTCCAGCTTCTGAAGGAAATTCTAGTGCAAATTTAACTAATGTGACTGTCTTTAAAGATGATCCATTGCACCACGATAGGAGAATACCTCTGGAGTCACATATTCACATTACACCTGAGTCATCTTTGCAAGACACCTATTCAATGAAATCACTGACAAGCATTACTAGTAAATCATCACCAAAATCCACCGTAACTGTGAAACTGCATAACTTTGATGATATATCTTCTCTTGAACAGTGTAAAATTTCTTCAAAATCTAACTTACAAGACTCCTTGGCTGTTGATGAGGAAAGTCTATATGATATTGTGATGACATACAGGTGCAAATTATGCTCGGAAGTTTTCATTGAGAAATCTGGACTCTTGCAACACTACCAGGATGTGCATAAACCTGTAAGTATTAGAACAGTATTTGTTGATTTTATTATGAAAATAGAAACAGAATCTCATTAAAGTTATTAAAACACTTTTGTGATTACAGAATCTGTTAATAAATTTCAAAATGGACTCATGACATATATTTATTTAGAAACCTGGTACAAAATATATGCAACAGAACCTCATTATTTTGAACAGGTTATCTCTATTTCAAACCTCTTATCTAAATTCAAATTATATCATCTGGATTCGAACCTAATCAAATTCATGCCAAAATTACAGCTGCAGGACCACCACTCAGGAAGTCATTTGGTATTTGAACACGCTGTTGTAAACATTTGTTGTCAGCCATTTTCAGTATATTCCCATTATCTTTGTAAATTAATGATGTGTTCAAATCAGGAAAAGGGGAAGGAAAATCCAGAGGAAAATATAAATATCTTAGTTTAACAGAATAGCTGAAAATTATTGAAAACTTTGTGCAGTAAACAACCATTATCACACATTATGCATTTTTCTTCTCATCACCACACTTGTTATTTGCTTATTTATCCTAGGCGTGCCTACTGTACCCCTAGATCTTGTTACCCTTTTGTATGAATGTTTGTGCAATGCAACTTGTCTGCCCTCCTTAACAATAAGTTATGTTAAAATTGGCTGAAGATAAGTACTACTTCAAAAGTTTTTGTTGTAATTGAAAGAACACTCATATTGATAAAGGATTTGACCATGATTTTCTTACTTTCAGGGAGGAGTTGTAAAAATACGCATAACAACTTCTGAAAATAATGAGCCATCTTTTCAATCTGCTGTGAGCAGGTTGTCTTCCAAGAAATCGTTGTTTGGCACACACATGAATAACATTATCCTTAAGGGAGGAAGTGACAGAAAAGAAGAACCCAGTAAGTCTTGCATCGTTCTCTTTATCAAGAATAGAAATAACGGGCATGTGGAGAAAATAGGGTTAGGTGCAGATTACTTGAAATCGAAAAAAAAATTTAGTACAGTAGTTAGCTTAACACAAAGGATAGCACAATTTAAATAAATGTTACTTTCATATCTAATAATGAAATCATACGGTAAATGTAACACTTTACCTTGAAAAATATGAATATAACTTGATGGGGGAGAATGGTGATTTTGAGGTTGATAACATCAAGCTTCTTTTCAAGTGTTATAGCCTTTCTTTTACGATAACCACCGGGAATGCGATCACCAGAACGCTTCTTGGAGATATTCTTCTTTTCCATATTCACAGTTAATACCACAAAATTGGAGAAAGAGTAAGCAAAAATCACTGAGGACGCTTCAAAACAACCCGTGTGTTTCAACTGATCGTGTAAAACGCTATTTTTTTTCTCTTTTATTTAAAATTTTACAATTTACATATACTGTACAGCTCCTACCCGACTTACGACCTACTTGACTTACGACCACCCGCACTTACGACCTGCCTCAGTCGTACCAAATTTTGTCAAATTACGTATTTTCGAGTCCCAACGTCAGTGCACAGACAAAATTTTTTTTTTTTGTAATTCATTTTAAAATGGCTGGCAAGCTTAAAAGTGAGAGTTTTGTGGTGCTGAGAAGAAAAAGAGACACCCAATTTAGATTTTTTATGTATTATTTAAGCATTTTCGACTTACAACCATTTCGACTTACGACCTGGATTTGGGTCCCTAACCCTCGTCGTAAATCGGGGAGGAGCTGTATACATAAATATTACATAAATTATTTCTGCAATTCTTAATGTTTAATATTAACTGTAGTGGTAATAAGGATAAGAATACAATGATCATGTAAAACGCTATAGTCCGCACTGCAAATCATTATTTTTATTAATTTTTTTCATACAGTATTTATGGGAACAGCTAAATTTGCAAAAAATAATAGGATGAAATTTATAGAGTCCCTATCATATAACACTTCACAAACAAAACACGTGAATCAATTGAACATGTGATGTCGAACGTGAACTGTAAACACTGCATAACCCCGCGCCAAGCGACAGTACACTTAAAACGTTCGAGTGGAATCGCGTTACAGCCAACACGCGTTTGTGTTTTGCAAATATCATTCTTCTATTCATCAATCGCGTTATAGCCAATTCGCGTTGTAGCAGAAATGACTGTAGTACAAGTTTTTCCTCTGGTATTTTTGGGTAGATATACGTAACTTTCTTCATTTATTTTAACTCGTTTACATGCACACACCATCCTAAATACATATTGTTAATTCTATTGCCAGTATACAGTACAGTACTTTGTACAGTACATTTTAATTCATTTTAAGGGAATTCTGTGAGTTGGAACCAATGGTGGGACCACTTTATATGTGCACACACTGTTTCTGTGTTTTTTAAAATCCCACTTTGAATTTTTGCTCAATGAACAACCACTCAGGGCTGGGAGTTCAATAATTTATGCTACTATGGTGACTTGTACATAAATTTGTTCATAGATAAGCTTTGTGTTTATCAATTCTTGATTGAGTCTGAAATATGTAGCTATTGTGTGTTGTTAATTATCTCCGTCTTCACTAAATATGTCACTTGATACTTTAAACTTGCACAAAATATACTGTATAGAATATATTTGAGTTGTAATTTTTTCAGAGGAACTTAATATAGTGTCTTGCGAGTTCTGTTCTGAAGACTTTGTAGGACTGCTGGAATATCAGGAGCACATTAAAAAGGTAAGCACCTTGTAATACAGTATTATTGATGTATTGGCAGTTATGTGCAGTACTTTTTTTATTAAAGGGAATTAGAAGCCTACTTAAGCAAATCTTCAGTTGTGTATAAAGGAATGGTCTTTTTTTTTCTTTTTTTTTTTTTTAGCAGAGCCTTTAGGCTGCCTACTGGAGAGCTAGGATATACTCTTTGTGCCCCATTTCTGCAAGCCACTGGTGATTTAATTACCCCTTTTGGCTATACAAACTACCCTTTCTCCCTAATGTATAAGTGTGCCTCTTGCATTTATTGATTCCATATACAGGTATACCACCGATTTTTCAGCACCCTTGGTTCCAAAGCCTTGACGGATTATCCGTTTTGCCGGACCAACCGAGGTCACGTAATAATAATTCAACAATACACCTCAGACCCACTAATTATACACCTTTCGTGTCTCTAAAACACCTTGGACTGCTAGAAACTTAAACAAATATTATATGTAAATTAAATGTGAAAAAGCCATAATTTTGAGCACCATATTACTGTACACACTTGTACACTGTCCTAAGAGCAAAGCTGTACTGTACATGCACAAAATGATTACTAAAATTTTTGTCTAGTGCAAACTATAGCATGTATATATTCAAACTAATCACTATCTTATAAGAATTCCAGCAATGCTAATTATATTCTCCCAGGTCAGTTCAGTGACATTTTGTAAGAGAAAAACTTAATCACCGAAGGGTCAAGACGTACCTGGTACTCCTCTGGGAACAGCCAGGTCAACTGTTAAGTTCATCCCTCCCCTGAACCCCTCCTCCCCACCGGAATATCAACAAGCTCTCGCCAGAAGTTACAATTTCATTTAGGAAAGGAATGGAACCAGTGGTGAACAGTGTGTAAGTCAGTGAGAACAACTCAACAGTAACAGCCGAGTCATACCCAAGTTAACCTTCACACAGTGAGGTCCCAGGAACCCATTGATAACTGCCAATGAGACCCAACAACAACCAGCGATGTGTTAATCCGTCTATGATAGGAAGGCCTGGGCCCACACCTCACTCATATAACATCATCTGTGAGTTCATTACTACACCACGTGAAGTCCCTCATAACACTATCTGTGAGGGAATTACTACACCACATGAGGTCCCACATAACACCATCTGTGAGGGAATTACTACACTACTTGTTTGCTGTTCAACACCTACATTAATCTGTATGTTCACTGTATGTTCCTTTACCTTTTTCTAATGAATGCTTTTGTTAAACCACCAATGTATGTAATAAGTCATTTATGTCCAGTGTATATTTTCAGCCTTTCTAGCTGCAGAACTTTTTCAATAAGCCATTAATTATTATTATTATTATTATTATTATTATTATTATTATTATTAATAAATAAGCACTAGACCTTGGCATCAACTGTCAAACCTATTACCCCCCCCCCCCCTTCCCATCTGCTGATCGCTAGTAAACACCATTTCACGTCCCATAATTTTAGCTGTGTTGAATTATGAGTGTTTGTTTTAACAATACAGTACTACAAAGAACAATGTTTTGTTTATTCTAGGAGATGGGCTGAGGTGCATCTGGGTAGACTCAATCTTTTTAGTATTTTGTGTTTCTCTCAAGTACCAAACTAAATTATTCCATTGAAACAACACTTCGATTTAGTGCAAATTTGGTTTAAAGCGACCTCTCTTGGAACACATCTCGTCTTATATCGACGTTCTACTATAATTAACTACGTATGTACATTTGAGTACAGGTTTGCCCTTAGGACAATTATTTCTTTTACCCCTTTTTCACAATATGTATTAAGGATGGTGTGTGCATGTAAATGAGTAAAAATAGAGGAAGAAAATTATGTATATCTACCCGAAAATGAGTTAAAAAACAACAGTAACACCTCATAGCTTGGCCCAGTAGCCTGATGGTTGCAGTGACGAGTCTAACCTGGCTACAATGCCATTATTAATCACTATTAAGCATTATTATATCAGTAAACACTGATAATCACAGTAAATCCAGTGAAGTATGGCAGGGAGGGAGGGAAGTTAAGTGCCCTCTCGTAATTTTGTCCAAACTAAACGAGGTGTCGGACCATCAGTGGTTGTATTGGGGGCCTGGAACGGATTAATCCTATAATGAACGAATGCTATAACGAACAAGGTCCTAGAACCAATTAGATTCGTTATAGCATACCCCACTGTATAGGCTGACACCATTGGTTTACTTAGTAATGTTGGCTTGGTGAACTAGACAAGCTTATGTTTAACGTTAAACACACTGTCAGGTTTACTTCCCCTACTTCAGTTGTGAAAACAAAAGTTCATATTACATGATTATTATTTCAGGAGCACCCTGATGAGTCTGAGAAAAAAGCAAGGAAAGGAACATACCGTCACCGACATTCCCAGGGACTACTGACCAAGTATCCTCCTCAACCAGGGATGCTTATTGGCCATCGAAAGTCTCGTACTCATTGTCAAGTGGGTATAACATCTCAAAAATTTTCAACTAACATCAAAAAATAAATTGGATGTAGTTTGTTTTGATCATTAATTTTATAAGTTACTTTGAAGATATTATTTGGTGTAATTCAAGTAAACAGTTTGTCAACATACAATCAAAGCAAAAATGAATCGTAATGAAAGCACAGTGAAACCTCGCTTTACGCGGTCACTTGAACCCACGGAGGTCCGTGTAAAGCGGGAAACGCGTAAAGTGAACAACAGAACATATGGGATACAGCACATTGTATGGTAAATTACTACGGAATAAAAATATAAAAGTTACTGTATAAGAATCAGACTCATCTATCCCATTTTCTCTTACAACACAATACAGTACGTACAGTACAACAGGTATTTGAGCATTTTTAAGGTTAATTGTACAGTAGTAATTTATTGTCTTACCTGTTTTATCCATATTCCAAATTTGCTCTGGCTTGTATCCCTGCTCCTCGAGTATTGCTTTCAACTCTGCTGGGAAAGCTTTCGCGGCCATGGTGTCTGCTGACGCACCCTCCCCAGTCATCTTCACATTCTTCAGGCCGAATCAACGCCTGAAATTGTCAAACCATCCCTTGCTGGCTTGGATAGGTGTCTGAGGTGTGGGGGTAGCAGCACTGGTACTGGGTACGGGTTCCTCAGCTACAGGCGTGAAGTGTGTGTGTGTAGAGACTTAGCTCTCTCCTGGATAAGGATAGAGTCCACTGCTACACCTCTCCGGTGCTGGTCCTCTATCCACAGAAACAAGGCATTCTCCATCTTCACCATTGCCTTCTCCCTCACTTGGCTGACATGCTAAGCACTGTATGGAGCACTGGCACTTACAGCATCACAGATATCTTTTTCCCTTTTCTTGATGGTACGTACCGTGCTTTCATTCACGTTGTACAGTCGCCCCACAGCAGCAAACGACATTCCCTCCCTTAACTTATTCAGCAACTCCACCTTCTCCTGCAGAGTCATCACTTTCTTCTGGCACTTAGGGGTGGCTCCAGCTGATGTCTTTGATGCTCTTTTAGGGGCCATGGTAAATGTGGGTAGCAAGGGTAGTAACTACAATTCTGATGTTAACACAAGCGTGGTTACAGTGAGACTGACTGAGTGACGGAGCGCGGAGTGGCGGGGTGGGGTGACGACGCGCTATGCGTGTGTGTGAGGTTGCGGGAGCGGGCGGTGTCCCGTGTTCGGTGCCGCGCGCGAGTTGAATGGCGCGCGATTTGAATGTACTTCAATTACTTCAATGTACAGAATATTCCTCCGGCCAGGCAATCTGCGTATTTGCAAATCCGTGTATGTTAAACCCGCGTATGTTAAGGGCCGACTGTAATTGAAATAGAGACTGGGCCGACCGCCAGACTCCACTTTTTCAGACACAATACCTACGTTGTAGTAAAAATAACTTCTTAATTTTATGATGGTATGCACACACAATTAATAATTAAGAGAAATATCAATAATATTAGCTTTTTTAACACTTACATTCGTAGAAAAGATGGCTGGGCACACGGGAATGGGGGGTTGGTTCCGAGGCAGAGGGCAGATTATTGGCCCTCACCTGTATCACTTGTATCAATTGTATCACTATCCACCACAGAGGCTTGCAGGGCCTCTTTGTCAAACTCCTCAAAGTCCATATCCTCACTATCACTATCACTGACTTGGGCCGGCTGTGGTGGGTGGCGGGTGAAGAACTCGGTAATGTTTTGATGACTGGGCGACCTTGTGCTCACCCTGCCCGCGCCGCTCTGCGCGTAAAAGAGTACATGCACTGCGTAAAGTGAGCATTCCGGGTCTAGCAGGGTACTGCGTAAATGTAAAAACGCGTAAAGCGGGGTACGTAATACTGTGTGTGTGTGTATATATATATATATATATATATATATATATATATATATATATATATATATATATATATATATATATATATATATATATATATATATATATATATATATATATATATATATATATATATATATATATATATATATATATATATATATATATATATATATATATATATATATATATATATATATATATATATATATATATATATATATATATACACATATACACATACAGGTGCTCTTCTACTTACGAACGAGTTACGTTCCTGAGGCTTGTTTGTAAGTCCAACTTTACTCCTGTAGATACCAAACATATTGTAAAAAAAAGTAAAGATTATGGATATTTAGTACAGCTATACCCTTTAATACAGCCTTAAAACCTGGCTCACTCTTCTCCTCTTAGGTAATATTTGTTATATCTGGAATTTTCGTCAAAATAATCCAGTCTCATCCACATTAAACACCTGTTATGGCAGGTAACCCCCTCCCCCCAGTGATGATGTTTGTATCTCTGAAAGTTTGTAAATTGAATGTTCTACAGTAGAAGAGCACCTGTATATTGATGATAAATTATGGGTGACTCACCATGTATAGAGTAAAGGGCATTAATTTTTATAATTATAATTTATATATTTTACTAATACCCTGTACCTGTATCTGGTTTATAAGGAGGATGTAGAAGACAAGAAACTAGATGGTGGTGAGACTAGTAAGCGTCGTGTTCGGGCTCCAAAGAATCTTCAAGAACAGTATTGGCTGCAAAAACAAAGACCCAAACCTGTATTTTCTAAAGAAGTTGAAAAAACTTTCAAGTAAGTTTAAATTTTGGGTAAATCAGAAGTATATGATGTTTATAAAAAGTAACTTTTTTTTTTTTACATTCAACTAAACTGTGCGTCATGAAGTTGTGTAAAACCAAATAAATAAAAATACTCACCTGGCCAGACATATAGTCTTACAAGTTGCACTTAAAAAAATCCAAACTTCAGTTATTTGAAAACTTTAAAATTTACTGCACTCACACTCACTCCCTGAGCCACTGAGTGATGGTATTGTAGTACACTCAGCTGACTGCAGAGGTAAATAAACAAAGCTATCTTCACTAAACTTGTATTTATGGTATTATATTGCCCTTAGTAAAGCCTAATTCTGTTTACAGGTACAGTACTTGTTTTTGTATTATATTTAACCTTATTACGTATGTTACTTAGTTTGATTTCAGTTATACAGTAAGCTCCCTCTAACCCAGACTCACTTAATCCGGATCCCTTGCAAACTAGTCCAGCACTGGACACATATATCCAAATCCAAAACAGACAACCAATATCCAGTAAGTATGAGGGAAAGTTTACCGTAAACAGGGGCACAGGAGGGAAACTCAGCAGATGCCTGCTGCTTTGAGGAGTCAGTGGAGTTGATTGTTGAGGGAACACTAAAGTGAAGTGTCTAAGAATTGTAAATACTACATACAGTCAGTGAAGTTAACACTGAAAAGATAACCTCAAGACTCCACCGCCTGATGATAATTGAATAATTAATAAGTGCAGTACTGTACTTTATTATTAACAGGTACTATGTGCCTCTAGTTATTATCAAAAGGTTTATTAAAGTGCAGTAATAATGTACCGTATGCCTTATGAAACAATATTTTATTTGGTACAATTCTCTTACCCTTCTCCCATTATTTTAGGCTGCGTCCACGAGCAAAAATATTTATGGCGAGTGAAAAGTTTATAAACTCTTATCCATAGCATCTGTTCTAATTGTGACATAATGATACCATAATGATCCTGAATAAATTCTGTACAAATTTGTTTCAATTTAAGATCAGGAACAAAAATTATTTTGACACAACACAGTGATGGGGTTTTATGTTTTTTGTGTAAGTAATGTGTATACTGGCATCTATAAAATCAATTCTAATTGAGTTATGATAAAGCCCATGAATTGGAGGTACTGTACTGTATTTTTGGGGCACGAGGCTTAAATGGAGCCGTCTCTCATACATACTGAGAGCTCCCAGCAGCACCAGCTGGTTGGTGACTCGCTGAGTACACCTGAACCGAGAGCCAATGCCAAGCTGCTGAGAGCATACGAAACTGAGGAAGATTTAACTTTTTTCCACATGTTAAAACCCCAAGCAGCTAAAAAAAAAAAATCATATGGCTTATAAAAACTCTAAGTGTAAATGTCTTGCTTAAAAAATTACAATAGTTTGGTGTTCTTAGGTAGCTTGACTCGGAAACCTCCCACCCTCTGGAAATTTCCACCGTGGAATATGGACACTACAAACTCCTACCCAATCCTGAAATTTGGCCAAATCCAATTACACATACTGTAGTCTGCTTAGAGGGAGTTAACTGTACATATACAATAATTTATAATCATCAATAAAAAATTTATTTGGTGCTTAGTGAAATATTAGGGTTTTTTTTTATAATAACCTTCAGTTACCCAAAATGGCTATGGTCCTAAGCATTTTGGATTTTTGAAGTGTAGCCAAATGCACAGTCATACTATATCTTGACAGTCCTCCAACATCCCAGTGTGTCACTTACATTTGTAATTACCACCTTTAATTTTTTTTGCTCCAGCATTTTTTCCTGGATTGCATTTGAAAGGTTTTAAAGTGCTTGTTTACCATTGTATCAATCTCGTGTCTTTCCTTTACTCTCATTTAGGAGGAATAGATAAGAGAAACAAATCTGAAGGAAGGGTGGAAATATTGAAGTAGAATGATGCAGGAAAGGTGTAGAAAGCACCAGGAGTCGGCTGGAACATTATGTAACAACACTCCACACATACTCCTTCATATCTTCAATTTGTCAGCAAAGTTTACATATTGGATCAAAATCACCACATTGTTCTGATATCTACAGTAATGTCAGGTCACAGGCTCGTTCATAGTAACAGTTTCATACAAAATTATAAAACAATCCAGTGACCTTATTAATGCACTGTACAGTATAGTGCATTCATGCTCTGGCATTGTTCAACCAGCTTTGTTTTTAACTTGAAATAAAACGATGTGTCTATTTGATAATTAGAATTAATTTATAGATAGTAATTTCTTGTCTTTTATTTAGGTGTCCCATACCAACATGCAAATATAGATTTTCAAGTGAAGAAAACTTGTTCCAACACCAGGAATGTCATGGACAACCAGGGAGTGGTGAGGAGAGAGTATTCACCTGTCATCAGTGTTTCTTCAAATATGACAAGGTCAGAAAGAATCTTTTTATACATGTGACTCTTTGTATTGCATATTGCACTCCACTAACCTACTCATATATTACTAAGTCTATGAGCTGGAAACCCAGGTAAACCTTTGAAGAGCTGCTGTTACTAATCCATTTACTAGCAATACTGTACCTCCTTGTTGAAACCATAGCCCGTAGAAATGGGCATTACAAGCAACACGCACCAGTTAAGCTCTGAGGCTAAGAGTTCATTGTCATACTACCATCAACTGAGTAAGCCATTTGCCAATTACAGGCATCAGTCCATTCAGTTCTTGTCTCTGTTTGAAGCCATTATTTCTACATCACCTGGAAGGAGCCTAGTGTACTGTATCTTGCTTTTATTTCATAATATTGATCAGTTATAGGTTGAATCCACACCATCCTAAGTATTAGTATACAAGAAAGGTGATTTTTGCCTTTGATGTTTTTGTGTTAAAAGTGTGTATTTTAGTTAACACTCCATTATTAGGTTGAACTTGCTTGTAGATACATTGGGCCTACATAACTGTGCTGTGTCACATTGGGAATATATATCAATATTATAGTACAGTAACTTACATGAATGTATTTGCTATCAGGGCAGTTTTTGCTACCAGAAGTGTGGTTTTGGTTTGGTCTTGTTAAAGGGAATTGCATAGTTAGATCAGAAATAAAAGACTGGGAACATATATTTTGGATGATGGTGTGACAACACACTGGAGATAAATAAACCTACATATAGTATTCTTTTCTAAGTAATTATAGTGTCACGGGCACTATGGCCCCACTTTAGCAGGGATGTGAATTTTACACCGGGATCTTTCTGTGGTTCTCGGTGATCTCCTCGGTGAGTAATCATGGGTATACTTAGTGTGCCATCATCAAGAACTTTGACAAGAATGAACAGACAAAGAAACCTATTTTGCAGTTATTGTTATTTTGTCAAGTAATCATAGTCCACTGAATATAGTGAAAATAATGGAAAATATTCCTTCTGCTAAATCGAGCGTTCATTATATCGGATTCTGTTCAATCGAGAGTATACTGTACTGTATATTGTATGTCGTAAATATGCAAGCAACTTCATTTTGGGCTCTGCAACAAAATGCACTTTCCAAGTCAATCCTTTATCTTTGTATATACAGTACCGTACAGAACAGTAATACAGTATTCTGTTTCTTGCTGTCTGTAAGTTTATGTAAGAAGTAAAAAAGTTAATACTATATGAGTTTTCATGAATACTGTATTTGAGATTTAGATGAATGCAATGTGAAGCAAAATTCTTATATGACCTAATATGTGCAAGATGAGAAAGTTGATTTATTTATCTTGTTGATTATTTTTATAAAAATATTATTAGGTTCCATTCCATAAAATTATATGGTAGTTCAACCATTTTGTGTATTCATTTTAGTGGGCAATGTGTCAGTTACACTTGTGGAAGGCTCACGGGATCGACATAGATCTGTTCACATGTGGAATTTGTCATACTTACAAGACCTGTACACAACAGAAACTTGTAATTCACCAGAAGACTCACTCAGATGTTCGGGACCATATTTGTAAGGTATGTAATTAAATGTGATTATAAAAGAAGATATATTAATAAGTATTAATTCATTTCATTCTTTAATAATTAATTTTTATTGGTAGAATTGTTGAAACATTAAAAAAATTCACTTTGATTAAAAAGTTTACAATAACTGATATAACTTTTTAAAGTTATAACTTGGTCTGTAAGCACACTGTTCTTAATATTAAACTGTTCCCATTGAGAAAAAATAATATATAATTCCCATGATTATTCTGTATTAAAGTCCTTAACTCACAAAATATTTTAAAACAGGTATGTGGGAAAGGTTTTAGACAACTGGCACAGCTCCTGAACCATCAAGTTCTACACATAACCAGTACTAAGAATCTTCCCACATGGGCAAAGAAAGGCTATTGCAATGAATGCAAAAGATGGTTTGGTGATAAGAAAACCTTAAGAGTTCATATTAGTGCAGTAAGTATTTGGTATAGAATGTGTACTGTATAGTCACAATCCAAAATTTCTTTACTCCTCTGGATGGAGAGAAGGTGAAGCCAAGATTGAAGAAAGGCCAGGCAAATGGACACACATTTCTTTAGTAGTTTGATGGTGAAACACGATGATGGTGGGGCTCACACACCAGCACCTCAATACAGTCACTTAAGCAAAACCACACGAGCACAAGTATGAAATATAATTCAAAGCATTGACATGATATGGTACCTTGGTAGGGCTATACCTGTAATTATTTTTTTCAATATTAATATACAACGACAGCACAAAGCATATTGTACGGTCATTCGTCTGGCTTTTCTTCAACCTTGGCTTCTCCTTCCCGGTAATGAAACTTTGGATTCTGACTGTACCTGTGTTGGACTTATCACAGTGAATACAGATAAATTTTAAATATATTTAATTTTATGAAGGTGAAAATCTTGGTAGTTTTATGGAAATTGAATGTTGTAGTACAGTGGTTCTTAAACATTTTTGCCTCGTGCCCCCTTCTGCATAAGTCCTAGATCCCCCACCCCTGATGCAACCCTTGGTTATTATAGAGTGGGAGTGATGTGCAATCGTGTACAAGACGCATTCAGTTCCTGACCATACTTTTCTCTCTGACCGCTCGCGCCCCCCCCGGAATCTTCTGGCGCCCCCAGTTAAAGAACCACTCCCGTAGTAGAACACATCTTCTATAAAAGCTAGAAACTGAATGGCAGCAAATGAAGGGAGACTGTGTATTGCTCTTGATTTTAACTAACCTGCATCATTGCTAGAAAGGGTTTCTAAGATAGTGGAAAAGGTAAATAAACATGCAAGAGGGCTAAAAAAGTGTCAGGTCTGTCTGGGTGGAATGTGGAAACTTTTTTTGTTCCAAACATATCAGAAATCTGTAATTAGGCCAGCACTTATCCTTGAGGCATATACACATCAGGTGACTGGTTGGATATTAGTTTAAGTGAAAAGCAGACTTGTAGCCAGGAGGGTATATTTACCAAAGACAGAGCCTGACTACCACTAATACTAATAAGATTATGACCATGAGAGGAAGGGGTTGTGACTGACACATGTACTCAGTGCTGGAGGTTTTAAGAGGTACCTGCTAATTTCAAAGCTCAGGTCAGTTTGGGTTACATGGAAGCACATAGATTCCAAGTCCTTCTTAAATGTGATAAGTCTTCATTTTTAAACATGTTCTTGAATATTTTTAGATAAGTTTCTTAAACTATAAGATTTTTTAATTAGTAACTATTCACTAAAGTTCAGAATGCATGAGTCTCATTAATGCCTTGTGCATAGTGCAATGGCGAGGAGTGTACACACAGTGCAGCAAGGCAGCAGCCACACGTCTGTGAGTCAGCTAACTGACTGCCTGGCTGAGCTGTGTTATGGTGCCCAGAGGATGGTTTGAGTGTGGAAGGGGCAATTATTTATAAATAAAATATGTGCTATTATATTCTATGATATGCTTTTGTCATTAAAGATATGAGTGATTATCATATGATATTTACACTTACGAAGTGTTCCGAAAGAATATTCTAGTAACAACTGATATTAAATTGATGTAAATTTAGAGGTAACAATAAGTTAAAGCCGATTGACTGTCTTTGTTTGATATTTATTTATTAAACCTTTAAAAACTTATTTAATGAAACACAATATTAAAAGTGTTTAATGCTACTCCAAGAAATGAAACTAAAGGTATAATAATGCTTTTATTACACTAGAGGAACCAGAAATTGTCAGAATTAAGAACAGCTGTACAGCAAGAACCTCCTCAGAGAATGTTGTGACAGTACGAGTTATGAGCTGTAGTACAGTATTACAGTAATAATCTGCCAGAGAATGTTACAGTAAGAGTTATGAATTGTTGTAATAACCTACATTAGCACAAATGGTACATACTGTATGGTTACCTCATGAAAGCTCATTGACACTGTAATGTCGGCGGAGCACACTCCCTTTTGAAAACATTCAATCATTTCAATTTTTATCTAATGAAACAGAACATCTTGTCTCTTGCTAACAGCATCACTCTTGTTACTTTTTATTCTCTTTGCATTCCTGTTGGTGAGGTTACCAAGGACAAATTAACAAACAACAGAGAGTAGCCAGTCATTGCTATACGTGTGTATGACCCAAAGGACAATCAGAGGCAGACTGAGGTAGTGAATCATCGGAGGTGGGATGATGTCTGACATATTGACACTCATTTTAAGCTTAGTGTTTCATCTAAGATATCCAAGTAAATGACCACAAAGTTTCTTATGTTTATTTTGCCAAACATGATGAGAATAAATTAGGATAAATTGGACTATCTGGCAACTGGCTCAAGTGACTGCGGTGGAGGCAAGTTGATAAGAGATTGACAACTTTTCATTGACATGGGTTAGTGACTCAAAGAGTTACTGCCACTAAAAGAGGATTTAGGGGCAGTTAGACCATATGGCATTCACTGCAACAACATTATTGTATTGGTCATCTTGTCATATCATGTCATGGTAAGACTCCACCAGAGAAACACATGGCATAAAAATGTGGACAAACATATGGGTATCTGGTAATTTGATGCACTACTGTTAAACACCTGCCTTTAAACTTTGGACCCTTTCTCTTGGGTGTGGAAAAGTTATTTACAGTAGTGGTCATATTCTTTCACAGATCACCTGTTTCTTCCCTTGGTCATGAAATGGTATTTCATATTTCAATCTTCTATTTTTAACTACAGTACTGTACTGTATTTAAAAATGGCTTTAACAGACAAAGGCAAAGGATGCAGGGATAAAGAAAATTGTACAGGTATATATAAAAATGACATGCATCTAGTGATTAACTCAAGCTTTAGAATACCATAGCAGAACACTACTGCAACACTTAAAAATGATACATACAATGACAGTGTTGATGTTGGAAGTTTCTATTATCTTTTGGCTCTCATCTTCCCACATTATATTGGAAAATGTCCCAAAATTGGGAACAATTATTTAATGGAAAATTTCTATCCTTGACAGTTATTAAATTTTGACCAAAGTGTAATTATATAAATTATTGATTGATATTAAACTGTTGATAATGCTTTTATCACTCCTCAGGTACATTTGAAATTGAAACCACATGCGTGTCCCCACTGTTCATATAGATGTTCAAGAAAATTTGACTTAAAGGTTCATCAAAGGTAAGAACTGTATTACATTTCCGTCATTAGTTAAGTGGAGTTAATACATGTTATTTAAATTTCTTTATATAACAGCAGTCATTAAAAAAATTCTCATGAAAACTAGGCAATTTAGATTTTTTTAGCCATCCAATATGAAACACTTAATACTTCTCTACAGTACTTAAGGGTTATCTTAAAAGTGTTAGATTATAATATATACCTTTTTTTGGCTCTTAGTGGTCTCACTTTGAACTTAGTTTAAATTTCAGCATTTATGGAAGTAAATGTTACTTTTTATTATTAGTAGTAGTAATATTTACTGGTACTACAGTATACATGCAACCCTCAGATAATGAGGAGTACAGTACTGTATATAGTGTACTCACCAACAGATCTGTCATCTTTAGCTTGGAATAGGCAGACACTTCACTCAATTGACTGTAATACATAAGTGTAATCACATTTAAACACTTTGTGATGAAGGCTGGCTGGGGGGAGGTGGGGGGTTGAGGGCCAGGAGAGGAGATTAACAGCGTAGTTAGTAGTGGTACATTTTCCAACTAACAGCCAAAAATGGAAATAACTTTAGTAAAATTACCTGGTCTGTGCCCAGCCATCCCAAATGAGAGCCTGCCATAATACTTTACACTGTCACCAAAATTCAATTTATTCTGTAGTCTATGGGAAGTTATACAGATAGATGGACATCATAACTGCTCTATCCCTCTGTACTTTTAGTTGTGGTGATAAAGAATATGCTCATCTTTTTTCAGGCAACATACTGGTGAACGACCACACAAATGTGAACTGTGTGGCTGGCAGTGCCGTGATCACAATGCATTACGAAGACATAAACTCATTCATCTACACTTGAAACCACTGAAGTGTCCACATGCCTTTTGTGCATTTGAGAGCCGTCATACTGCATACTTCAAGAAACATGTTGCAAAGAAGCATCCTAAAGCAGAGGCCATTTACAAGTGTCAGGTAATCTTGCAACCTAAGTATCCTATAAATTTGTGTATGAAAAGGAATTTATGTTAATTTAAATTATGCATTATTTGTTACTGCAGTACAGTATCTTAAAGTTATCCTTCATAAGTTAATGAAAATACATATACAGTACTATGAAAACACCTCTGTAACTTTCCAAATTGTGAACAAACAAACTGTAATTCATACAGGAAAAGTTGAGTTTCATTTAATTCAGATAAAAACCACTCTAATTTTATATATTCTAAATACAGTACTTGTTTCGGTGAATCACTTACCCTTCTCAACACAGAGCCTGCTACAAATTACTAACTGAGGCCCAAAAGGAAAACATACCTGCAATGCCTTGGCCAACACTACCTGAACTTTGGGAGTGAGGTCACAGAGGAGGAGGTTGGGTTACAAGTGACCTGTCCTTGTCATCTGGTGGATCTAGTTGTATAAATGTAGTTACAGAAAGAAGTAACCTAAGGTTCAATTCTGGAAACTTTTTTCTTTTTCTTTTGTTTTTAAAAAAAAATGAATAGTTTCATCTATAGGTACCTTAGTAAACAATGAGTTAACATCAAATCTTACAAGTTTGTAAGTCTCTTAACCTTCTCTACAAACTACACATTATTAACAATGTGGGACTGGGATGTGCTACCCATCGCCTGAGACAAATGGGAAGCTAACCATTTCGAAAGCTCTTATGTAGGAAATCCTATATTGGAAATAATAGATCTCAAAGGACAACCAAATTTGTGGGTTTTAGGTAAGTTATAAATATAAGGGAGAGAAGGATTAGTGGGTTTAAATTGACTATTATTAATAATGTACACCTTGCAGAGTTGGCTAAGAGGCTTAACATTGACCAGAAGGCCAGTACAAAATTAATGATATTGTTAATAGCATTCTACAAAAACAGCTGTTGAACCATAAAGGTCATATTCATATGGATAATCCTATTACTAATACCCTAGATCCACCAGATGACAAGGACAGGTCACTTGTAACCCAACCTCCTCCTCTGTGACCTCACTCCCAAAGTTCAGATAGTGTTGGCCAAGGCATTGCAGGTATATTTTCCTTTTGGGCTTCAGTTAGTTTGCAGCAGGCTCTGTGTTGAGAAGGGTAAGTGATTCACCAAAACATGTATTGTATTAAGAATAAACATGGTTTCAAGAAGAGTGTTTTTCTTAAATATGCAGGGTGTGCCCTAAACAATTTAATTTTTTTAAAACAAGCCTACCCACTAGGAGGCCCTTCCATACTTACGGTTATCATGCGCAACTTGAAATTTATAATCCATGGATGGGCATGTATCTATATGTGTTAATAAATCTTTCCAGATTGCATTATAACCGTCAGATGTTTATGGTGCACCCTCTGTGCGTGTGCATATGCGTGCGTGAATGCGCTTACTTTAATAAGAACATTTTCACTTTTTTTCTGCCTTTTTCATAGATATGCTCAATGGAAACCCCCAAATTACAACAATATATAGCACATTCCACAAATCATGAAAAGCAGTTGGTAATAGAAGCTTTCAAGAAGAGAAGTGGTTCTCCAAATCCAAGAAATGACACTGAGGATGCTGTTGATCAACAAAGCAACCTTAAGCCCGAAGAAGGTATAAACAGTAAAATAGAACATCATAATAAAGTAGAAGTAAGCAGGGTTCAGGATATTGGTGAAGAATCATTTGTGTTTGATCATGTGGGCACTGCAAATAATAACCCAAATACTCAAGTTATAACCATAAAATTACACAGTGTGCAGCATTCAGGTGTCACAAATTCAGAGGCTGTTAATTCTATTATTGATAAGGGACCTGCACCTATTTTTAAATGTTCTGACCAGTTTAAACAAGAAATAAAGATTGAAAATGATGCAGCAGAAGAAACATGTCAAGGGACAGCAGTTCTAGGTGTTGTTGATAGTTCCTCTGAAGACACAGCTGTGCTTCATGTTGATGGAGATGAAACCTTGATGACACTACCTCAAGTTGTGATGTCAGAAGATGGTCACCAGTATATTATTGGAATTTCCCCTGATGAGATGAGTACTAGTCAGAATAGTATCTTTACTATACAACAAGCAGTGGAACAAGAGTAGATTTAGATATAACTTTATTAACTTAATTATCTTTATGTTTAGTGACTTCACTTTCATGCTGTTCACATAGGACTTTACAGAAGCACAAATCCTCAGAGAAACGAAGAACAGTAGAAATTAAAAGTAAACAGATAGTAAAACAAATTAAAAACAAATGACAGTTGTCATAAACAAAATCACATTCACAGCTCCTTATTATTATAACAGATGAATAAAGGATTTCCATGTCTTGAATTTCTTCCTATGCAGTGTATTGGTTATGCATGTTAAGATGTCTGATATTTAAAACATGTTTCTTTGTCCCATTTCCCAATTATGCACATTACCTCTTCATTGCACAATCTTATGTTTTACTGTACAGTATCTCTTTTAGTATTTATCAATGTATTGTAGAACAAATTGTTATTTTTTTGTGAACTGCACTTTTCCTTTTACCACCTGCATCTCCATTCTCAAAAATCCTTTTAACTGATATGTCATTTTTCATACTATTATTGTGTGTACCTATACCATCTCATCCTGTTGTTTCCAATGTAATATTTTAATGACTTCATCAACTCATCTTAATTACTTTTATCGCTTGAGCGTTTGGTCACGTCTCTGTTACTTTTCTTTTTCTTTTGTCCTCTTCACCAATTGATCGGCTCGTCAGCCGGTTGGGCAATCGGTCACGTCTCTGTTACGCACTGTTGGCAAGTACTGGGCATTCACCGGCTCCTGAATGTACCTGAACCTGCTCCAGTGTTGGTCAAGTCTGGTCTTGAAAAAGCTCACACTCGGTGTCGTCACAACACTTTCAGGTAGATTACATAAATTATGCATAACATATTGTCAGCAAAATTATTTGATCAGTAGCCAGTCCAACCGCCCTGTATCCAGTTCGGCATGGATGCCACAAGGTCATGCATCAGCTCTGGTCTACCCCTGTAGTATTCCCATTGTCTATTAATGTGCACCGTAAGTTGATTGCTGGACCGGTTCATTCCCCTTCCATTTCCCACGAGTTGACCATGTATGCCCACACGTGCTCTATAACGTTAATATCTGCTCCCTTGCTGGGCCATTCTAGGAGCTCTAGGTTTCCCTGCCTCACAAACCACTGCTGAACGACGTGGGCCGTGTGTATAAGACAACGGTCTTGGACAAATAAAATGGGTCCAAATGGGAAAGGGTAATCCCTTGATGGAGTAAATTGTTTTGTGAATTTTGTGGGGAGGGAGGCAATGGTTGGACATCAGACCCATTGTCCAATAAGAGTGGGCGGACATTGCACCATCACCTTGACTGTAGTGAGAACTTTAGTCCGGGATTGTACATGTCTAGGATGAAAAAGACAGTTAAATTATCAAACTGTAAACAACTTCATGTGTCTTAATATCTGGTTGGTTTACATTGAAGAAAAATAGGCATTCATTTTAATATTTTTTCATACAAATGTACAGTCTGCCAAAAGAGTATTGTTTCTTTTTCCATTTTTACAATTTTAAATGCAGAACAAAAAAATTTGAAAAATTTTCCAGTGCCTCATCATATGTTGGTATGCTTTCTTGACATAATTTAAATGTGCACAACATAAGTATGTATAAAATATGTGCAGGATTAAACTTGAAGTACAGTACTGGTAATTTTTTTTAATTTTGGCAGTTCTCAGCATGTGTTACCAGATATTTGACCCACATACTGGTACAGGGGACCTTGCTATACGTTGTTCCGGTATGCGTCATTTCACATACAGTCTACATGGTTACAAATATAAGAAGAAATTTTCATTATACAGTATGTCAATTGTTATACATACCTGTATATGTCATTTGTATCATCCACTGTTTTATACTTAGTCTGTGTGCACCCAAATGTGATGCATAAATATTGTTAAAACGCACATCATATATTGTAAAAAATAACCATAATAAGAAATAAATGCGTCCTACAAGTATTAAGCCTACCATGCCAAAGTACTTCAGTAACCTCTCACACAAATGAGTGCTAATGCCATTGTTGTGAGTTAAATAACCGTAGAATTTTCAGAACAAGTCATTTCAATATGCTAGTGTGTCTGATGAGTAAAGAAAATACTGTATACTGCACTGTACAGTGATACGGTAAGCTTCCTCAAATCTAGATTAATTGAGGGAAGGCCAGTCTGGTTTGGCTGAAATTCTGGGTTGTGCGGGAGTCTATTGTTTATTTTGCAGGGTGGAAAATTCCAGAGGGTGAGGGATTTCCAACTTAAGCTACTTAAGAACATTGAACTTGCTGAAATTTTTTAGCCTAGATTTAACACCCTCAGGGTTTTTATATACCATATGAACATTTCTTTGTAGTCACTTTGGGCTTTAACATCTTTGGTGAAAAAGGTAAATTTTCCTCAGTCTTTTATGCACTCTTGGCAGCTTAGCATTGGCTTTCATAGTCTCAATACAACTGTATTCGGCTGGTCACTGAGAGCTGATTTTGCCAGGAGCTCTCATACACCTGGCAGCGGTGTGTACAGTCTCAGCTGCAACACACAACTCTATTCAAGCGTCATGCCCCCCAAAATACTTCCATTTGATGGCTGAGAATACGGCTCTTAAGTTTCATCACCCATATTTAAGTGGTTGATCAAGAAAGTTTTTATGTAACATGAATGGCATAGAAAGTAGTATAATTGATATGTACAGTATACAAGCTTCTGTAAAAAGTTTTTTCATGAATGGGAATTACTGCACTGTGATAAAAAATATTAATTGAATTAGTTTGTGGAGTGATATTTTTAGTACACAAATTATATTGTTAACTTTCGACTATACGAAACGTACTGTACTGATAAACTGCTTGTTATTTAACTTCTCTGCTTATTGAATGTGGGAAATGTACGGGTATACCCCAAAAACCGACGCTCTAATAACCCATGATTACATATAGGGGAAATACCCTGCAAGATTGACGAAGCCGCAAGGCTAGAAAACTGTGAGGGCAAACTTTTTCGGAGTGAGAGTTGTGAACTTTTTGAACAATCTACCAGAAAGTATTGTGATGGCACCGAGTGTGAGCTCTTTCAAGACAAGACTTGACCAACACTGGAGCAGGTTCATGTACATTCAGGAGCCGGTGCGTGCCCAGTACTTGCCAACAGTGCGTAACGGAGACGTGACCGATCGCCGAAGCGGCTAACGAGCCGATCATTTGGTGAAGAGGATAAAAGAAAAGGAAAAGTAATCAGAGACGTGATCGATCACCCAAGCGGCTGACGAGCCGATCAGTGGTGAAGAGGATAAAATTAAACAGTGCGTAACAGAGACGATACCGATCGCCCAAGCGGTTAACGAGCCGATCAGTGGTGAAGAGGATAAAAGTAAAAGATACCTCAGAGATCTGACGATTGGGGGAACTGTTTTGAACTTGGCGGGCGGCGGCATGGTGCGAATTCTTGCCACGAGAAGGCTTTGCCTGCTGTCTCTGACTCATTCCTGCCATTTTTGCTCTTGTTTACACTTATAATTCCTCTTGTGCGGGCAGCTTGATGTGATGTGATAAGGCATAATAAGAATGGTGATGGACCAGCAAAGATTGGTAGAGCCTTGAACTCGCCACCCTAGACCGACTCTTCCATCCTCAACACAGGTAAGTAAAGGCAGCATCACACTAGCATTTATATTGTCAACTTTTCCATTAATCATCGACGTTGTCGTTGACTTTTTGTCAAACGGTGCAGACTGTCTGCACTGATGGCTCGTACGACAACTTACCGGAGTCAACTCAAGATCTATAATTGATACTTCAAATAGTTGTAAAAAATAAACCAATTTTTACTTAAAATATAAAACTAAAATTATTATGAAATAATTATTACTCTTCTTCCCAAGATTACTCATTATTATGTTTAATTTCATGAGTTTAAAAGGTAAGAAAATGTCATTTGTTGTTTTTGTACCTGTTACCAAATACCGAAGTGTGAGTGCTAGCCACTCCCGCACTCATTGCCTTCTGGATATATGGTGTCACAAGATGCAATAGTTCATTGGACTGGGCCTTATCGAGTCTGATCCAACTTCATCTCCTCCAGGTTTAATTCTTTTATATGTCTATAGTAAACACACTCTTCCTCTCGACGTGCTAACCAAGAGCTTATCCAAGCACGCCTTTTACGCTTTTTAGCCCGTCGACGTTGGAAAACAGCCATTATATAGCGTAGAATTGCTGTGCTTTCTTCATCAGTTGCATCCATCTTGTTTGTTGACATTTATCGAACGAGGGAAACTGGTGAGTTGGTTCTAAACTCATGTGTGACATTGCACAACAAAATGATTGACGATTTTCTGAAAGTTGACCCAAAAAAAATTACGAAAGAATGCCAGTGTGAAACCGGCTTAACAGTCTCAAATTATACTTTACATTGCTTATTTAAGGCTTATTATGCTTGTTTTATATGTCTTCCTTTTTTCTTGCTAGACAGAGTGCATGACAAAGATATAACAAGGGTAGATGGGTATTTTTGGAAGGTCCCTCCCTAACCTCCTGAATTTTTTATGTTCTTATGGGATTAATTACTTCGATAACTGTTGATTCACTAACAAATTACTTTCCCAGTCCCTATATGTGTTGGTTATTGGGGTACACCTGTATACAGTTTTTTATTATTGTTGATGAAAAGTAATGATGTAAGACTGCATTACCATATTTTATTCTGATGAGAAATTTACACTTTTAGTGTTTAATCTTTAAATTTCTAATGTTATTGTACACTTGATCTTTTAACACCACAACAATGATCAGTTCCCTTCTTTTGTAATGTAAATGGCACATTTAGTGTTATTAAGTAGAGCAAGGGCCTCTGATACAACTGTGATATTTTTGTAAAATAAATGTGCTGAATATATCAATGCTTTCCACTAACTTAATTTTCCTCCATCCGACAAACTGATGTAAGACTGCACAAACCTTACCAATTACATACTGATATGACAATTTGTTTTAATGAAGGATGCTGAGCAAGTACAATATTTAGGTTTGATTTAAGCTTCAGACAATAAATCACCAAAATTTAAGCTGTTACCAATTGTGTGTCTAATATAAAATATCTGTTTAATTTAGAGTATCCACAGCTGCCAAACTATTTTGTCAACAATTTATTGTACTATGGCTTTATTGCTAAAGTGTATCAAACACTGAATGTTCTGCAATCATCCAGTGTCAGGTACATCAAGTATCTACACAGAAAGTCTTGATAATTTAATCCCAACTTATGTTTCTACAACTTTCCTCAATACCTTTGTACTGTAAAATACTGTACTCTTATGAACATACTGTACATATAAAATGTTAAATACCGTATCTCGCTTAAATGTAAATTGCATCAGAAATACCATTGAAGAAAAGTGTCTTAGAATTTTCAAAATTACTGATTTCAACTATAAAATCCAATGGTATGGACACATTAATAGATCATTATATTTACATTACTAGACAATGACTTGGACACAAACATGAAATGGATACACTTCCCACTGTAAGTAACTCACCCTAAGGATCGCTCTGACAATGACTCACGTGTGACCTGAGGAAGGCCCAGCAGCTTGGGAAGCTGCCGGTGCTGCTGGACTATGTCTCCTATGGGAGACTGCTAGCTGGAGACTCGGTGCTGGCGAGGGAAGTCTCCCTCTGGGAAGGAGCTGTTGGCCCCTTACCTGTTACAATAATAATCTTAATGCCTCGTGGAAGGAGCTGCAGGCCCCTTATATTGGAGATCTCCAACCGGAAGATGACCTCTCTTAACACTAAACTGGTCATGTCGCTTATTGTGGAATGCCAGTCGGTAATGCTTCCTAATTATTACCACCCAAGTGTGTCTTGGCCAAGTGTCATTTTTTTAACACGGTCATATTGCTCGGTTAACTCGGGTACCTTGTGGCCGTGACCTCTCCTGGGTCAGGTCTTAATCTCACTGTAGGGTGTGTCAACCTGCGTGGGTTACCATGTGGGTATCTACTTACTGTTATGTGTGTTGTACTTCTCTGGGCTGTAAGCTATGGTCAGATAAACAATCATTCCAAACCTACAGCATTGTATATACAAAATATGCTGAGTCAAGGCAATTTTGAGTTTCCTTTCTCACCCCCATCCTGAGTGGGAGATCTCCCTTATATTATGTGTGTATGTGGACCTAAATTAGAAAATATATATACAAAACTGCACCACACACACACTACATCTTTCTGTTTAATATGACAGGGTCTGCCCCCTGGCTAGGAATTTAGGTATGGTTAGGTAATTTTTTTTATTGGTTAGGTCAGGTTCAATTAGGTTCTAGGAAATGTGGCCTCTTTTATAATAAGTTTCCATGCACAAAGAAATATGGTTAAATATGTTTATAGCCCCACAACGATCAACTCACAGCGAAATAAACACCAAATGCCGCCAGTCAATGCCAAATATAAGGCGTTTTACGAAGCACGGAATAGCTGACACGTTAGCTTTCCCAGACTCATTAAAAAATACGACATTGTACTGCGTCTTGGGAATAACTGTTGTACAACACAATCTTCAAAATCAGGAGAACTATTATTTGGACACAATACAAAAAAAATAGCGAAGAAAATATTGATAAAATTATGGAAAGAAAGACAAAAAAAGGATAAAAAAGTCGATCAATCAACAATAAATGAGAACACCACCAAAAATTGGGCCCGTTGTAAAGGTGGGTGCTACCCGACTCCGGGAGTCCGGGGTGGGAGCTTTAAACCACACTACACGCTCTCGTCTCGTTGCAGCTGTTCGCATACATAAACATGCAATACGACAAATTTCTGGTTCGTTTTAAGTATTAATTTTTGCATTTACAGAACTTTAATCAACTCGTTCACCCGTATTTAAAGTATGTTATGAGTAACGTTCTTAAAGTTTTAATCATATTTGAGTAATTATCAATATTGTTACACAAAAGGCTAATGAAATCGGACAGCACCCACATAAAAAGGGCGGAGCCTAAACAGGTTTCAACTAGGCACAATCCTTTTCAATTCTTTAATGCCTTACACTTTGTTTTAGGTCCTATCCAATATAGTACCATTTACAGAATTATTTTTACTATTATATCACAGTTTTTTTTATGGTCTTAATTGTCTCCAACTCTTCAATATTAATCAAAATATTCTCCATAAGTGGCCATGATCTGCGTTATTTTGACCGGGAGAAATCGGTGATTGGTTGTTAACTGTTTGTGCCGCTTCGGCCCTGCGAAAGGCTAACGCCTCGTTGAGGTGATAGCTCAAGTGTCATGCACAAATCAAAAGCAGCGCCTGCGCATACAGAATAGCTAATGCGTTAGCTATTCCGTGCATCAAAAACGGCATACAATAACTGGCTATAGTTCTCGTGTTTTTTGCCGGTAATAGACAGTTTACCAATCAGAATGCACTCACGGTAAAGGAGCATAGCGTATGTGGCGCAGTAGTCTAAGTTCTCTTTGCATGTGTCAATTTTCTCTTTCTTAGGACCACATACACATGTACAATAAAGGAGATCTCGCACTCAGGATGGAGGTGAGAAAGGAAACTCAGAATAGTGTAACTCTACATGTATTGTATGTACAATGCAGTGCTAGGGAATTGCTGTGTGGTGAGGAGGTTTTGTCTGTTCGAGAGCGTGGAATAGAATGACCTTCAAGGCAAGGCAGGAGAGTATTTATATGATTTTGCCGGATCAAGGTCGGAGGTGTGAGGTGAGCGGCGCTGCTGATTGGCTGGGTGAAGACGGCAGGTGGCCAATCAGCGAGCGGTTCAAGGGCTGAGGCTGTGGTATGGAACTCGCTTGTTGATTGATTGAGGCGAGGATAGCGGAGCGGTTGTAGTGAGAGTAAACCACTACAAGAGCGTTAGTAGGAACTTAGCCGGTCACGGCATAATGTCCACTGCTACATCCATGTGGATGGGTCACACAAAAACCAATATTGTAATATACTTTTTGCTTTTAATTTTATCCGCATAGTCATTGATCGGCTCGTTAGCCGCTTGGGTGGTCAGTCACGTCTCGGATGGGCACTGTTGGCAAATACTGTACTGGCCCCTGAATATTGTAGCGTACGGTATGTGGCCAGTTGTCAAGTTTCTCTTTGTTTGTCTATTTTCTCTTTGTATGGCTCACATACATACGTACATGTAGATCTCGCACTAAGGATGGAGGTAAGAAGGGAAACTCACAATGGCGTTTTCCGTAAATATATATATTGTAAGTACAGTGCAGTGCTAGGGAGTGGCTGTGTGGTGGGGAGATTGCTGAGAGGTCCTGTTGGGTGAGGAGCTTGTTGAGAGGTCTTGTAGGTTTGTGAGCATTGAGTAGAGTGACCTCCACGGCTAGGCTGAGGTGTATTTATACGATTCTCCAGGATCAGAGAAGTGAGCAGTGCTGCTGATTGGCTGAGGTGAAGGCGGTAACGGGCCAATCACCGCGCAGTCCGAGAGTGAGGCCCGGTCTTGTGGAATTCGCTGCTGATTGGCTGGTAAGTGAACGGCAAGTGATCAGGCAGCAGTTGTAGGGGAGAGTATCCACTACAATATCTTTTAATACTACGTGTGTGTGTTTGAAAGATGTATTATGAGATGTGACTCATGCCATTCATCTGGTGAAACAGTGAAATTGGCTTGCTCTGACGCTGGAGCTGACGGGCGTCCACCCCACAAGAGGTCACAGGTTAAGGTTGAAGAAACCACAAGTCCAGAAAACTGAGGGCAGTTTGTTTGGGGAGTGAGAATTGTGAACTCTTGGAACACTCTGCCGGAGAGCGTTGTGACGGCACCGAGTCTGAGCTCATTCAAGGCCAGACTTGGCCAACACTGGTGCAGGTTCCGATATACAGTATTTTATTCAGGAGCCAGTGCATGCCCAGTATCTGCCAACAGTGTATCAGAGACGTGACTGACTGCCCAAGCGGCTAATGGACCGATCAGTGGTGAAGAGGATTTTTTTCTTACGGGATTAGCCTGTGGGGTTTTGTGATAGTGGTTCACACTCAGGATGGGTTGGAGAAAGGAAATTCACAATGCACTCTCTGTATATATATATTGTATTGGATGCACAGTGCAGCTTGGTGCTGCGTGGTTAGGAGCTTGCTGGTTCGGGAGCGTGGAGTAGAGAGCCGGTTGGTGAGGAGCTTGCTCGGAGGAGGAGTTGCGTGCTGCTGGGCTCAGGTAGAAGAAGGGGGTCACAGCGAGGTTGAGAGCTTTTATAGCGGAGGTAGGCGTGGCTTGATGGCTGACCTGCGCTTTGTCAGACGTCGCTAGTAGCCGACCTTAGACCGTGAGGCATTGGCTGGGTAACCCGAAAAGGGATCGGCTAGTCAGGGACAAGCGGCAGTTGTAGTTGTAGGGAAAATTTCCACTACAAGCCCACCCGGGCGCAGGTCAATGACCCACATCAGGGCCTGGGAGCGAAAATATAATTATAATAAACGACCATAGATAAATAAAAAACACACAAAAAAGAGTGATAAACGATTATGTATGTGGTGTTGTCAAAGTAAGGGAGACACTCGAAACCCTGCAATTGTGTAAATGAGGCAGAAAGTCAGATCAGGAACCTGGGACTTGGTCACATTTTTTCTAATGCCGTATGGCAGCAGGGTCTAACACTAGACAATACATTATGCTTCCAATATATTCCAATGCGGTAGTACCTCCGTGTTTGATAGCTGCCTACTATCGAGTATAAAAGAAAAAATATTAATGTCATGACAAAATTGGAGAAATGAGATTTAATCACGATTTATATAGTAAGTTATTATATAAACAGTTTTATAAGAATACATTTACGTTAAAAAACTTTACAAAAATTAGTCACAAATCTCTTCATAAATGTTCAAATAATAACTATTGTATAACATTGAAGTGTATACAGTAAATCCCATGTGTACGACAAGTCAAAGTACGATATTCTCCCTTGACCGGTACGATAACTTGGGGCCGGTGGGAGGAGAGGCGTTGGGGAGCGGTTCATTAGTGTAAACAAACCGAGGTGACGCCGGCCATCTGTACCCTCTCTTGACACAATGGTCTTAAGTGCATTAAAGAACCTCTACACCACCACATTTAGCCAAGCCAGTTCCCCTGAGTCGGCTATACTGGCTGTTGGAAATAATGATGGAAAAATTGCTGTTTTTGAGTAAGGTTTTTGTTCTCTTACCCTACTGTCCTATCCCCCATTTATTCCTTCTTATTAACCTTACTTAATCTGTGTTGTGTTAGGTTAGGTTAGGTTAGGTTAGATTAGATAAGATTAGGTTAGGTACATGCGCTTGATCTATTAACTCAGATTAAAGTAAGTTTTCCAATTTTTTGTGACTTTCTGACACCATATACTAGTCGAGAAGTGATTGGCAGTCTGATTTATTCATCTAAGACCATTATTTGACTTCATTCCGGTTATATTTGGCTACATTTGGGTTCATTTGGGTAATTAGTTGGACCCGGTTAATATTGTTAACGTGGATTTTGCCTAACATAAATATCGAACTGGTGTTAAAACCTAATTAATGTTAATGTGAGTTACATCAGTTTTGCTTGTTTTTACCTCACAATTTTCATTTTTTAAGTGAATTACAAGGGTCCTCGCTTAACGTCGAGGTTACGTTCCTAAAAACACGACGTTATATGAAACAACGTTAAGCGGATCAATTTTCACCATAAGAAATAGATGAAATGCGGAGTTAAGTTCCTGAGCCTCCCTTTGCCCCGTGAAATACATTACAGACAGCTCTTCCCCGACTTACGACCTACTCGACTTACAACCACCTGGACATACGACCGCCTCAGTCTTACCAAATTTTGTCAAATTACGTTTTTTCGAGTACCAACGTCAGTAATTGTGCTGTGTACTGACAAAATTTTCGTTTGTAATTCACTTTAAAATGGCTAGCAAGCTTAAAAGTGAGAGTTTTGTGGTGCTGAGAAGAAAAAGAGACATCCATTTTAGATTTTCTATGTATTGCTTAAGCATTTTCGACTTAGGACCTGGATTTGGGTCCCTAACCCCGTCGTAAGTCGGGGTCCTTATCTTTGCATAGTTCTTCTACATGCTCTGCTCATCTCTCTTTTAGTTCTGCTTAAAACAGGATCTTATTGTCTTTGCTTTTAATAGTCCCACCCCATTTATTTCCTTTTTTCTGGTTCATTTGTTTAATCTGTCTCTACATTTCCTTATAGCTAGGCCTTCTGTCATCATCTTAAATCTCCTTGCATTTCCTTCCTATATAATCTTCGTTGGTCTGTCTATATTCCTTTTGAATTTTTTTGTGAAGTATTTTGTAAGCATTACTTTGGCCTCTTATCATAATTCTTCGTCTATTTTCCTTAAAATTTAATTTGTCATCCACTAATTTTTATCTTCATTTCTCCTATGTCTTATACGGTAAGTTTTTTTGCCAGTCTCAAACATTATTTCTTTGTAATTATTAAATTCTTGTCTAGGATATTGTTCTTGCTGAAAATCTATTTTTGGTTTAAATTTCATATTCTATCTGCCCCAGTTTTGAGCTTTCATAAATCACATTTTATTTTATTCTACTGTACCTTATGGGGGATTAGTAGAGTCTGGCCTATGATTACTAAGAGGAGATTTTGGGTCCCCTGTGGGTATACATTGGAACAGCTTGTCAGCTTTATCCATGTGATAGCAATCATGATTTCTCATTCCTTCTTGACCAAAACTGGTCCCTCTCCCCAGGCCTGATAGAAATGGCCATAGAGATGCTCAGCATTCTCTCCTATCACAGGTCAACTCGGAGGAACTTTTTTCTGAGTTTGATCCATAATTCAACAATTAAGTTCTTATATCACACCAATTATTGGCACACATTACAGTGATATAGCTATTGTTTACTGTACGTATAGAATTTTTGTTACTTAATATACCCTAATCTTTTGAGGATCAACATTTAATGGGGATGAAAGTCAAATAAGCTATACAGTACTTAATTGTTTGTTGAGTATAAGTGTAGCTGAATTGTTTTCAGAAGAGTGGTCATTGATCACTGATAAATGCTTCAGCTGTCTATGATCAACCACCAAATTAATTTTCATAATTTGCAAAATAAACCTAGAAGTGTTTTAATACCATAGTATTTGTGTTAATTTTTCAGTTTATCAGGTGTTAATGCTAGTCGAGAAACAAGTGTTGGTGAACGGCTGGGAGGACCATGCAGGATAATTAATGCTCATAGTGATGCAGTATACTCCATGGTGTCTACAGATGCTTTCTGCATTTCAGGAACCACAGGTTTAGTGACAGTAAGTTTATGGGAAATCTATTTTAATGGGAAAATAATTTTTTTTTATAGATTTGACCTGTCCTGGATCAGTAGCATAATCCCTTGCAAATGCCTTCCTCTGTAACTGGGATGGAGTATTCATATTCGGTACAATATTCATATTTGAATGCATTTGAATACAGACAGCATTTCATGGTATTCACATTTTGATATATTACTATTAGAATTCCAAGAATATGCATTCCTATTTGAATTCTTGGGCAAATAATTTATATTTATAGGATAATCTGACAAATAATAATTGTTTTATGAACAGAAAGAACCATACATTTGGCTGATGAATTGATTTGGTCGAAGAGAGACAAACAATTGGCTTATTAAATCTGACCTGAGTCACCCAAGAAGCTATGCCTGTATATCATACAATGAAATTAAATATTTCATGACTGTTAGTAAATATCGTAATATCTCTATTACCCAGAACCTCTCTCTGATAGCTGGAATTGAAATTTTCTCCGAATTTCTGGAAAATTCCAGGTTTGGGAAAAAATTTCCGAGGGACGCTTTATCTGGAAAATTCTGAGAAAATTTTTCCTGGTTCCCAGAAATTTCAGGAAAATTCCGGGTATGGGAATTTTTTTCCGGGTTTCAGAGATACAGTGGATACAATGCTTATTTTCTCTACTATGGGTTACTTGATCATGCCTTGGGCATCCCCAGTTGTCTCAGTTGTGTATGGTTAACTGACTTTAGTTTGGCAAGTGTAGTTGGTAGAATGCAATGCCAGCCACATTGCATCCTTTTGTAATGAGAGATTATTATTCTGCATGTTGTGTCTGCATTATCCTTAACTGACCATCAGGCCCTTAGTATTCACTGTAACTATTAATCTGGTACAATCCCAAAACCAGACTTCTTTTAACAGTTTGTCATGTTGCAGTACAGGTTGTACCTCTAGTCCGGCAACCTCGGGACCTGACTGGTGCCGGACCATGGAAATTCACTCTTTTCCTGGATAGATAGTGACTTGTGCTTATGCTTGGAAGCCACACCTGAGCAGATTACTACAATATATGGACTTGTGAACTGAATGGGTAGTAGACAGCCTCATATTCTGGTGACCATTGAGGATTTGATCATAGTGAATCCATATTATATAGGGGGTTCATTGGTGCTTTTACCTCGTGTAAGCAAGTGCCTTCATTGTTTTCCATTGGGTTTTGACTGGTAGAGGAATGTAATTCATAACTCAACCAATTTTTAGGGGTTAAAGAAGAAAATAAAAGTTTTGAGGATTATTACTGATATTGTATACAGTACTTCAGATATCCATACAGTATTCTGTTGCAGCACTTTGTTAGAATTTAATGCATAAAGTATACCAGTACTTGAAATGCAGTAATCTAAATTTTATCTCAGGGTCGTCGATGGGATGAATTGCAGCAGCAACAGTCCCAGGCAGCATGGACAATATCTTTGGAGTGTGATCAAGCCAATTTTGGGGTGAGTAAGATTCCAGATTTTACATTTACTGCACTTCTGTATGTTTACATAGTCATAAGATCCATGATGTGTGAATAGAATTGGGTGGCAGGAATTTGGAAAGTTTAATTAACGAAAGAAATTTAACTAAAATTTAGATAACTAATACAGTACTTCAGATGATTATATTTGATAAAAGGGAGAGAATAGAAAATGCGGGTGTTAGACGAGGCTATAGGGATGTTAACATTTGGCAAGGACACTTATTAGTGATACCAGTATGGAGGCAAGATGAAGGAATAGCAAGGGGAATGAATTTGGATAAAGGTGCATGAACATTGTGGAGAAAACAAATAAGTTAGCAGGTGTGGAAGAAGTGGTACAATAATACATGATTAAAATCTTGTCAGTTCCTAACTAAGAGTTAAACTTTGAAAGGTTGCTTTTTTCAATGAACTATACAGTATTAGTAAACTTAGGTTTCTTTCAGACCCCTGAGGTAAACAGTCTAGCATATGATCCTGGAAGGGGTCTTGTATATGCAGCCTGTGGTGATTGGCGCACTCATGTGTTTGATCTAGAAACTGGTAAATGTACACAGACACTGGAAGGACATGATGACTATGTACATGATGTGGTTACAAGGTATGACTGACTTTGTTATTTATACTGCACATAGTATATTTGTCTTGATATAATAATTACGGTAGTGAAAAGAAAAGAAGTAGTGATGAATGTGTTCTCTGAAAGCATGAATTTGCTTGTCACAAATACATTCACTTCGCACAGATTCACATCCTTGGTCTTCATTGTATTATTTTATAGTTTTTCTTTAGATTTTCTTTTTTTCTAAGCCACATTAGAATTTTGTAATGATTTTTCCACAACTTTTATAGTTTATTTACATGTAACAAGGTCAACATGCCATCTCATCCTCAGTTTTTCCCCTTTCCCAGTGAGTCACGCTATTGTTAAACCAAATTTTGATCTAATGTTAAGTGAGAATGGTTGTAAAAAAATTCCCCTCTAAACTGAATTATGTCAAGTGGATTGACGCTAAATGAGGAATACCTTTACTGTACTGTAATTAGATAAAACTATATCCTTGCTGCAAAGTATGTGATTCACTCCATTTGTATGTATCTTCTATCAACAGTGGTAACTTGGTTGCCAGTAGTGGTGAGGATGGTCAGGTGCTGGTGTGGGATCCTCGGGCAGGAAGGGAGCCTCGACACAAATTGGCACCCCACACCCATGATCAGCTAGCTAGACCACATCTTGGCAGATTCATATCATCTCTTGATCTCTACAATGACTGGCTGGTAAGAAAGTACAGTACTGTATTTCATGCTACTCATGTGCTTCTGTTTTTCATTTGCAGGGGGTGCCTGACATAAAAACAGGAGGTGTTCTTCAACCCTGTTCATAAGTTGATATATTTGTAACTAGAAATTATGTTTTTAAACTTTACTTATGATTAGTGTTAAAAAGAAATATATATTTGCACGCCTGCTAAATTCAGAACAGTACTGCCGCTCCTCTCCCATTCATTGGATCTCCGGGTTATCAGCAAAAATTTATGAGTTATTTCCCCTGTATGTAAGTGGCGGTTATTGAGGCATTGGTTTTCAAGGTATACCTGTATATACATATACTAATTTTGGGGGGATAAAATTCATGCTCGGTTATTTCAGATTCATTCTGAATTCAAATTGTTTAATTAATTAAAAAAAAGAATGAAGCTGAAATCCAAATTATAACTATCCAAATTAACGAGGGTAGAGTGTACAAGTAACACAGTAAAAAGCGAATTGACAAAAATTACTTATATTTACTCGAAAATAGGAGTTGAAAAATAACAATAGCGCATCTCACAGCTTTGCCCTACAGGGGGAGGATATCACCAACACCGCATTCCTTCATTGCGCCACTGCCTGCCTCTCCCATAATCTGTACACTTACTACCTAACACATGAAAAATATTAAGAAATGCTGTATAACTTTGGTACATTACCTTATGAAAGGACAGTTTGGGCTCACCACCACAAGGGGGTTGGCTCAGTAAGGACCTTACTCTGTGCATCTCTCCCCAAGAGGGCCGCGCCAGCTGACTCCTGGCACGCAATTTGAATTTTAGCCTGGATCAAAATTCATATAAGCGGGGGGAAGCTTTTGTATTTCAAGAAGGTGGTGTCAATTTATGAAATTCGTAGAAATTTTTTTTTGTATCTGGAACATTCACATTATAGGGAATACCTGCACAGTACTGAAGGTTACCCCAGTCATGCTGCCAGGACTTTTTAACTCTTAGTCTGCTATCAAAGAATTTTATGGTTACCTACAAAATATGAGTTTATCAAGTTGTATGAAAATTTTGTCTTCATAATACATAAGACAATTATAGTACAATGAATAAAGTCAATGAATAAGAACATACTGTATTGTCCACTATGTTCTCTAAGATGGTAAGGAAACAACTGTGGTTGCTTGCCACCACACATATTGACAGTGTATGTTTGTCATTCATATTTGTTATAATATTTTCCATTTTAATTTTAAGGCATTATTGTCATATTTTCATTATCCATTGTATCAATACTTCCTAGATGAATTTATTGATACTTTAACTGTAAATTTTAATTCATTATTATTTGTCTGGTGAAGGCAGTTAACAGTGTTTATGCATCACATTGATATTTTGTTTCTTAATGGTGCTTGTGAATATTTCTCACTCATACTGTAATTTAAAGATGAGCGATTAGAACTTTTATGTCGCATTGCTTTCTATACTGGTAGGAGAAACTAATATATATATATATATATATATATATATATATATATATATATATATATATATATATATATATATATATATATATATATATATATATATATATATATATATATATATATATATATATATATATATATATATATATATATATATATATATATATATATATATATATATATATATATATATATATATATATATATACTCAGATAAAAAATTCTGTTTTATGGAACATGAGTAAATATTAAAGTACTGTACCATATATTCACATTTTTTTCTGAATACAATACAGGGTACAATATTTACTTCTAAAACCATGGTGCATCTTATATGCCAGCAAATAAGGAATGTTTATTTATTTTTTGCTCTCTGATTAAATATAATGTATTCACTTTGTTGCAGGTATGTGGAGGAGGACCACGAGTGGGAATATTTCATTTGAGATCCCTGGCTTTAACAACAGTTTTGCCCTCTGCCAAGTCAGCCATCCATGCCACTAAATTCACAAGACATGCAGAAGGTGGTGATCGAGGTGGAATAGTGATAGCAGGTAAATAACCTTCTGATAAATTTAATATTAATTGACATTGTGGAGATAGCAAACTTAGAAGACTACAACACTACTTGAAAGCTTTTTATCTTACTTGAAGCTTTATGATCTTAAAAAGACTGAGGTAAACAATATGAATGTTACTATTAGTTTCTTCCTGGATAACACAAAATCAGACCGAGACAAAATGGCTTGTTGAATTTATTGTATGAAGTTGATGCTGTGCTGTTAGCTAGGTCCAAGGGAGAGTTAGAGAGAATGGTATTATACTTGGTGTAAGTTAAGACAATAGTGTTAAGAATAAAGGGAAAGGGAAACTGGATAAATTGAGCACTGCCAGCCTCTCATTCCACCATTCTTTCTCATTGTTTTTAGTTACTACATTCTTTTACCCACAAACCCTTGCTGTTCTTCTTGAGACAGCATTCTTAAATTGTTTCCATCTTTGTTGAATGAACTCTATAAATCCCTACTGGTGACACTGAAGGGAATATTTAGAAATCATATCCATTTGTTTGAATATCTGCTCATTGCAGAGACACCCTTGAGGATTTTTTCATGGAACTTGGCCCATACTTAGAGCTCCATGAAACAATAAGCATATAAAATGGATTTTGGGTTACGTAAAGAACGCCTGACTGGCACAGTAACTTGTATCATTTGTAATGGGATGGGATATTTGTTTCAAATACTGTCAGTAAAAATTTGCATTTAATAGTCATATGACACCAGATATTTGATTTAGTGTTGCCTTTATTTGATTTTTATTTGATTTTTTATAATAAAGAATTTACTTGGAATTCTGTGTAAATTTATTGTAAACTGTTGATAAATTTACAGGTGTATTACCTCACCTGTGTGTGTGCAGCATGGCTGGAGTAGTGACAGCTCAGCTTCCATCTTCTTCTCCATGTATATACACAGTTAATGTGACTGACAAGCCTTTCACGGTATGTATGAATTATTGTGTAGCAATCTATATTTAGATTTATTGTATGTAACATTTTATTTTAAAATGAAATTTTCTTAATACCATAATTTTAAAAAAAGAACCAGGATTAATGGGAAAGGCACAAAGTATTAGAAGCACAGGTATTGATCATTTTGTTATATGGCAAGTAATGAGAAATGGATATTTCTTGAAGCTAAAACTGTAATGTTTGATATGTACAGTATCTCAAAAAAATATCTGCCAGGATGGGTCTGATGACTTCTGAAATGGAACTTGTGATGTCCCAGGAGGGTTGGTATGCGTGGCTCTGTGGCAGACTGATCCTACTACGCTTGGTAACCGAACATCATATTAATTACTCCAAAACAAACACATTGCATTACTTATGTTAAATTTTATATCAAAGTAAATGCATTTCCCAATATCTATTATCCGTCGTCTCATAATGTTTCCCACAGAGTGTGGACAGATACTTTTTTGAGATACTGTACTTACATTTGTTTAATTTAACAAGAACACTAGATTTGATTCTTCTTCATATTTTACCATGGATGTAATACTAGTAATTCCTTTCTTGATTGTTTCTTGCTTTCAAATAATGGTTGACTAATGATAATGTATCCGTTGAAAAGTAATCAAGTTCAATTTCTATATGATTATACACACCTGTATAGAAGTGTTATTATAGTCAAGTTTTTTTAGTTGATGATACTAGGTTAAGACCCCCCCCCCCCTCTCCCTTTCTGAAAGCATGAATTTTTTTGTGGCTTCAATGGTAAATATTCTTTAGCTACTTCAAACTTTTTTCCCCACTGGTATCTTGAAAGTTAATGTTTTCAAACAGTTATATCTTTACATACATTAAATTTGGCATTAAAGTGAGCCAGAACTGGGTATCCTGAACAGTTGTATATAATTTATTATTTTACTTTTTTGTAATATATCAATATTAATCGAACATTATATACTGTATGAGACAATGATCTGCAAGGGGGACTGGGCTTGTACCGTCAACAAAAAAGAAGCCGACTATAGTTAAAAGAAATTTAATTACTTTTAGAAGTGTTATATTACATACAAACATATATACAGGCAATGACCATTATTTATGATGTGGTTAGTGATCTCAAAAAGCTATCACTAAGTAATTGATCGTATATTGATATTAACCCTTAAAGCCCGGGTGACATTCCTCTACATACACTAAGGCGACTCTGGGAGACATTCCTCAGCGTTCTTAATTTTAATTTTTACGGCATGCTTTGAATGTCCTGATGGGATGAAATACTTTGTTTAGGATATTTATTGAGTTGGCAATTCCACTTGCACGTCATCTTTGTCTTAAGTCTAGTGGTCCACTTACGCACCAGCTATCATGATGGATGTATGTCCTTCGACTTCTTGTGATCCACTTTGCTCCTCCATACCCTCGACAGTAGTGATATTCATCAAGAGTTACTTATCACAGTGGCATTGTTATACAGTAGTATTGGGCGACGAAGACAGTTATGGTGAGGAAACAGGCCCAAATGATATCAAATTTGTACAGGTGATCAACGGGGAGGACAGTGATAATGACAATGGCGCTTACTCCCCCTTCCCACCCCACCAGCCACCACTTCAGAGAGGTCATGGTGCCGTGGTGGCTGTGGACATAGGGGACCACAATGCACACAGGAAAAAAGGGAAACAATAGAGCACCTTAGATTTCGTCTTTATTCAAGACATCTTCAGAGCCAACTGAATTACAAGGACTAAGAGGGGCTTATGTAATTCAGTTGCCTTACAACCTACTCGACTTACGACCACTCGCACTTACAACCTGCTTTAGTCGTACCAAAATTTTGTCAAATTATGTATTTTCAAGTCCCAACTTTAGTACACAGAGAAAATTTTTGTTTGTAATTCACTTTAAAATGGCTGGCAAGCTTCAAAGTGAGAGTTTTGTGGTGCTGAGAAGAAAAAGAGACACCCATTTTAGATTTTCTATGTATTACTTAAGCATTTTCGGCTTACGACCTGGATTTGGGTCCCTAACCCCGTCGTAAGTCGGGTAGGAGCTGTATATATTTTATTATTATTATTATTATTACACACACACACACACACACACACACACACACACACACACACACACACACACACACACACACACACACACACACACACACTTACTTTTAAAATAATCAGCATTATTTTCCAGTAATACTACAGTACAATACAACTACACTACTTTTAGCAATACAGGTACTCCTCGACTTACGACCACCCGGACATACGACAATCGCAGTCGTATGAAATATTTTTCAAATTACGTATTTTCGAGTCCCAACGTTAGTCTTCGCGCTGTGTACTGACAAAATTTTCTTTTTTAATTCCCTTTAAAATGGCTGGCAAGCATAAAAGTGAGAGTTCTCTTAGTGCTGAGAAGAAAAAGAGACACCCATTTTAAATTTACTATGTATTATTTTCGCATTTTCGACTTACGACCTGGTCGTTGGTCCCTAACCCCGTCGTAAGTCGAGGACTGACTGTATTACTTTGATACAACATGATAAAAAGGACAAACAAGGGAAATTAAACAAACAAAAGTAGGTAGTTACATTCAGGAAGCTTCCCTGTGGCCCAGTGTGTGGCGTGACAGGCAAATAGTCACACTGGAACCTGATAACCCTTAATGGGCATTTAAACACTGGCGGGAAATGGCACGTGTCTTAGTACATCACCCAGAGCGTGTTAGTCGGGTGTCTTAGTATGTCACCCAGGGCGTAAGGGTTAAGAATGTGAATTTGTATTTTGCAAATATAGCAACTCCGCTTTATAAATAATCTTGCATGTACTGTACAAATAAAATACATTACAGTACTATACTGTACATGTATTTGATGGTGGCTATGATGCCATTTCTTTGAATGGTGTTTGGCTTTAGATTGTTGCTATTTTCAAATCAGAATAAATTAATATTTAGCTAATGTTTTGGCAATTTACAATAATTTCCTAAGATAAATGTTATTTTGCAGATGATGACATATGGTGGAACAAGCACAAAAATTGATGTCTGCTTCAATCTAAATTATCGTGATCACACAGTATCTCTGCTTGAAGATTAACTGACAAGCAAACATTGTTAGATTTCTTAGGCTGCCAGCAATGTTTGTTGTTCTTTTATAAGATCTTGTTGCAGCTGAAGTGAAGTGTTTTGTGGATTTTGTCTTTCAACCTAAAATGATTCTAAACTAAATAGGATAGTACAGACATGCAAGCCTTACAAGACCAACGCCTTCAGCACCATGGTGAGGTATTTTTTATTAATTTTTTTTAAGTGACAGACCCCTTACTCTTATTCCTCATTTGTTTGAGTCTTGTTATGGAAATGTTATAGGTTTGGATAGGCTTCTGAACCTAACCAGTATCCAAAATTTGGTTCAAAATAAGTTAGAAGCGTCACACATATTGTTAGAGCAATTAGGATATATTTTTGTATAGATTTCTCAATGTCAGTACCTGTATGGTTGTTTAAAATTTTAAAATTTTTGTATGGTCATGAACCTCACTGTTCCAAAGGAAATAAGTGTAATTTCTTTCTTCTTGAGGTCATATATGCTACAGTAGTTCAAAAGCTTGTCACTCTTCTCTGGGACCAGAATTAACTATACATTTACATAAAACAATACAGGTATACCTCTTAGTGCTGTAAATACATTTCTGAAAAAAATACCCCAGAGTACTATCAGAAACAACTCTTTAGGAGGTTCCAAAGTGATCATTCACAACAACGGTTTCTTACCTATGAGTGATGTAGGAGCACTTCCGTAGGCATCAGTAATAGCACTGATATTGATACTGTACACAAGATATGTACTTAAAAAAATTATAAATAAGAAAATATTATTTTTAATGATTACCTGGTCAGAGCTTGTGTAAGTTTGATCACCATCTGCCATCACTACGACTTTCTCAAACCCAGAAAAATCCCCCATCCCCGGAAATATTTCCGGTCACTGGAAAAAAACATTCCGAGTATCTAAGCTATGCATCTTGCACAGACAAACACTAGCCCACATCCTCAGAATGTTTCTGTATACTGGGGAGTTTTCCAAGAGTCTAAACTAAAAATCTATATCATATGGTCGGGAATGAAGCTGTGTGTAAAAGCAAACACTGGTATTTTCCACTCCCTTGGAGCTGTGGGGGATTAGTGGGTCTCGTGTAACTGACCTGACACAAAGTCAGGTGGAGGCAGGGTGGGGTATTAGTGATCTCATATTACTGACCTTCTGATACAATGTCAGGTCACCCATTGTCGAGTGGGGTATTAACGGGTCTGAGGACCTGAAGATGTCTTGAATAAACATGAAAGCTAAAATACAGTATTTTTTTATACTTACACTTATCGCATTATATCCCTTCAAACCCTTTGTCATCCACCACTGAAAACCGTTGTAGATCTTGGACGATCATTTGCTTGACAATTTGGTCCAATTCTCTCTTCCTAGAAGAATCTGCTTTGTAAGTTTTCTTCTTGTTGATCGTTTCAAGCAAAGTGGGTTGTGTCATGGTTTGTTTTTTTGCTTGATTTTCCTGCCAGCTCCAGCACATTTCCTCCTTGCTGCTCTTGGAGTTTTGCATACTCTGTAGGATGTTTGGTGCGTACCTATATGTTTTGTCAAGGATGAAGTGCTACTGCAGTATTTGAAGCTGTCTTTACAGCGGACACAATTAACACTTCCTGGGTCAATTTTTTTCATGTGAGTCCACACAGGGCTCGTCCTTGTTCATTTAGACGCCATGATAATGACCTGAAAACAAAACGCGAAAGATGCTAGGAAATCGTGACTAACTGGCTAACTTGGAAATGAACCACTTTATTCCGAGTATCCAAATCAAGTTGAATAAAATCTTCTGAGAGAAAGAGACTTTCGGACTCTTTCGTGATAAATTTTGAACATTAAGCAGAACCTTTTACATATTCATATAGTATAACTATACACTCCAGCTAGAAAAGGAGGCACAGGGGCTCCCTTACTTACGAACTGGTTAGGTTCCTGAGGTCTGTTTGTAAGTCCATTTGTTTGTAAGTCCAACGTTACTCTTGTCAATACTGAATACTGTACAGTAGGCTCTCACCAATAACGTTTAATAGGCGCCTGAAAAACACCGTTATTATCGAAAACGTTATTTGTGTGACATTAAAATACATGTAAAAACGGTTTATTGGTGCCGCTGCCCCAAGAATTTCACCCATTTTTCCCCTTAGAAGCCCTCCTAACACTTTTTGTGAGCTGAAATAAAAAGATTTGTTATTCAATCATCAAAATAAAGAGTTTGAGTAATATAACACTTAGCTTGGGGGAGTTTTTGAGGTGCTTGGTGTGATGATTGTTCCGTATCTGACGGCTGCTAAGACTTGCACTGTTTTTCATTCTACAAGCTAACCATTTCACAAGAAAATGCCCTGTTATCACTATCAACCTGTTTCTATCACTTTTATCATTCATAGCTCCCCTCGCATTTCCATCACTACCGAAATATTTCTTAGCCAGCGCAATACTCTTCTTGGTCTCCTCTAAGTTCCTCTTAATATTTTCTCACTGTAGGCTCAGGACAGTTCAATTTCCTCACAATATCAGTGTTCCATCACCACTTTCAATGAGCACAACAATCTGTTCTTTATCCTTGACCGAGTAGGCACGCTTCTTGTGGCTTTGTCTCTTAGCTTTGGGGTCTTTTCTCATTCACTTTAAAAGTTCCCGGGCATTAAGGCGGCAAATCACTCCCTCCCCTAGCCCCCACAGGCAAAAATGCGGAAGCCATTATTGATCACCGACCCTAGCAACCACTGATTATAGAGGCGAAAATCTCACACGTGAGCGCAGCGCTGTATTACATGGAGCGTGTGTGAGAGTGAGGCGGAGCGGATAACTATGTCATCAACATGGCGGCAAACAAACGCTATCATTGATGCGCTCGGACGCTTCCCGCGAAATCTCCGCTATTCAAGAGAATCCAGACGTTATTATCGAAAATGGGTATCTATTGTAACTTACCTTTATTGTCGAAAACATTATTGTGGAAGACGTTATTGGCGAGAGCTTACTGTATGCAGCATTGTAAAAAAATGTTGTACAGACAGCCACACCCCAATAATACTCGACAGTATTTCTTACCAGCCTTAAACGGTATTTTAATGTATGAGTAGCATGTATAGTAATAATAAACAAACACTCTCACCAGTTTTAGCCTTTACGTTTTCAGAGAGACTTATGGTCTTCTGCTGAATTAAGTTAAGGCTTATAGGCATGCGGTGTTGATGCTGGTCTTCCAGCCACACACTCAAAAGTTTTTCCATCTCTGCCATCACCGAGCCTCTTTTCTTACTAATGATCGTGGAATACATTGGCACAGAACCTTTCATATGTTACATACAGTCGGTCCCCGACTTACGACGGGGTTAAGGACCGAAGACCAGGTCGTTTGCCATGCTATCATTTTCTCAACTCTTTCACAACGCTTTATAATGTCCACCTTAGTTTTCAACGTAATAGTGCGACGCTTCTTACCACCATCACCACTGGTATCACTCTTACGCTTCTGAGACATGTTGGGGTCAATAATAGTCATCAAAACCACAAATTACACCGCGAGGCAGCAGAGGAACATAACAACAACAATGGCGCTAGGGATACAGGGTGACGCCGAACAGCCAACACCATCTATTGCGCGGCAGTTGAACTTATGACCCGCCTCGGTTTTCAAACAGGCAATTGGGCAATTGGACATATGGACAGGTTTGTTTGTATCTCTGAAAGTTCGTAACTTGAATGTTCGTAAGTAGGGAAGCTCCTGTACTAGTGTTGCACTAAAACTCAATTACATTTGCATCGAGCCATCGACACCCACCCTCTGGGCCCCTGGGGCCTCTGAGGCTCCTGGGGCCTCTGACATGAATGATGAAAGGAGTGGCAGTGGAGTGACGATTGACGACTGACGAGTCAATTCAACTCCGCATACGTGAGGCTCGTGAGCGACTGAGCGTGAGGTAGGCCGCTGCACTGGCAAAGTACACTCGCACTGCCACTGTCTGTCGCAACGGCTACGCGCCAGTGCGGCGCCACTGGAGGACAGGGTAGGACGGTCGGTAACTCACTCTCACTGTAGTGTTCGTGGAATTGCTTCATGGGAACCGATTCTGAGGTAACTCATCAGAATCACAGGAATCGATTCCTGCCCAGCCCTACGGCATCTTCCCATCTGCTGATCGCTAGTAAACAGACTATTTCACGTCCAATAATTTTAGCTGTGTTAATTTATGAGTGTTTGTTTTAACATAATACTACAAAAAACTATGTTTTGTTTATTCTAGGAGATGGGCTGAGGTGTATCTGGGTAGACTGTCAGTCTTTTTAGTATTTTGTGTTTCTCTCAAGTACCAAACTAAATTATTCCATTGAAACAACACTTCGATTTAGTGTGAATTCGGTTTAAAGCGACCTTTCTTGGAACGTATCTAGTGTTATATTGACGTTCTACTGTACGCAAACTCTCTCTCATCTTGTTTTAGCCTCATCTGTTATATATGTTATGTTCCTGTTTTTTTAATTAGAGCACTTTCGAAGCTGCCCATTGTTTGTTCTTTTGAATATTTATGTAATTTACTTATGTATTCACATACTTGTATTCCTTTTTTACGAATTTAAATCTTAAAAATGTTCGTGTTCTACAATACAGTTTAAAAATAAAGCTCCAGAGATCTTTTCTTTTACAGGCAGTGCCCTACTTAATAAAATAATTGGTTCTGGAGTTCTGGTTGTAATTTAATTTGATCGGAAGTCCAAATTCACCTTTATCCCTTGCAAACAATGTGTTAAATATGAAAAACAAACCTTATGTATGTCACAACCCACAGCACAGTACTCCATTATAATTTATTGTATGAATTTCCTGAGACACATACAACCACAAATGCAAAGGTTTTTCCAACTAATCATGCAATTTTCCACTCTTCTGACTTATGATGGTTGATTGCAGAGGCACAGAGTGTTTTACATGCCCCATTTTCTTTTTTTTTCCTTCAACCCTTACACCCCGGGTGACGTATCAAGACACCTGACTAGTGTGACCCGGGTGACGTTCCAGAATGTGCGCCTTTTCCCGCCACTGTTTAAGTGCCCAGCGTAGGTTATCAGGTTCCAGTGTGACTATTTGCCTGTCACGCCACACACTCGGCCACAGGGAAGCTTCTTGAACGTAATTACTTACTTTTGTTTGTTTCATTTCCATTAATTGTCCATTTTATCATGTTGTATCAAAGTAATATTGCAAAAAGTAGTGTAGTTGTATTGTAGTGTAGTGTAGTATTGCTGGAAAATAATTCTATGATTATTTTATAAATGTATTTATTTGTGGAATTGTTATTATTATTTTATTCATTACTTGCTCTACCAAACACAATGACAGCTAGGTAGCCTGGCGACAGACTGTGTGTGTGTTGCCGAGCACTTTTTATGAAAAATTATGCAAATTAAATATTCTAAATGAATTATTTATAGCAAATAGTATTATGATCAGTAAATATATGCATTACTGGCCATCCCGGACACAAAGGCAAGCAGAAAATAGCTGCTAAGTGCGGAGGTGATCACGAGGTTCACTGTCATAACAAGCTGTCCCCTTATCTCCCTCCCTCCGTGCTGCCAGGGAAGTTTCTTTTTTTTATTGTTTCTCATTTAAAAAGGTTAAAAATTATTTTTGGAAAAGTTGATTTTTCTCGATTTACCCCCGGATGGGGGATACGGCCAGCGGTACCCTAACAGGGGCTTAAGGGTTAAAATTGTACCAACAGTCAAATGATTCACTATGAAAGCATGAGTTACATTTGTCATCTTATTACCTCTTTCCACTTGCTTTATTATCTCCACTTTCGTTTCCATTGTAATAGTGTGTCTTTTCTTACTCACACTCTCATCACTGGCACTACCTGTATACTATTTGGGCCAATAATGTTCGTAAATGCCACAAGAAAAACTATCACCGCTGTAGTGCTTCAAACAAAGAGACAACAACAACTATAATGGCTTCTGCTTGGCCATGAATGCTGCGAGTACAGTAGTGCACTCGTGCCATCTATTGCGCTTTGGTAAAACTAACGACTTGTGCTTTTGCACGGAACAGAAATTTGGCCGTATGGACAGGTTTGTTCACATGTATGAAACTTCGTAAATAGAGGAGGTACTGTACATGTTAGCACTTCTTGAAAATCTATTGAAGACACAAACTTGTTCTTATTCTTACACTGAAACCTGCCTTTTTTTTTTTTTTTTTTTTCTTAAAGGCATTAGCCCACCCTGGCACAGGTCATTGATCCACATCAGGGCCTGGGGACAAAAAATATAATAATAATAATTACTAAAAAATATAAAAATACCTGTAATAATAATAACTATAAATGAAAAAAATAAAATAAAAAAAGTAAATCAAGTGAGAATCGATATACGGTATGTATGTGTGTTACAGCACAAACTACCATTGTTAAAAAATATTATCTTGATCACTTTAAGAATTGCACCTTCACTGTTAACAAGATGACTAACAGGGTGGAGGCAAGTGACATATCCATAACTTAGCCAATCAGCATGCCGAACGAGTCGCTGATGATTGATTAATTTTTATTTAGTATCAATGGCTCCTATCGCAATAAAACATAAAATCTACATCACCAACAATATTACTGCAGGTCCTTTTTCCAGACATAATAGGACAAAAAAAGGTAGAAATAGATTTAGTACTACTGTTCTGTGGATTAAGAATCGTCTATTGTAGCAGGATGCATTGAAAACTGGCAGAGGGGCCGGTGGAAAGTTGTGTGGACACACTTCCTAGCCCCCCTTGGTCCCTGTTCACCACACAGAAACACACACACACACACTCACTCCACACAGACACACACACACACACACTCACTCCACAGACACACACACACACACACACACACTCCTCCACACACACACACACACTCACTCCTCCACACAGACACACACACACACACACTCACTCCACAGACACACACACACACACACTCACTCACTCACTCACTCCTCCTCCACACAGACACACACTAACTCCACACACACACACAGACACACACCACACAGACATATACTCCACACACACACACACACACACACAGACACATACTCACACACACACACACACACACACACACACACACACACACACACACACACACACACACACACACACACACACACACACACACACATCACATGTAAGCTTGTCTATTTTCAGCCACCGGCTGCAACTCTATTAATAAACCGTTTATTATTATTATTATTACACTCCACATACAACCACACATGGACACAACCACACAGACACACACACACACACAACCACACAGACACACACACACACACACACACACAAGGGAATTAAGACAACAAGCATCCAGTAAGGGTCTTGTTGTGTGACTGCATGGAGGCAGCTATTGTGGAGTTTATCTCTTGGCAACACTGGTGCATGTTACCACTGTTTTCCACTCCATCTCTCTAATCACCCACACCTTTCTGCTTTCTCACTCCATAATTTAAATTTTATGTAATGTAATGTTGAAGGGATACAAATTTACTCATTTTTACTTATACTTATCACAATCTCCCTAAAAATACTTCAGGTTTCGTGTTTATTCAAGACATCTTCAGGTCATGAGACCCACTAATCCCCCACCCAAGAAAGGTGACCTGACATTCCATCAGAAGGTCAGTGATATGAGACCACTAATCCCCCAACCAACCTCCACCTGACATTGAGTCAAGCCAGGTAAGCCCCCCCCCCAAAAAAAAATAATAATAACTTTCATCTTTATTCAAGACATTTTCAGAAAATTATCTCGATTTTCAACCTAGGAAAATTTGTTCCTAAAGCCGTAATTTTTTTAAAATTCCGGCTTTGATGGTGATTTTCAGAGCAAATTTCAATTTCGGTATACAGTATTGTCTGCATTTACGCGGTCAATTGAACCCGTGGAGGCCCGCGTAAAACGAGAAACGCGTAAATGAAATAACAGAACATGTGGGATTAATTGAAATAGAGACTGGGCCGACCCCCAAACTCCACTTTTTCCGACACAATACGTACGTTGCAGTAAAAATAACATCTTAATTTTTTGATGGTATGCACACACAATTAATAATTAAGAGAAATATCAATAATATTAGGTTTTTAACACTTACGTTAGTAGAAAAGCTGGGTCGGCACATGTGGATGGCGGCTGGTTCCGAGGCAGAGGGCAGATTAGTTGCCCTCTGGTGAATCACTTTCACTACTTGCAGAGGTTGCAGGGCCTCCCAGACAAACCTCTCAAAGTCCATATCCTTACTGTCAATATCACTATCGCTGACTTGGGCTGGCTGTGGTTGTGGTGGGTTGCGGGTGAGGAAGTCCTCAATACTACGTTGATAACTAGCACTGATGTTGTCGAGATAGATCTGGATATACGGCTCCATAACTTTCATCAGATGGTTATTAGACACTTCATACCGATGCTTGTCTGGGTCGTTGTCAAGGATGAGCTTAAGTTTCTCCCCCAACTCGATGATTTCCTTCACATTATCAAGGCTTGGTCCAGGTAATTCAGTGTTTTTCTCTGGTGGTGGGGGTCCCGCGGAAGCCATTGAGTTGTGAGGGGAATAGCGGGCACAAGAGAGAACTGTATATGTGGACTGAGAATAATGAGACAGGCCCTGCTAGGTCAGCGACTTCTACCCTCTGGTGGCAGGGCACGTTATGTTACATTAGACCAATCACAGCTCGCGGCGGAGGGAATGCGTGGGTGGTAAGGATGTGTGGCCCAATCACAGTCCGACACGTCATATGACGTCAACGATAACGTAAGAGCGGCCTAATGCGCACCGCCGCTTCCCGTGTATGGTCAAGAATGGACCGCGTGGGTAAAAAATGGCGCGGCGGTCTGGGCCTCTCCAGCTGCTCGCCGCGTAAATGACCAAATTTACCGCGTAATTAAAGCATTTTCATTCTGGCAAGGCACCGCGTAAATGACCAAACGCGTAAACAAAAACCGCGTAAATGCAGACTATACTGTACTGTGTATATATATATATATATATATATATATATATATATATATATATATACAGTCTGAGCGGAAAGTTAGGTCGCGATAGGGCCAACGAACAAAGCTCTCACATAAATAAGTTCATATGTTGTGAAGGCTGCCCCGGGATGTGAGATGTTAGTACGTTTGGTTGGTTGGCAAGTGGTGACACTTGGCAACTGAGCACATGTCATGGCTTACTCTCAGTGCGCCTCTGGCAATCATGAGGGGAAGATAAACTCTGCGGGTTTGCGCTTCCCGTGGCCATTTTTTGCCTCGTTTACGGTGCATTACCCCAACATAGTGGCCATCAGAGATGTCCAGGAGGGTTAATACAAGGGACGACATTGCAGCAGTGATTGCATTGTACAAAGCAAACCATGAACTGAGAGATATTTCAACTCAGACTGGTGTGAGGTTTCGTTTTGTGCAGAAACTTGTGAAGCGTTACCGTGAGCTTGGAGAGGACGTGTTGCCAGCTCCCCTACCCAAGTCCGGTAGGCCTAAATTATTGTTTCCATGGACACTTTAGGTTATTTCACGCCAAGTTAAGTCCAATCCCGCCCTCACAGCACGCAAGGTGAAAGAGAGAAACCCCTGTCTTCACAGCCACGTCTCCTTAGGCTGTGTTCAGCAATCCTTACATGATGACCTTGGATTTAAAAGCTTCCGTGCCCGTCGTAAACCTCTACTGACGAAGAGACAGAAGGAAAATAGTGAAATTTTGCAAGAAATATGCAGTGTGGGGCTTAGAGTCATGGAGTAGTGTTTGTGGTCTGACGAGGCTACGTTTTCTGTGACTGGCAGTGGTGGAGGGAGGGTGTACCGCCCGCCTCACTTGTATGCACATCTCCCACAGTACACAGTGAAGATTGTTAAGCACCCTGACTCACTTATGGTTTGGGCTTGCTTTATGTATTATGGTGTTGGTGAACTGGTAATCCTCCCTAAGAACCAGATGATGAATCAGTACAACTATCTTGAGCTACTCAGTGATTTCTTACCTGAATCATTTAATAAAGCTAAGGCAAGCCTTTTCATGCAAGACGGTGCCCCATGCCACACTGCTAAAAGTGTCATACAGTGGCTCAAAGACTGTGAGGTACCTTTCTTTAATGATTGGCCTGGCAGTAGCCCAGATCTCAACCCAATAGAAAATTTGTGGTCCATTGTTAAGCATCGCCTGCGTGACACTGACACATCATCAATCCTGAAGCTAGAGGCAGCTATTAAGGATATCTGGGCTAATTTGGAACCTGACCTCTTGCAAAACCTTGCTGATAGTGTTCCTCGAAGGCTAAAGGACTGCCTGAAGTGCAAAGGAAACATTACAAAGTATTAATTGAAGTGGTATGTGTTTCTTGACTTTATTTACATAACATAACAGTAAATATGCATTTTTTTCAGCAGACAAACCAATATATATAATACCCTGTGTTAGAAAATGTTTTCATAAAGTATCCTTTAAGTTGGAAAGGTACAGACATGAAACTGATTTTATGAAGATGATACTATACATGGACAAAACTTTTGTAAATGAGAAAATTTAGATATCAGGTTTTTGTCTTGTATAAACAACTACCTGTATTTAAAATACTGTACCTCTGAAAAATCTGTAGCACCAAAATTATTGATGTGAGGCAGCAGCTGCTCTATGCAGCTGCTATTAAACAACTGACCAGTGAAACAATTGGGGATGCACCACCACATACGGTAGTTCCCAGATTTTTGAGGAGACTAAACTTGAACTACTTTCTTACTTGATACAGAAACAGACATTGCACAACTTGGTGAAAAAAAATTATAAAAAGTTCAAACTATTGCCAGCTTTTATATATGGCTGCCACATTCTCAACAAATGTAAATACTGTACACTGAGAACGGAAAAAAAAAATTATGATTTCATTGAAAATTATCTCCTATGGATATTTGTAATAGTCCAGCTTTTTGGATAATGAGGACATTATACAATTATATTGTACTATAGTCTGTACTCTAACCTATTAATAATATACAGTACTGTACAGTACTATTCTGTATACTTGTGGGCATTGGAACCATGTTTTATGTATGTGATTTATTTATTTTTTAATGACCTTTATGTCCAAACTGGGTAATTATACATAACTGATATTTTGAGTTCATGGTCCCAAAGTCTATTGCACCCATACTATAAGTCAATCTCCAGTGTACAAAATTCACTGGAGAGGTTCTACTGTGCCTCTTTCTGAAACCCTAAATTATTGTTTCAAAATCCCCTGTTCCTTCTCCTAATCTCCTTTGCTTCCAGTCTCTCTCTTTGCCTCTCTTCTCGAAGCCTTCTTCTTTCTTCTCGACTTTCTTCCTTTTCTTGACGTCGACGCTCCCTTTCTTCACGTTGTTGTTTCCTTTTTTCGAGTCGTTGTTCCTTTGCACCATGTTGTCTTCCCTGATTGTTTTCTTCTCTTGTTATTGCCTCTGTATCTGACCTACCTTCAACTTCTGACCCTTCACTGTCATTAGCAGCTGCATTCTGAAGTGAAAATGGATGTTTGAATTATTAAAAAATGCAATTTTTCATTCCATCACTGTTTTCCACACACACATTTTTTTCATTTCTTCTTGGCTCATATGCCCGGGTTTGCTATATTTTAAACTCTTAAACTTTTCCTACATTTCATGTGTTCCATCTTTATTTTACATTCAGAAATTGCTCCTTTTTGCCATTACAGTAAGTCCTCGTTTACCGTTGCCCCCGATAACGTTGTTTCATTATAACGTCGCTACTCTTTAGATACCATGATTCGGACAACGTCCAGCTGATTCTGTATAACATAGTCATGGACTACATTGTACGGTGCATTAACCCCACTCATCTTGGTGCGCTACGCTCTCTCGCGGAGCGTAACAGCATCCCCATTCTTTGTTAGGCTTCCACAGCGTTCGTGCATGTTTAAGTGTTTTTGCTCTAAATACTGTACTGTAACCTTTCAAAATGGTTTCCAAGCACCCATCAAGTGCTAGTGTTGTGAAGAAGCAACGTAAGACCATTAGCCTTGCTACGAAAATGGAAGTTTTAAACCATTTTGAGAAAGGTGAACGTACGGTGGACATTGGTGTTGTGCTAGGTCTAACCCCCCCCACAACAGAGAGTACAATACAAAATGATTTAGTTTATTTATCTTTTTGGGTGTATAATATATACTATTTTCTATAAAAATTCCTTGGAATTTATTTATATGTAATGTATTTTATGGGGCAAAGGGAGGCTAGAATAAAATACTCAGTGCACCAAATTTCTTGATACTCGATGACAGAAGATGAAAATGTTAAACCTCTACATTGCTTCTTAATACTTCGTTGCATATATTATTACTTAAATCTTGTCACAACGCAGTCTTTAAGATTGGGAGATGCCAAGTTAGTTAATAAAGTATTTAATAATCTGCTCGTCGGTGTGACAAATATTTTTGTTGGTTAAGTACCACAGCGCTGACATCTGTTGACAGTTGAGAGTTGACGTTGCTGGCTGTTGTGCAGTGCGTCAAGATGAGCGAAATTCCCGCCAAGTCCAGTGGCTGTTTCCCTGAGTGTATTACCTCCCCCTGGACTGCGTGTATTTATATCAAGTTTTATCAGTTATATAATGATTCAGGATATATACAGCCAGTCTAACTGTAGTTCATTACCTATTGTGCTATATTTTTGGTATCATTTGTTTCTGTTTGGTACAAAACAAAGAAATATGAAAAGGGGCACTGGATAAATTTGGTGTTCACTGGGTACAAACTGTGAGTCTGGCTACAGATGGAGCACTGCAAATGGTGGATAGAAAAGCTAATGTTTCAACAAAATTAAATGAAAAAACTACTAGCTGTGAACCCAAACTATCAATTTCATAATTTGCATTGCAGTATACAAAGAAAAGTGTTGTGCAGTAAAACATTAAAGATGGATAATGTCATGGGTGCCGTTATAGAGACTGAACTTTATACGAGCACAAGGTCTAGACCACAGACAGTCCAACTGCTTTTTGGAGGAAAGTGAGAACACACATGGACTGCCATATCACCTTTAAATCTTCAAAATACTGTGGAGCTGTAGAAGGGATTGGTGTAGTAGTTGAGGTAGTTGTAGTCGGGAAATAGAAATCAATGCGTTCTGTTATCCAGTCATAGTGTACAGGAATATTAACATATACACCTGGAATTCCATCCTGACCACATCCAATACCCCAGGCAGTGATACCCACAAGCAAATACCGTTTTGGGTCTTCTTTTCTTGGGCACGCCAAAGGTCCACCACCATCTCCCTAGAACAGAGGGGATCATTTGTAGTAGCTTACATTTCTTGATACTGTAATTGAAATAAAGTTTTCACCATACTTCAAACATGGGAAAATGTCACATGGCAGAGAAATAAAATTTTAGATTAATGTATTCAGTTTTCAAGATAAAGCAAAGCAAACATTACCTAAAAATTCTTGCCCAGGTAAATGATAATCAATTGTTGGTTCCAAAAGGCAACTCCAAATTTCATGGTTAACTATTATCAAATACCGACCATATTACTGACAATAGGTCATATACTACAGTACAAGAATCCCCTGATTTAGGATCTCCGTATCTACAATGTTTCATTTTGACGGTGATGTATTAAGACCATCCCCTTATTTACGATAAAAAAAATTGCATGAACAACAGTCGTCATCCATCCTAAATCGCTGATGCGCAGTATATGGAATGCATCTCTTGCTGCACTTGTCAGCTGCAGTCTACCTGCACACAGCCACCAAATGCACTACAGTCCCAAGCTTTGTTCCATGACGATCACACATGCACGTGATTGTATCGTTGTTGTTACTTATCATTATCATTTTTTTTTTTTTCTTTACAGTGAGAGGATATCACTAACATTTGCATTGTACTGTACTCTGTTTTGGTAACTGTGAAGTGATTTTTGCTATGTTTTTGTGACCGTAAAGTGCTTTGCCTCTGTTGTTGTGAACATGATGTGAGCAGTGTTGGCCGCTATGTATTGTTTTTACGTTATCATCGTTCGCTCTTTTGTGACAAGTGCTTTTGCTCTGTTTTTGTGACTGTGAAGTGAGCAATGTAACTTTGAAAAAGTCAGGGAAGGCCAAGGTACCCAGGAAAACTGTCTCTCTGGAGGTGAAGCTTGACATCGTGAAGCTGTGGGAGTCAATGACATCTCCATTCCACCTTCAAGAGTCCCCTTAGCCTCAAAGGGGACATGCAGTGATGACCAGGCTTGTTCTTAATGATGTAGTGTGTGTTAGTCTAATTGTGTTTTATGTCTATTATTATTTTAGGAATTTAATTTTCGATGGTACAGGTGGGTGTCGGACTGACTGGGAACAATCCCATTGAACCCATGTTATAATGATCCCGATTTACGATATTTCGACTTGTGATGGGTTCTCGGGAACATAACCCCATCATAAATAGAGGGATACCTGTACCATATCTTAACTGTTTATGAAAAAGTGCTGTCCCAACATTAAATCATCTACAATACTACTCTAGAACTCTGGAATTCTTGCAAGATAGCGATTAATTTGATTAGAAACATCTCATAGTTTGCACAAGAAATACAAATTTTAGTCCTTTAGCTTAGTATATTTGAGTACAAATTGAGTACAGTAATATGTTGTCCAAAATTATGGCTTTTTCACAGGGAAAAGTATGTAAAACTAACCTCAGTGGTTAGGATATTATGGCTTTAAATGTTAGAGTATATCAAATAAATTCTTTGTCTAGTTCTGTATATATATGCGAATTCCCATATAGTGAATGGCATAAAGTAAGGGTCCAGTGTACAGTAAACATGTGTCATAAAGAGGTCCAGTAAGCCTGGGCTAGATTTATGCTGATGTAAATTGTATTGGTACCAGTAATAGTACATTTTATGAATTATTTTTTTCCTTTTTTAAACCCCGGCTTTGATGGTTAGGAATTTTTGCTAATCCGGAACCGGTCTGGTCCCAAGCTTCCCTGATTACCGAGGTCCAACCTGTATGTGTATCATGTATATATTTGTGTACTTTACTGTATTGTACTTGTGACACACACAATCTTTTTTACTGGTATCCATGTCCCATCCTCATTAAGTCCATCCAACACTATACCACCCATCTCTCCCTTATGTTTGCATCTACATTTTCTGACAATGCATTTCAAAGATTGTTCTTGAATTAATCCTTCTTATTACAAGAGGCTTATGCAACAGTCTCATAAGTATTGCTGCCCAAATTTGTTCCTCTTTATTATTTAGCGAAGAGAAGATAAAATTTATGTGGAACCTAGAACTCACTCTGCAAGCATCTTTGCCCTTCTCTCCTCCGGCACAGGTGAATGATGGATGTAAGCGGAAATAACGTCCAAGCCTCGTGGTTCGCAGGCTGTTGACACAGTCTTTATATTGTACTAATGGGAGGGTCAAACTCTTCATGATCCTCTGGTACTCCCCATTTTCTGTGCAAGGAGATACAAGATACAGCTCCTATATTAGGACAAGAACATTTAATACTTTCAGTGGTGTTTATGCACATAGAAAATTACTGCTGCATAAAGGCTCTCATCCCTAACCTGTGGAGCTTATTGGAGTCTTAGAAAGATGGGTTTTTGACAGACTCATCGTAAAAAAAAAAAAAAAAATATCACATGGATCAATAACATGAACACCAAAGGAATAAACAAATAAACCTTTAACCACTAAGTAAAACAAAGGAATGAACCACTAGAATAAATACCGAATAGGCAGACAGTATAACCCTTTGTATTAATGAGGAGGCATAGAGGACCTAGTAAATATCAAAAGCACTTACCAAAGCCACTGAGTCCCCAACCGTTGATGACACAGGCACTGGGGTCGACTAGGCTCAGGTCCTGTGCTAGGCAGATAGAGTCGATATGTGATGCAAATTTGGATTCCTCCTAAAAGAAATCAGAGCATATATTTATTTGAGATTTACTGTGTGTTCTGAGTTTTAAAAGTTGGTTACTAATGTACGAGTGCCAAAAAATTGAGTCTCATTACGAAGAAATCCTATATTTCCTGTGTAAGGGGTTTGGGGTTCTGTAATGGGCTTTTGGGGTTGGGTCATAACCACTCTTCGTTCAATTTAAAACACTCCCAGTTGTTCCATCAGTAATTGGATGTTATAAGATGCTTTTCTAACTGACTTATGTATATTTCCAGTTTAACATATACACAGTTCATATAAAATAAACACTTTGTATTGAATGTTTGTAGAGGAAGGATCAGGAAGACAGAGAATAAGCAAATATGTACCAACAAACTCTAGCCTATACTGCATATTAATTATCTTTAGTTTATGAATACAGACTCACTGACTGGGAGTGTCTTTTGACCACCTCTTGCTGATGCAACTTATGACTAATACTTAGTTACTGTACGCTTCTTTTAAAGGGAAAGTAAGCGCGGGCTGTGTGGCCTGACCTTGAGGATGAGAAGAGCGACGTCGTGGTAGAGAGTTTGGAGGACGAAGCCCGGGTGAAGCACTATGTCGTCCACGGCCACGTCCTGGTGACGGTAAGGTTCCTGTTCTGACTGTGTGTCCCACTCACCCAAACGCACCACCATATCGCTCTTGTTATACCTGCTCAAAATAAGTAAATCTGTACCTGTACTATAATAATTGTAGAGGTATTTTAAACAACTCATTGTTTGTTTGTGTTTTACTAATTTTCCGGTACTGTACTGGTACACATTTCTTATATTTATATGCTACTACTACTAATAATAATAATATTTATTATTATGATTATTATTATTATATTTTAAATTTGTAATACACTTTTTTTTAATAATTTTTGCCATATACAGTATCAGCTTACTAGCCACTAGGGCAGTTGGTCTATCCAGTGTTAGTACAGGAGGAAACCTGTGATGTTTGGTTGAGTCACACTGGATAACACCCTTCTCACGTGTGTCCGGGCCTAGGCTTGAACCCTTGACATATTGGTGGGTCAGAGTTATCCACAAAAAATGGCTTTATAGCGAATTAAAGCAGTGGCTAGTGCTCAGGTTTACATAACATTCCTGTCCAGAAAAGAAATAGAATACCTGTAGAAGTAATATTAACAGGAAACTTATTTAGTTCTAGTTTGTGGCACAAATGAAATTTGACCGACTGCATAAAATAACCCAGATAATTATACCATGTCCTAACAAGGTTCAGCACCACGGTTAATGGAATTTTTCTGTGGCTTTTCTCCCTATTTTACAACCTGTCGCAACTAACACAACACAATGATTGATTTCTTCCCTAACCATATAAGTATCGTTGACATGGACTCGGGGTTTGTAGAAATAAAATAGAATCGACTCATTATGTTAGGATACACACAACCCTATCTGACAAGTCCTGAGATGGAGGATATCCTGCGCTTCACTTCCTGCAAACTGTAACCGCCCCACATCTAATAAATACGCTTCAACCCAGATAGTTATAACTTGTAATTTTTTAATGTTGTTGGACTAGTGTAATTACTAACTTTGTTAGGTGCTCAAGACCTTAGTTGTTGAAGTGCAGTTATAACACTAAAACATTAAAATTCTCATCAGCACTATTGACTCAATTGTCCTTCAGTCATGGACCTTTTTTATTTCCAGCCATTCGGGCAGTCAGTTTATTTTTTGTCATGACCTTCAATACTTAATGTTAGTACAGGAGGAAACCGGAGTACTGTACCCATAGATCTGCCACATTTGTAAAACATAGTAAAAATTTTGAAATCCAAGATGGCTGCTGTAGGAACAAAAAATATGCATAATTTTATGTTTGCAACTAGATGAGACAGTCATGAATGGGGTGTCTTTTTATAGCTCTTTTATTCAAGGAATCATATTCTAATACTGTTATTTCAATAAAACACCGACGCAGTGGTGAGAAGCGGGCGTGTTTACCCTGTACCACCAACACCCCTCTTCCCACTGATCAGATTACTTGTACCCAATAACTTAGATGTACTTTTAGTACAAATATTTCTAATTTAATTTATCATTTCACCACTTATCCGGTACGAGCCATGCGGGTGGTCGGTCTATTTTTTGTTACAACCTTCAATGTTTAGTGTTAGTACAGGAGGAAACCTGCAATGCTTGATAGGGTCACACTGGATAACACCATCCCCACATCTATCCCAGGTCATGACTTGAACCCAGGATAGAGTGATAAAGAAATTCTAATGTCACCGCTGTATCACCAACATCCCAGTCTGGTGGATGCTAAATGAAACTCTCTTGTTGTCCCTTTGACCACGTGTCTTCTCTTGCGTATTTAAATAAAGCACCAAGAAGTGTGTGTGTGTGTGCACGCATGCGTGCATGCATGCTTGTACCTTCATACACTTGTGGTTGTACTTTATCCCATAACAGATGGGTCAGTGGACACTCACCCCTTCACCTTGTGAGCGGCGGTGACCACCACACGTGGATGAATCAGAGTGCCGCCACCCACGAACCTCCTGAGCTTCAGACCGGAAAGGCTCTCCACTCTCAAGACAGCTGCCACCCACGGGAACTCCCCAAACTGACTCTCTCCTTCTTGGAATCCCAAGATGCGTGCCTGCAAGATACAAAAAACCTTATTCATGTAGTTACAAGAATACAGAGAGCTATTTCTGATGATAGGCTAACAGATATAATCAATAAAACTTACCTAACTAAAAGTATAATCAATATTCATTAGATTAGGTGAGGTGGGTTTTGTTAAGACTGGCTTGATGATTTCACTCTGGATGTCATTGATAGTTCAGGCCAGCACCTTCCTGATGGATCCTTGTTTACAAGAATCATTTTCCAAATCGTAGAACCAGACTTGGCCGAATAAATTTCAGAAATAATTTTCCTGTAATCTGACAGACTAATTAAATTGATAGTTTAGCCACAGAAGCATCCCTTAATTCTATCATAGGTTCAGTTCCATCGGCAGTGTGGAATATTGGGCAAGTTTTTTCACGCCATATGTCTTAGGCCACAGTAAGTAAAACAAAATTGTCTTAAATTCTGTGATCATTGCTAATACTGTACTGTAATACTGTGTTCAGTTAGTAAGTAAAATTTAATTTGTATATAATGAGGCAACTGCCAACTGACTCCTGGGTGGCCACTGGCCTGGTGGATGACGATTTAGTCTTTAGTAAGCCGGTCAGTGGGTTAGAATGTCTTGGGTTCCTCTGCTTTATCTCAATTTAATGATTTAATACGATGCTGCGTAAAGATTATTAGCAGACAAGATATACTGTATGCATCTGTGCATATAACTGGAACCTCACTGCTGAGCTGCTATTAAAGTTTAGTGAAATAAATTCACTGTATTACTGTAAGACTTTTTTTTTTATATAGTCTCCGTCCCCGCACCCCATCTTCCCCATTGTAGAACAATATATCGCAAAAAATATATTTCCTTGTAACTATCAGCTCCAGTCTCAAAATACCAAGGGTATACTGTACAGTGATCCCTCGGTTAACGAGATTTCAGTTAACGAATTACCTTCCATAAGATTCTTAACTTCGGTTAACGAGCAATCCCTCGATTAACGAGTTTTTAACGAGCGCCCCTCCACATGTTTTCACTTGCATTTAGCGGTCCACCAGCTGTAGTATTAGTCCGCCAATACAGTAATCGGTTCTAGGGCTTAAATTCCTTACTATTTTAGTAAATATCAAGAAGTTTTTATTATTCAATAATTTTAAAAGTTTTATATAAATTTTTTTAGTCATTTTAACAATTATTGAACATAATTGAAGTATAGGAAGCTAGTTTTTTGCGCGCCAAACAGCCTGTCAACACATCATACAGGCGTCAGTCTCTGTGTCTTTTCAGTGGAGGTAACATCTTGCTTGAGACTCTCTTCAACTAAACGCTTTTTTTGTGTGTTTCCAAGCAAATTATTGGTCAATTTGAAATTTATTTTACATATTGACAATATATAATGCAGTGCAGTGTTGATTTAAAGAAAATAATCTTGAATTACACCAAGAGAACTAAAATTTTATGGGTGAAATGGCACAATGGGGTGACTTCTCTTCCACCCCAATGCCTTCTCTTCTCCCTTCTCCTCCACCCCAATTCTAATTCCCATCATCATCATCATCCAGGAGCCTTCTACATACACACTTCAAAGTAAGTGTACTATACTACTTTTTTGTTGATTTTAGGCAATTTTCGGTGAGCTGGAACCAATTACCCAAAAAACGATTGAAACAATGGTTTCGGTTAACGAGCAACCTTCTGGAACGAATTGTGCTCATTAACCGAGGGACCACTGGATATGGAATATGCATATTGTAAATACGTATCAGATATTTACAATTACCGGCCCGCAGAATTTTTTTGCACTCTCCGCTGGTCCGTGAAGTTGAAGAGTTTGGGAACCACTGTACTTGGGGACTACCAACAAGCCACGATCGACCTTCCCTCTTCTGGGCCACTACTAAATGTGGTGGCCGATAGGTGCATCATATATAGGTACTGTATATAGTTTGAGACATTAGTGCATTGCTTATAAGGGGATCATAATTTATGGTACTGCAACATAATCATACACTTGGAAGGGGATAAGTTATCTTCCATCAGGGGCTGAAGAGAGCAAGCTCTTAAAACATTTGAGTATTTGGCGAGGGTTATGAAAAGACTATCAAAAGCTATGCTGGGGTGGGTGATATTTAAGATAATGGAGTACACTCACAAGTTGTGGACAAAAAATAACTCGGCAAGCAGGGAGGGAGGAAGATGGTGTATGGGAGAGGAGGTGTAGACTTGGCATTGTTACATAGAGATGGTCATTAAAAGTCAGTGATTTTCTTTTCACATCACAAAACTATTTTCTTAGTTTAATTATGGGGCAGGAGCAGTTTACACTCCCTGCCTGCCAAATTCTTTTTCTCTACAACTGTACTGTACATTTAATGAACTTCCTGCAAATACAGGTTGTACCTCTCTAGTCCGGCATTCTGTGGTCCGGAACGATTTTAGTTAGCCCATGGAGAAAATTAATTTGAGTTTGGTATTTTCGATGTTTGGCTAAATTTGGCCTTATTTACCCTAAGGCTTCTTCTCTTTATTGCCCAATCTTCTCTAACTTTAGGTCTGTTGTTTCAGTTTTTTCTTCATATTTGGGTAATTCATAGATTTTTAGTACACATTAGGTTCACTTTTCCTTGATGTATGAGAAATTTCAACTCCTCATAACATAAAATTTGCGTAGTAACTTTTCGTTCGTTATACCTTATTTAACAGTTTTACCTGTAAAGTTAAAATTATTGGGTAAATTCCTGATCTGCTGTATTTCACTGTGTGTGTGTGTGTGTGTGTGTGTGTGTGTGTGTGTGTGTGTGTGCGCAGTAATTATTTTGGTGATTTTATAGGTATGTATTTCCTTTATGTTTATACGGGGTGTCTCATGGGTACGGAGTCTGTCTAAGGCTTGAGATGCACTCTGATCCGATGTTGAATCTCTTTATCGATGTCCGCGGTGGTGGACAGATGGGAGCTGAGATACTGAAATTGGGTAACATTAGAGGGGGTTGTACCTTGGGGAAATACATTCTGTACGTCAAAACACATGTTGCTTCTATGTGAACATGATGACTCAGCTCTCGTTACCACATACTCACTGTTTCATTGAGTCACTATTTTCCTTAACCAGGATATTTAAGCAGTGATTCTGTTAAATATCCACCAAGATAACTGTGCATTTATAAGATTATTTTCTTGAGATACCTTAAAAAACTAATTGACTAACTGCAGTGATATTTTGCTTCTTTAAAGCTGAACAGACCTGGTGCAGTTACAATACCTTAAAACCAAATGACCAACTTTAATCAAACTCCACACAAATAAATAGACAATATCTTTAAACTTAAAATATTGAAAAGAAAAATAATTTTCAATTTCCGTGGGTTAAAGTCAACAAGTTTTACGTGTCACAATAAAACCAAATCAGGTCACAGTAAGTTTATGTGGTGTCACTTAATAATGGAAGGCAGCCTTGCCCATCTGTACACACACACACACACACACTCTGCTACTACTACTACTATGCAGTCACTTGGAAACGAGTATGACGATCATCCAGCTATGATATAATGATATGAGCTATTAAGGATGTCACTTTCGTTGGTGAGCTGTGAGGTGACTCGAGAGGCCGATACGGGACCAGCAGGGTAGTCCTCGGATGTTGCACGTGTAGAGCTACATCTAGTGTGGGAGGGGTGGCAGCAGCATCTTTCCAGCGTTGGCGCTTCTCTGCCTCGGTATGAAGTTGGGCTAACTCGAAAGGAAAGGTGTCGATTTGGCACTTTTTCAGGTTTGTCTAAAGACTATCCTTATACCTTTTCCGTTACCCAACAGAATTACCTTTACCATTCATTAGGTGACTGTAAAGTAGCTGCTTTGGCAGTCTACTGTCGTCCATGCGGGTACCATGGCCAGTCCAACGTAGTTGTTCATGGGTAATGGTAGCCTCAATACTCCTACAGTTGGTGTCAGCGAGAATACTGGCATTTGTTCTCTTATCTTCCCAGGTGCCTCCTGTATGTGACCCATTTCTCACTGCCATATAGCAGGGTGGGGAGGACCATTGCTTGATATACATGCAACTTTGTAGATAATTTCAGTTTCCTTCAGCTGAAGACATGGGTACGGAGTCTGCCAAAGGCCTGAGATGTACAACTGATCCGATGTTGAATCACTTCATCGATGTCCGTGGTGGTGAACAGGTGGGAGCCGAGATACTGAAAGTAGGAAACATTAGAGAGGGTAGTACCGTTAAGCTGGATGGATGGTGGAGTTGTGGTTGAACCAGGGCCACGCTGAAAGAACATCCGAGTCTTACATACACTGACCACAAGGCCAAAGTACGCATATGCACCTGTGCACCTGTGTAGGTGTTAAGGATCTCCTGTAGGTCACGTTCTGTGTAAGCAGTGTTGGTGAGGTCGTATGCATACTGTAGTTCAGTAATGGAAGCTGCCAACACCTCTGTTCCTGCCTGGAGGCATCTTATGTTGAAAAGTCCATTCATCCGGTAGTGAATGTCCACCCCACCGGCTAAATTGGCACCGGCACGAGTAAGGAAGGCAGCCAAGAAAATGGAAAAGAGAGTTGGTGCCAGTACACATCCTTGTTTTACCCTGAATTTGGATGGGGAAGAACTGAGACTGGGTGCCACTGTACAGGATACTGCCGTGTATGCCATCGTGGAGTTGCCTCACAATGGCGATGAATTTTGGTGGGCAGTCAAAGTGACTGAGGGTCTGCCAGAGGGCTTCCCTGTTGACCGAGACAAAGGCCTTGGTAAGGTCGATGAAGGCCATGTACAGGTCACGATGCTGTTCTCTGCACTTTATCTGGCGGGCAGCAAAGATCATGTCAGTGGTGCCACATGATGGTCTAAAGCCACACTGAGATTCTGGGAGGAAGTTTTCCGCCTCAAGAAGAAGTATGTTTAGGAGGACTTGGGCGATAATCTAGCCAGCCACAGACAGCAGCGAGATCCCTTGTTCTTATAAATATTGACGGTGGAGGCATCTTTAGGAGCTTGGGGTATTTCCCTCTTTTCC